AACACAATTTCTTGTTCTGCATCAATAGTGCAATCATATAGAGGATATTTGTTTAGTTCGGTGTAAGATATAGAGGATATTGTATGAGTGTAAGTTTAATACTGAATTTATTGCACGAGTTGGATAAAATGATATTATGCGAGCCTCCGGCGAGCATATTATTATTTTATTCAACGAGTGTAATAAATTCAGTAATGAACTTACACGAATTTAATATTCTATTTATCACATACCCAAAATAAAGACAGTTTAAAGTGAAATAAGAGTCATTTTTCATTGACGCGCCTATAGTCCTATAGTATAACGCTAACATTTAGCGCGTCTTTACATTATGTTTGTATAACGCTTATGACGTCACGTCAAAATATATGCACGGCCGTGCAATACCATATTTACGGAGTCGCAAAATCGGCACGGATGTGTGATAATAGAATATATTTTGGTGTTGACAAGGTGAAATGTATTTCGATCTTACACTAAACTAAACAAATTTTCTTTTTATTATATGCAAATAAACGTTTTAAAAGACATTAAACCTAATACTGAATGAAAAGCGCGCCAAAAAAATAATACAACGTGACGTCATTTACGACGTCACGTCATTAAGTTGGTTCCCAGTACTGTGCACGCTGGTATTTCACTGAAACAACGTAAGGGGCTTAAATTCAAAACAGTGAAATTATCAAATTGATAATTTCACTGTTTATGACAGTGAAATTATCGGTTTTTTATTTTATGCTTTTCAGTGGATTACTGATTTATCCGTGAAAATTATATTTGATAATTTCACAGTGAAAATTATCAAAATATAATTTCACTTTTTTCAATGACGAAACTACTTTTTTAAGATTTTCCCCATGTGGTACCTCAATTTTATTTTTACTGACAATTCTGACAATATCAGGCTGTTAAAAAACTAGCAAAGCTGAAATAGATAAATAACTTAAATGTCAAAAGTAATAAAGAGAGAAAACTTACTTCTATTCCTTCAAATTCCAATCACGAAATTTCGTCTCTAAATTTTTTTGTTTCGTTTTTACAGTCTGAAAATACATTCCTTCCCCATGCTAAACTGCTCTTGATGACATTTGGGCATATTAAAGTATCCTACGAGCAATAACTGCCGTATGCTTTATGAAAAATTGAAAAGCATTGACAGCCATCACTCGTAAAATAAGTAAATCAACCCAGCGTTCCTTACAATGGCCCTTAGCAAGCTTCCAAGTTTTCCATTTTCCTAGCTTCTTTTCTGAATGTTTTCACTTCTGTCAACACTTATTTTTTGTCTGTTACAATCCTCAAATAAGTTTTCTTTCTTTTAAAAAGGTGTATGACTAACAAATCCAAATTATATCCTTCTGAATCTTACACAATTATTTTCCTCCCATGAAATACACAACTTTAAAAAATGGCTGCCGCTTACATTTTACAAAGCCAGGTCTAATATAAATTCGCAGTAAGTAACAGAAATATGGATGGATGGTTGGACTTTTTCTCCTAAAAGAATTGTTTGTTTTTATTATTAAAACAAGCAATCATTCATATTTTTTTAATAAAATGAATAAATATCACCGTCATTTAACCTTGATTAGCGGACTTATTTTTCAGCTCAAGACTTCTTGTTTTTAATGAGAAATTCCCTCTAAATGGGGCTCTCAATGGGGGAAACAGATTTTAATATTAACGTTAAAATTATGGAAATTTCGTTTTAACTTGTTTTAAAGCATAAAATAAAAAGAAAATTTGTCTGTTTGTTGTGTAAGATGTAATTTTATTTCATCTCGTGAGCTTTAAAAACAGTATTCTCACTCGTGGCTACGCCACTCGTGAGAATACTGTTTTTAAAGCCCACTCAATGAAATAAAATTTCATCTTACACACAAACAAACAAATATCCTCTATATATCACTTATATATTTATGGTTAAAACAAGTTAAAACGAAATTTCCTTAATATTTACGTTAATATTAAAATCTGTTTCCCCATTTAGAGCCTCAAAAAAGTCGAATTTCTCATTAAATGCAAGAAGACATGGGCTGAAAAATAAGTTCCACAATCAATGTTAAATGGTGGTGATAGTATTCATTTTATTAAAAAAATATGTCTGATCGCATGTTTAAATAATAAAAACAAACAATTCTAGTAGGAGAAAAAGTCCAACCATCCATCCATATTTCTGTTACTGACTGCGAATTTATATTAGACCTGGCTTTGTTGAATGTAAACGCCGCCATTTTTAAAGTTGTGTATTTCACTGGAGGAAAATAATTGTGTTTGATTCAGAGGGATATCATTTGGATTTGTTAGTCATACACTTTTTTAAAAGAAAGAAAACTTATATGAGGAGTGTAACAGACAATAAATAAGTGTTGACAGATGAGTAAACATTCAAAAAAGTGGATAGGAAATTGATAAATTTGAAAATCAAGTTATGATTTTATGAATACAATACTTACCTAGAATGCTACATTCAGAATTTCGCTTGCGACCTACTTATGACTCGCTTGTTTTGGTTAGTGAGTGTTTTCCCAACCTCACTTTCAGATAACCAATCAAGCACGCACTTCCGTTTAGACCACGTGACCTCGCTTTCTTGGCGACCTACAAATCGCCATTGAAAAACTGAAGTCCTGTGGGGAAGGAGGGTGGGTTCATGTAGCATTCTAGGTAAGTATTGTATTCATAAAATCATAACTTGATTTTCAAATTTATCAATTTTATTTCATACAATACGTTACCTAGAATGCTACATTCAGAATTTAATCTGATTTGGAAGCAATATTTAAACAGGAAGGTGGGTTTCAGTTTTACCAATATACTAAAAACAATATAAACCCAAAATAACAAAGTTTATAAACTCTAAAATGTACTTACTAAGTACTGAATCCTGTTTCTTCAGGCATCTTTGAATATCTAAATACTTGAATGCAACTTGGTGATATACCATATGAAATATCCTGTACAACCCACTGGTGATATACCATATGAAATATCCTGTACAACCCACTGTCTGTACAAAGTACCTTTAAAAACCAAATACTGTACATCCCATTGTTATATACAATCTACAGTATATATTCTGTACAACCCATATGTACAACACTTAAACGTATATCAGTTTAAAAAACTATAATCACTGAAATTTCCTCAAATTCGACTCGCCAAGATACGACTGACAGTTCGTCTATTTATCACGAGTAGTTTTTAGAAAATCTACATTTACAGTAGTGAAATAATGTTTCACAAAAGTGGTCTCCTTAGACCAGTCAGCGGACTCCATCACGCTTTTCACTGTTGCACCGTGGAAAAGTGCCCAAGAAGGACCTATACTTCTCGTTGAGTGACCTTTCACATTTTTAATGTTCTTTTTACTGTTCTTGTATGCATATTTGATAACTTTGACAATCCATCTTGAAATTGTCTGTGCTGTAACTGGTCGATGAGGTTTGTTAACCGAAAGAAATAGTTCAGTGACATCAGATTCTGTACCTATATTTCGAAATTGTTCAGTGCGTTTTAAATACACAGCCAAACAGCGTTTAGGATCTAATAATTTGTTCTTTGGAAACGCCGGAATAAACACAGGTGTAGGAACATGATTTGGTCTGTCTTGCTTGGAAAGGCCTTGTCTTATGAAACTTATACCTTTATTTTGTATGTTAACATTTCCCTCACCAAGCTTGAGATTCTGCAAATCACTACATCGTCTGAAAGATGTTACAGCAATAAGGAAGCTTGTTTTCCATGTAAGATGCTTCAGGGACGCTTTTCTCAACGGTTCAAAAGGAGTCTCTGTTAGTGCCTGTAAAACAAAAGGTAAATCCCATTCAGGAACAAGTTTTTTTAAAGGTGGTCTTTCATTAAATACGCCCTTTAAATGCCTTATGACTACAGGGTGTTGTCCAACAGCAAAATTATCAACCCTAGGTAATACAGAAGACATCATAGATCTATAGCCAGATAAAGTCCTATATGCAGAACCTGCAAAAAATTTTTCAGATAAGAAATTTATGCATTGTTCTAGAGATGCTGTGTATGGATCAATTTGTTGTTCACTACACCAATGACTGAAAATTTTGAACTTAGATCTATAGTCTTTCTTAGTGCCCAATCGCCATGAGGCTGCCAGTAATTTTCTAGATTTTTCTGAAAAGCCTCTTGTTTCATAGTATCTGTCGATATGAGCCATGCAGTCAGATTTAGAATCTCGGGTCGAGGATGTACAATTCTCCCCTTGACTTGAGACAATAGATCCGACTGCACGGGTAGTATCAGTGGTTGTGCAATCAACATTTGCAGTAGAATCGGAAACCAATGTTGACGCGGCCAATTCGGAGCAATTAGAATTAGTGTACACTGATATTTCTGCATGTGAGACAGAACACGTGGTATCAACTTTATCGGTGGAAATGCATAGGCATACATGTTCGTCCATGCGATTGAGAGGGCATCCACTGCATATGCCGCTGGGTGAGGAATCCAAGTACAAAACAGTTGTGTCTGTTTGTTTTCTATTGTCGCAAACAGATCCATCATTGGAAAACCCAAGATGCTGAAAACTTTCCTCACAACTGTTTTGTTCAAGGACCACTCTGTCTCCTTTACTCTGTATCTGCTCAGAGCATCTGCCAGTATATTCTTGTCTCCAGCTATATGAGCTGCTTTCAGTGACATGCCATTGGCTAGTGCCAATGTCCAAAGATCCCAAGTTTTCTGGCAGAGATTCAGAGATTTCGTACCCCCCTGTTTGTTGATGTATTGTACAACTGTCATATTGTCCGAGCGTATCAATACATTTTTGTGTTTCAGGCGGGGTAGGAAATGTCTTACTGTTCTGATCACAGCTTCCATCTCCAAACAATTGATGTGTTGGAGTTGTTGTAAAGGAGTCCAACGTCCTTGCACAGTAAGGCTGTTCATATGTCCACCCCAACCCCATGTACTGCTTGCATCTGTGGTTATCGACACATTTGTTTGACTCTGTAGATAACCACAGCCCTTGAGAATGTTCACTTCCTGTAACCACCATTGTAGATGATATTTTAGTGAATGTGAAACTGGTATTACATGTGAAAACGACATTCTTATGGGACTCCAATTTTGCAGCAAATGATGTTGGATCGGACGCATGAACAACCTTGCATTTGGTATCAGATCCAGACAAGAAGCTATTTTGCCTAGAAATATTAAATAGTCCCCGGCTGTATTCTGACCCAAAAGTAAATTTTGTGCCGACATTTTCAGGCCTGCAACTCTCTCTGGAGTTGGAAATACTAACCCCTTGTCTAAAGCAAACTGACCCCCTATGTAAGTTACTGATTGTGAAGGGACAAGATTGGATTTCTTTTTGTTGACTATGAAACCTAGCTCGAAAAGAAGATTCAGCATTGTTGTACGATTCTGAATCAGATAATGTTTGGACTGATTTATTGATAACCAATCGTCTAGATAAGTCAATAGGCGTATGCTTTGTTTTCGAAGATGTGCAGCTACTACTGCTGTGATTTTTGTAAAAACTCTTGGAGCTACTGTTGGTCCAAAGCACAGAGCTCTGAATTGATAAACTATTCCCTTGTAACAAAAACGGAGATATTTCCGATGTTTTTTGTGAATAGGGATGTGAAAATAAGCATCCTTTAAATCTAGACTGAATGCCCAATCCCCTTTTCGAACTAGATTCAGCACTTTTTTCATAGTATCCATCTTGAAATGTGTTTTCTTGAGATACATGTTGAGGGGTTTGAGATTTATTACTGGTCTCATTTCCCCATTCTTTTTGGTTACTAGAAATAATGTACTGTAAAAACCGGTTCTTATCATAGTCGGATGGACTGTTTCTATAGCATTTTTCTTTAAAAGCTCTTGAATTTCTATACCGATTAAATCTGAAACTCTTGAATTTACTTTTGTATGTTTTATGCCCAAAAACGGTGGCTTTTTTATAAATTCCAGTTTGTAGCCATTTTGAATAATATCTAAAACCCATTGATCGTTTGTTATTTTCTGCCATTCTGCAAAGAAATGACTGAGTCTTCCCCCCACAGGTATCTCTGGAAATTTTGCTATAGTACTTACCGAGTCATTTTCTATCTGATCGTCCACGTCCTCTGCCAACAGATTTGGAGGTATCGGGACGGTTTGATTTACCATAGCTGAATGCCCTGTCTCCCTGATATTTACTGGAGGAGTTGACTGCAGATACTGTGACTTTTGGAATACGAAAAGTATCTGAACTATTGGAGGAAGTTACAGTGCGCTGTCTGTCATATAATGGCTTTTTTGCAGGTGGTTCATTAGCCTTTGAATTTGAATTCAATTTGCGTTTATACACTGTATCTTTTTTGCGAAAATCTGGCAAAAGTTCATCTATTTGCTTTTTTCTTTCTTTGCGTTGCTTTAACAAAGTTTCAAAATCTGGACCAAAAAGCCCTTCACCTGATAGTGGTAAACTTGAGAATTTCCCATGATCATGTAATTCAAAGAGAGATGTGTCAGACATAGCTAAAGATCTTCTAATTATGTGGAAAAAGGCTCCTGTCCGGCCAAACTGATCCATACTTCTGGTAGTGATAGCAAAAATATTTCTCACTTGTTTAACTAGATCTTCAGAATCAAAATTACCTGTGAGAAGTACCTGTAATAAATTCCCTAGTCCTTGTTGAACATAGGCCTGAGTTATCATTCCTATGCGAGCTGCATGGGAGCCTTTGTAGGCAATTCTTTCTACACTCTTGCAAGGTTGAGAATATAAACTTGTCATCCCTTTGGGTTTAGAATTTGCGAAGGATGCTTTTTCACCATGTTTTCTTATAAGTAAAGATTCAAATAATGGATCAATTTGAGGTACTTGAAGAAATTTTTCTGTTTCTTTGCTAACTGGAAATTCATCAAGTAGATTTTCATTATAGGCTGACAAATGTTGTGGATTCTTAGTCCTATAACTGTTTGAAATTACAGATTTCTGAGCATCATCAAGTAATATACCATTCTCTTCCGGTTCTTTACTTGGTAAAAGAGCGTCTTCTCCAAATAATTCAACAAGACAACTTTTTGTTTTTTCAGACAACGTTGAATTTGAATCATTTTTATCACACGACTTCTGTAATTCAGAATTAGAAGCTTCTGGATCAATGTCATTCAAATAATTATCAACATCCGTATTTGATGGAATTGTAATGATGTCATCACGTTTTGGTAAACCTGAATTCTTATCCGAATTTCTTCTATCCGAAATATCGTCATCTGTACTATCAGAATCAGAATATGGATTTCCGGGAGAATGTTTGGAAGATAAAATACTAAAGAGACGGTCTAACTTACTGTCCATACACTGAATTTTCGAATCAAATTTTTCTTCCAGCATCTGATATTTAGTTTTTCCCGAATCTTTGCTTCGAGAATTTGAACGTTTCTTAGTCGGGGTTTTCCCTTGAAACTGCACAGAATCTCCCTCGCCTTCTAATTGCGCTTCACGCGAAGGCGTGGATTCATAATCCAATATTTCTCCGTCTTCTTGCTCTTTGGAGCGACGGATTTGTTCTTCCGACATAGTATTGTCAAAAAATAATAATTTCAAACAAATAAAATAAAATACGAGTCTTACTGGAGCTATGTAAAAACACGTCCGATTTGTACGGTCGCCAAGATCGAAAGCGAGGTCACGTGGTCTATACGGAAGTGCGTACTTGATTGGTTATCTGAAAGTGAGGTTGGGAAAACACTCACTAACCAAAACAAGCGAGTCAAAAGTAGGTCGCAAGAGAAATTCTGAATGTAGCATTCTAGGTAACGTATTGTATGAAATAAAATTGGAAAACTTGGAAGCCTTACGAACGCTGGGTTGTTTTACATATTCTTCGACTGAAAGCTGCCATTGCTTTTCAAGTTTTCATAAAGCACACTGCAGTTTTTGCTTGTAGGATACTTAAATATGCCCAAATGTCATCAAGAGCAGTTTTGCATGTGGAAGGAATGTATTTTTCAGACTGTAAAATGAAACAAAAAATTAAAGAGACGATATTTGGTGATTGGTAATTTTAATGAATAGAAGTAACTTACTGTAAGTTTTCTTCTTTTTATTACTTTTGACATATAAGTTATTTATCAATTTCAGCTTTGCTTTTCTTTAAACAGCCTGATATTGACGGAATAGTCAGCAAAAATAAAATTGAGGTACAACATGGGGAAAATCTTAAAAAAGTAGTTTCGTCATTGAAAAGTGTGAAATTATATTTTGATAATTTTCACTGTGAAATTATCAAATATAATTTTCACGGATAAATCAGTAATCCACTGAAAAGCATAAAATAAATGTCTATAAACCACCGCAAAGCATGTAATATTTTTTTTTAATACAAATTCTCAAAATAAGAGAAGGTTTGTGATCCAATAATAAATAAATAAATAAATAAATAAATAAATAAATAAATAAATAAATAAATAAATAGTAAATGATGCAAAATTATATTTTGAAGTTTATGGTAAACTCTGAAACGAGTATATAATTAATTTGAAGGAAAATACGATAGATAAATTCTGCTCCGCTTCGAGTTGCAAGTTCGTAATACAAAATAGTTGTGCAAGCAGCATATAACGAACGAAGCGGAAAGTATCGTGTTAATACATATATCTGGTTTTCAGTCATTTCCAACAAAAAGAGTTATATACAAAAACATACATTTTTCGCTCCAAGATGGCGGCGTTTGTTTACATTTTGTAGGATACGACGCAGTTTTGATTCCCAGCCCTGAATCCTGCCCTTTTAGATACAATATGCGCGCCGCGGCGCAACAAAAAGAGTTATATACAAAAACATACATTTTTCGCTCCAAGATGGCGGCGTTTGTTTACATTCTGTAGGATACGACGCAGTTTTGATTCCCAGCCCTGAATCCTGTCCTTTTAGATACAATATGCGCGCCGAGGCGCCGTGTCTACACCTATCCAAGTCTTGAATGCAAGTATCATATTCTCTTGAATTGGATAATGTAGACACCCTACTTGAATGGTTTTTAATGAGAAATTATGTGACATCCATGAAAATAATTTCTTGCAAGAAAATTAGAACAGGTTCTATTTTTCTACAAGTTTTTGGCTGTCAAGACACTGATAAGACCGGTTTGACACAAAACATGTGCCCCAAGTTGTGATATTGTTGTTATTTTTACAATTGTTTAAACTTTTTTGTTGTTGGTTCAGTGTACATGACCTGTGAATTTTAGTAAATGTTTACAATGTCTTGGTCAAAGGAACAAATCAATACACTGATGCACAAAAGAGCATTAAAAAAAAATTAAAAATGAGATAGTTTATTAAAAGTTATTAATCAATAGGAATTTTAAATGATCTTGTTTATTTAGTGAATAATGTTTATCAAATAAAGAATTTGCTTCAATTAATAAGCTCAAAATTTTTTTTCTTCACATTTTTCATTTTACACATTTCATTTAATTCATTGTTTTAGCTAATTGCATCATTTTCCCGCTTTTTTATTCACACATTTTATAGAAACATGATAGCATTGCAAAGACAAAGGTATAAATCCTGGACAATCTTAATAAGACATTTCAGTAAAAATTGTGCCTGATTATATGTTGAAAGGACCATTTAATTAGCTTATCTAAATGTGACATGTGAGAAACTTGAATAGGTGTAGACGAGGCCTTAATTATACACATGTAATAGGTAAAACCACAAGAATTATCTCTCCCGTTACCTACCCACAAACCGGTTGCTTGACACAAGTCAAGCATTTTGTGATCGCGTGTATCGCGTGTTTACAGACGAAATAGGACACCGTTATAACTGATGTAAACATCTGTTAACATATAAGTAAGATCCAACAGAATGCTATAAATATTCTGGTAAGGCTTTCTATTTTGCTTGTAAAAAATGCACGAAGCTGTATTTTGTTATCATTTCTGCTGTTTAAATTTTCACTTCAATTTTCACAAATGATATGGTAGGATAAATGTTGAAATGTACATACAGTTTTTAAAGTATTGCGAAACAACAAACTATTTACATTTTATTTCAGCTCTAAAGATTTCGTGAATCAAACGAAAAAAATGAACTTGGAAACGATTGTTTCCCAGGTTTGAATATTTTTATTTATACTCTTTATGTATTTTTTTCTTCTTCTGTCATTGAAACGAAGGACATATACCCGATACCCAAAATTAATCATATTTAATATATTATTATATTAAAGAGACTCAACTGAGATTTTTTGACATGAAGGGACTGGAAATTTAAAAAAAAGTTCTATTTGATGAAGGGATAGATCAATAACTTGTTTGAAAAAATTCAGAGCATTCGCTCACACAGTTTTTTCCAAAATAATTATTCTTATTGAAAAAATGACCTAAAATAGAAAAGCGTTGCAACACTTTTAAGTCAAATCAGGCTAAGGATAGCAGTATAAAATTAAAGAACAGAAGGCGCTGAATTTGTTTGGGTCTCAGATTGTCAGAAAGGTGAAGGTTGTGATATTATAAACCAATTTGTTTTTGTATAGTGCAACCAATGCATTCCAGTGTTTTGACTGTAGTAAATTTGCTATAAGACTTATTGCAACACTGATATTCAATTTAATAGTTATTTGACTTAAACAATTTTGCTTGACAATTAATGTGCCTGTCATTTAACAATCTTTACGCAGTGATCTCCCCTGAATTTTTCGGCGTTAGTGTACATATAAAGGGAAGTAACCGCTTCAAAAAAGCGGACTACTTTCGGCATTTGCAATTAACAGCATCAGGGTCTGAAATTTCGCTACCATTATTTGTTTTGTCTGACGACCCAAACAAATAAAAATTAAGAAGAAATATATGATAACCATTGGTTATCGATGAAATAAGGATTTTACACAGGGTATCGCTGGGACATTGACCTAATGAGACATTAATAAGATTCGTCCTATGGCCAGAGCAATGTCTTTAAAAGTATTGTTTTTTATCAAATAATATTAAACTATACACACTAAGTCATAGAAATGTAGACTAAAGTGCCTTCAGCAATTGGTCTGATAATTGTTTAGTGACCGATGTTTCGGTGACCTTGAGTATTTGATCTACTAACCTCAACATTTATGGAGGTCATCTATTAGTCATACACAACCTTCATCTTTCATATAAGGACTGTATACCAAAGCGTTTCAGTGGTCAATGTCACCGGGTCCTGGAATTTCGACCTTGACCTACTGAACTCAAAATCATCTACGAGCTATTGGCAATGTTCATAACAAAATTTAATTGACTAACCTTTGCTTATTACTTCTCAGTTACTTGTCAGAATGACACGACAAGGCTAACAGGACCTGCAAACGAATCAGCCACAACAACCTCACAGTTTGCTCCAATGGTTAAAGTAAGGGAGTGTAGAATTTCGATACATTCAGTTAGAAAAATTATGGTCTTCTTGACATAGGACTGTAGGCAGCCATGCTGTGTTGGAAAATAGTTCCTTCCTTTTTTAGAAAAGTAAGAAGAGGAGGTTACAACAAGTGCACCACATGGAGTCATATTACTTCTTTGATAAAAGAGCCACGACTAAAATAATTAAGTTTCATGATATTTAATTTATATTAATGCTCATAAACTAAAAGTAGAAACTGGAAGATATCGAAATATTCCTGTCAAAGATAGAATTTGGAAATGTTGTCTATTTCAAGATATCGGAACGGAAGAACATTTTATAGTGATATGTTAATTTATGATTTTGAAAGAACTCTCTTAATAGCTCGTATATTTGAAAAGGCAATAAACTTTAAAACTCCAAAAAGTCAGAACAGGTTGTGTATATAATGTTTATTGAGAATAATGGAACTGTTTATCCTGTAGCAAACTTTGTCAATAAATGTTTATGTCTAGACTCGAATTTCTTAAAAAAAAGTTGCATGTGGTTGAACTTATATAGAGGATCAATAACCAGGTTTTCAACGAAAACCGGGTTATTGTAATGCCGAAAACTTTTGGTTTCCGCTCAATAACATTAGTTTGCTTTGGCCTATTGACACCAAACTTAGTATGTAGGTAGCTTATATCAAGAAGCAGCTTGGGATTGCTACCCAGGTGTCTGTGATCAAGGTCAAGGGCACTGTTGCTAAAAATAAAAATTCAGTATCCGCTCAATAACTTAAGTTTGCTTTGGCCTATTGACACCAAACTTGGTGTATGGATAGCTTGTATCAAGAGGCAGCTTGGGATTGCTACCAAGATGTCTGTGATCAAGTAAAGGTCACTGTTACTAAAAATAGAAATTCAGTTTCCGCTCAATAACTTGAGTTTGCTTTGGCCTATTGACACCAAACTTGGTGTATGGATAGCTTATATTAAGAGGCAGCTTGATGTTGCTATCCAGGTGTCTGTGATCAAGGTCAAGGTCACTGTTACTAAAAATAGAAATCCAGTTGCTGCTCTGAAACTTGGATTTGCTTTGGCTTATTGACACCAAACTTGGTGTATGGATAGCTTATATCAAGAGGCAGCTTGGGATTGCTATCCAGGTGTCTGTGATCAAGGTCAAGGTCACTGTTACTAAAAATAGAAATTCAGTTTCCGCTCAATAACCTGAGTTTGCTCTGGCCTATTGACACCTAACTTGGTGTATGGATAGCTTATATCAAGAGGCAGCTTGGGATTGCTACCCAGGTGTCTGTGATCAAGGTCAAGGTCACTGTTACTACAAATAGAAATTCAGTTTCCTCTCAATAACTTGAGTTTGCTTTGGCCTATTGACACCAAACTTGATGTATGGATAGCTAATATCAAGAGGCAGCTTAGGATTGCTACCCATGTGCCTAAGGCCCCCACGATTACACGTTTAAACGGATTCGTTTCGATTTTCATTCATAAACGTTTACGATATTGTTTACCGTTTAATCGAAATGACCATACTGTCTTACAAAATTTCTTAATCATTGCCTGTAATCATGGATTTTATCAATTCTAGTGGTTTATTCCAAAGTAAACAAACGGAAAATGGGTGTTTACAACCCTCCACACAGCATTACCGTGCAAAATTGCTCGTGACATAATACATTTTTGGTAAAAGATGGGGTTACAATGCAAAAAATGTGTGCTGACTCTATCGTGATGAGCCTTGCACATTCTTTATTTGTACATGTATTAAAAATAGAAAGAAAGACATCATTTGGCGACTCAAATACATGGTGTGTATAGTACATAGAGGTACCACCGTTTAAACGGTATCGTTTCGGTTCTTAGCAGTCGTGTAAACGTTTACAAAAAATTGTAAACGTGGGCTCAGCCTTACATGTGCCTGTGATCAATGTCAATGTCACTGTTACTAAAAATAGAAATTCAGTTTCTGCTCAGAAACTTGAGTTTGCTTTGGCCTATTGACACCGAACTTGATGAATGGGTAGCTTATATCAAGAGGCAGCTTGGGATTGCTACCCAGGTGTCTGTGATCAAGGTTAATGTATTTAGTTTTCATGTTAAAACTTGAGTTTGCTTTGACCTTTTGACACCAAACATGCTGAGTGGCAGCTTTGGATTGCCTCTTAGATATCTGGAAGCAAATTCAGTGTCATTTGCTTACAATAGAATTTTCAGCTTCTACTCGATACTTTCAGTGCACTTTGACCTATTGACTGCCTGGTCGTTAAAACCTTGTTTTCGTCGCATTGCGGCGCCTTTGTTCTATTCTAAAATTTATTTATTCTATGGCTATCATGTACTTCGCTTTTCATTAAGTTGAAAAGCTTTGTGAGTGTAAATGTTCAAATTATTGGTATTAATGAAAATCGTATGATTATTTTCAACGTTGAAAATGCCATTACTCTAGAAATACTGCTTATTTAGTTATGTCTTATATGTACTACAGATGCACCTTGTCCCCATTCCCCATTATCAATAAATACAATTAGATAGTTTTTTAATACAGCTCCTAATAACCAATTTGTACAGATATTCAATATTAAAAAAGATGAATATAGGAGCACAACTGCTAGAGTATTGATAAGGTCCCTTGTTTTTAAACTTTGTTTTGTCATGATAATTAAGTATTTCAGGTTTTTGCCTGTCCCTTCGATAGCTTTAAGATCGTTCTACTTTATAAGCAGTTATGCTTAAAATGGGCACATCTCCGAGAAATATAGCTTTCAGAAAAATGTTTCTTGTCTTGCAATTGCGAATATTTCACGCCGACAACAACGACGACGCAGTAATCATAATAGCTTGACTAATTCTTCGAAACAGACATGCTAAACGGTTTACAATTTTATCACATCGCGTTATTACACAATCCTATCTATAGACTAGTTTCTGTACGTTAATAATGAATGAGTAAAGAGTAAAGACGCTGTTACATTTATATGTCCATTTCAATGTTATTTTATGACACCTCGTGTGAAATGAATACAATTTGATACTGTCTGATGTAAAGTATTATTCTTATTTCTAGATTTATTTACAGCTTTTGTATGACCAATTATTTAAATATGAAAATAATGTATTGTTGTTTTATAGGTTCGCTATATGAGGAGACGGTTCTGTTGCGACTTTTACAGAATTTGCCGGCAGAGAAATATTATGGCGTATATAGCTGCGGTGATAATAGTTATCTTTCTTGCTCCTACAAAATTTAAACTAATTTCCAGTCTGACCTCTGTTTTAAAGGTAATATATCTTCCTTTATATTTACACACATTTCAAGAATAATCTTTGTTTTTAGGGTAATATAACGTTCTATATACTTTAACTCATTTCCAGTCACAGATAAGATAGTCCCTGTATATTTTCACATATTTCAAAACTAACCTCTGTTTTAACTGTAATATGACTTCCTGGAAATTTCCAAAGCATGTTAAATAATTGAGAAAAAAAACAGACATGTTTGCAATTTTTATACCTACATATATACTATATATGCTTTAACAGTCCGTATCAATAGAGTAAAGTAAAAGTGGATCTATATAATGTTTTAAAGGATACTATGGGATATTGCAGGAAAAAGAAAAGAAACCCTGCGTACGTAAGTACGCCCAAAACGGAAAATAAAAAGAATTGATTGAGCCTATTCCTAGTCGGTTCTGGAAAGTACAGGTTACCGTCCACGTATCTCTAGCACCGGCTTAAACATAACTCAAAATTTAAACATGTTAATGGTGAAACTTTGAGTTTAGAAACACCTGCATATGTCTTCATATTCTTCGGTCATCATGGAATCTTCAATGTGACACGTATGTGTCATTCTATGAAAAGCGGCATATGGTCCCAAAGTTAAAAGCGTACCATTGTGCAATCAGATCCAGTACTCGTTCATTTCAAGCTAGTTTTGTCTATTTATATTATAGAATTGTTAATGAACGATAAAAAGCAAATCCTTAAGAATTTATCATTGTATATTGAAAAGGCTTTTACTTTGAGAAAAACTGTGTTATATGGTAATTAATGCTTTGAATGCTAAAATTACTTCACTGTAACAAGAAATGCAGTATTTAGTGTGTATGCTTTCATGTTATTATCGATTTGATATGGTATATTTTTATATAAGTAAAAATGTAGTGTATGACGTGTTTGAATAATTATACCCTATTATGTAAACCTCACTTTCTTTACATGAGATAATAATTGTTAAATAAAATGATACCTTGTGTTGAAGTTTCACAACTTTCGTTTCGGGTGAAACTTCAAATTAAGGGTGTAGTCACATATTATACGCATTTTATGTGCTCATCATTATTACGCTTTTAAGTTCAATTCAAGTCAAAGTTTTACCACTTTCGTTCTTTCGTTATTTGTCGGTAAAGCTAAAATACTCATACAGTTCGACAACATTAAAAAAAAATATATATATAACAGCAAATGCGATTATTATACCAAAACAATATTCAAAACGTGTAATTTGTTAGTCTCTATTCTTATGCATGATACGGTTTTTATTCAGAATCAGAATTGTATGGGTTTTTGAAGCAAAATAGTTATATTAATGATTACAACAATATATGAGTAGATAATATATGACACATAATTAGAAAGTCTCACTAATCGAAAATTTGATAAATTATATTATAAATACGCCTCAGTGCAAGGGAGATAACACAAATTAATGTGAATTTGCGTTTCATGTATAGTTATGTCCCCTTTCTATTGAAATTTATGAACACATATATATATATAAGAGACTAAAATGATTGTGTACATATACTAGATACATGTAGAGGTATGTTCAGATATTATGCATGTATATTTTGTAATATTATATATTGTTCAAAATTTATTTGTAATATATGTACCACATGGGTTTATGACCTTCTGGTTTGATTGAATAAAATCTTGAAAATCTTGAAATCTTATTATAGCTACTATAAACGATTTGATATTAATAAATAAACCAGGTTTTTATGAACGCAAATATTTTTTTTATTATTTCAGCAAAGTGAAGTTATCGGACAACTAGAAATAAATGTTACACACTGTAACACAAATCGAGAGATGACTGCAAAAATAGTGCCATCTTACATAAAAACTAAAACTGGCCGAATATATTTATTTTCTGCCATTATTGCCCATATAGAAAACGATCAGGCATTAAAACATAATCAAACACAAAATATTACTGAAGCATCTCCAACAGCTATCGTCACTGGATGGGAACATAAAAGCGGATCCTCTTATGATTTTAAATGTTGCTTCAGATTAAAGAATGGCATGTTCGTCTCCGTTCTATCTTGGAATAAATCTCATTGGGTTTATTTTCTAGAAGACTTTAATTTACAGGCAAAACAGTTCAAATGCCCAATTAACTTTGATATTAAAGATATTTCTTCGATCACGATCTTAGCTGATAAGAATGCAACTTGTCCAGAGGAAAACGTATTCTATATCTCACCTACAATCATAAAACATAGAAGTCCTAAAAATATTGTATCATAGTTTGGGGACCTTTCTGTTGAAAAAGTGTCAGAGTTAAATCGTATACATATACATGCACAGTGCGGTAACTGGAGTGCAGGTATCAGTTACCCGCACTCCAGATAATGCCCGTGGATTGGTTCATTTTTGCCGGGGTTTACATATTGTGACGGCAGAGAAAGGGAAAGGGGCAGAACTATCATATTCATCTGCTCGTTCATTGGTTAATTTATTCTGGGGTTTCATATTATGACAACAGGGAACGTGCTGTCATGTTTGACTATGATACAAAAGAGAAAGAACACCAAAACACTCGGCAATCTGATTTATACTCGGGGGCTACGCCCCCTCGTACAAATCAGATAGCCTCGTGTTTCGGTGCTCTTTCTATTACTAAGAAGTCGGAATGTTGGTGTATGTGTAAAACTTACATATGGATCTTTAGATGCTCAACGGCTGATAGAATGGTTTGAGATCCATAAATTATTTGGTGTTGACAAGGTTATAGCATATACCTACCAATTAAATTCAAAAGCAGCTAAGGTTTTAAAATTTTATGAAAGAAGTGGAATGGCTCAGGTTTATGACTTCGACTTTCCCGAGAAAGGTAAGGTATATACACATGGGAAATAAAATGAATGAGACATTCAATGGTAGCTATTCGATATCTTCTTAAAAGAACAATTTAGAGTTCACAAAAAAAAGTTTATGAAAATGAGCAACTTTTTAAGTTAATTCGGAAGGATGTCGTTATAAATTTTCTGTTTGTTTTGTTCAGAATTATTAGAAAATATAGTTACTCATTTTGCCATGTACCCGTTTGTCTTGAAAAACGAAGTCATTTTGATATCCCTCTCCCGACTAAGGAAACGGAAACTAGCAAGCAATCAAAAATATATTTTGGAAACCATAAAACAATTTTCACAACTATACTTGAAACTATATGTTTATCTGATATTAAACGACATGTTAACGAATATTTTCAGATATCATTAAACGCAACATTGGTGAGAACTCTCAATACTTGAATGATGAACAAGTGGTGTTATTTGACTGCCAGGAACGACTTAAAAATTATGATTATGTTGCAGTCGTCGATACAGATGAGTTCTTACTACCGAGAACGAAACATTTCAAAAATGCTTGGAAAATTTACTTTGTAAGTCACTTTTAAAGTGGCGGGACATCCGGCGTATAAATAAATATAACAAAGTGTATTCTATGTACATTATTATTTACTCTATCGGAATTGGCTTCATGTCTCTATCATTAACATAGAATGAATAGTCAGTTTTTCGTATTCAACATTACAAATTTAAATCAAAACCTTTCCAAAAGAACTGAGTAGAATGTCTTGCATATAGACTGGTGATTCCGTTAGTTCTACCCATGCCGGAAATTTCATCTGTGGAAGCCAGGTGAGTCGCGTGCTATACCATGGTATGCTTAGGATGGCCTTATTTCGCCGTTATGACTGAAGTTGTAATTTCATATGCTGTTGTAAGAAAAAAGTTACGGGTGTAATGACAAAAATGTTCATGGAAAATTGTTTTGTTAAGAAAAATAATTTCAGATATGAAGAAATCTGGTAAAATATGCAAGAAAAATATCTGACACATGTTTGCGGTTCGGATCGGAATATCCGTCCTTCGGGAACCCGCCCATAGTCCGATCCGAACCGCAACATTTGACAGATATTATTTATACATCTTATTCCACGAATATGTAAATGGTGCCAATGCCGCATTTTTTTTTTTGCGCTTAGTGCCTACACTCGCGTAAACATTATATGCATCATTTGTTTTTTGTTGTTGTTTTTTTCTAGGAAAATAAGTTTAGGAAAGAGAATGTTGGAGCGTTGTTCTTTTGCGTTAGAATCCGTGCATATACGTGGGGACCGTCAAACAAAAGCCATCCGCTTCATATCGGACGATACAGCAACTGTACATTTCCAATGAATGACAGAAATAAGGGTGTATATATACGACAAGGAAGTGTGTGGACTCATGGAGCTTATCCGTTACAGGGTTTCACAATGTAATTTAATTATCGTTTCTAACTCCCTAGGCTCATATACGTTTACGACAATAGCGAAATTGATGGCAAATTATCATGTAATACACCTTGGATTACCAAAAATATTTTGCATATTTCAGAAATATTCAACACATATGAAAATAAATTGAAAACATTCGTGCAAATACAGAACCATTCTAATGTAAATAGAATATGAATATTTGTAATACATGTACTAAAATCATTGTATCAGTCACTAAAACACTTGTCATGAAAGCTTTGAAAAACGACATTTTAGAAATTTTCATAACTGTTTGAAAACACAAAGTTTAACAGCGTAAGCAAAACTCGCACAAGGATTCAAATTTAAAAAAATAAACCAAGTGAAAAATCTAAATTATAAATGGGAGCAAAACCTTAACAATAATTTGAAATGGAAAGCAATAAATATTTCACTTTTTCATGATGCAGGGACACTGAACTTTGAAATGTTCAATACAAGTTTATCCATAGATATGTGGCAACAAACTTTTTTTTTTACATGAATCTAAAATCTTCGGATCAACTTTATGTTCTTTTTGTTATCGATCATTTGTTTTGAGAATGTCTATATAGACAACAGTATTGGAACGAAGTGTTTAAATTCATCAATAACAATAACTAAATATGATGTATCCATGATAATAAATCAATCAACTATATACTTTTACTTGCAAATGCAAACACTACCAATCCAAACCATCTATCTTTTTCAAGCTTTTTTTTATCCAAAAAGGGGAAATCGATTAGGATATGACCAAAGTCAATGCAATTAACATCTTGTCTTCTTGTATTATTTTATATCAACTTTAAATGTATATGCAAAGTGATTTTGTAAGGTAAGTATGGGATGATCCTCCAACCTAAGTTGACAAGGACGACTCAACAAGCATAAATTCAATGAAAACGGCTTATTTAAAACGTAAAAGTAATACATTTAAATGTTCATCCATAATTAATTTCTCTTTTCCTTGCCCCTTGATCACTACTGATTAATTGTTTAGTCTAAAGTTGGGTTTATTTTCGCTTAAGTTGAGTTTTACATTAAATGTACAGCATAGTGACAGCAACATAACAAATTTTTCGTTAATCGTAAAAAGTGCTTTTTTTAGCTCACCTGTCACAAAGTGACAGGGTGAGCTTTTGTGATCGCTTTTCGTCCGGCGTCCGTCCGTCGTCCGTCGTCCGTCCGTCGTCCGTAAACTTTTACTTTAAATGACATCTCCTCATAAACCACTAGGCCAATTTCATCCAAACTTCACAGGAATGTTCCTTTGGTGGTCACCTTTAAAAATTGTTCAAAGAATTTAATTCCATGCAGAACTCTGGTTGCCATGGCAACCGAAAGAAAAAACTTTAAATATCTTCTTTTAAAAAACCCTAAGAGCTAGAGCTTAGATATTTGGCATGAAACATCTTCTAGTAAGTGTCTACCAAGTTTGTTCAAATAAAAGCCCTGGGGTCAAAATTGGCCCCGCCCCAGGGGGTCATTGATTTTCCCTATATGCATATAGTAAAAACTTAAAAAATCTTCTTTTAAAGAACCCAAAGAGCTAGAGCCAAGATATTTAGCATGAAACATGTTCTAATGAATGTCTACCAAGTTTGTTCAACTAAAAACCCTGGGGTGAAAATTGGCCCCGCCCCGGGGGGTCATTGATTTTCCCTATATGCATATAGTAAAAACTTAAAAAATCTTCTTTTAAAGAACTTAAAGAGCTAGAGCTAAGATATTTAGCATCAAACATGTTCTAATAGGTGTCTACCAAGTTTGTTCAAATAAAAGCCCTGGGGTCAAAATTGGCCCCGCCCCGGGGGTCATTGATTTCCTTATATGTGTATAGCAAAAGCTTATAAAATCTTCTTTGAAAAAACCCAGATAGCTAGAGTTTAGATATTAAGCATGAAACATCTTCTAGTGAGTGTGTACAAAGTTTGTTCAAATAAAAGCCCTTGGGTGAAAATTGGCCCCGCCCCGGGGGTCATTGATTTTCCCTATATGCATATAGTAAAAAACTTAAAATCTTCTTTTAAAGAACTCAAAGAGCTAGAGCTTAGATATTTGGCATGAAACATCTTCTAGTGTGTGTCTACCAAGTTTGTTCAAATAAAAGCCCTGGGGTCAAAATTGGCCCCGCCCCGGGGGGTCATTGATTTTCCCTATATGCATATAGTAAAAACTTAAAAAATCTTCTTTTAAAGAACCCAAAGAGCTAGAGCTAAGATATTTAGCATGAAACATGTTCTAATGGTGTCTACCAAGTTTGTTCAAATAAAAGCCCTGGGGTGAAAATTGGCCCCGCCCCGGGGGGTCATTGATTTTCCCTATATGCATATAGTAAAAACTTAAAAAATCTTCTTTTAAAGAACTCAAAGAGCTATGGCTAAGATATTGAGCATCAAACATGTTCTAATAGGTGTCTACCAAGTTTGTTCAAATACAAGCCCAGGGGTCAAAATTGGCTCCGCCCCGGGGGTCATTGATTTTCTTTATATGTGTTTAGCAAAAACTTTAAATCTTCTTTGAAAAAACCCAAATAGCTAGAGTTTAGATATTAAGCATGAAACATCTTCTAGTAAGTGTCTACAAAGTTTGTTCAAATAAAAGCCCTGGGGTCAAAACTGGCCCGGCCCATGGGGTGTCATTGTTTTAACTATATGTGTATAGTAAAAACTTTAAAAAAATCTTCTTTTAAAAAGCCCAATGAGCTAGAGCTTAAATGTTTAGCATGAAACATCTTCTTATGGGTGTCTACCAAGTTTGTGCAAATAAAAGCCCTTGGGTTAAATTGGCTCTGCAACGTTGGGGGGGTGGGGGTTGGGGGGGGGCCTATATACAGGTGAGCGACCTCAGGGCCATCATGGCCCTCTTGTTGTATTTTCTGATCGTAAGATCAGTAAATACATAGCTAACATCCACGGTCTAACACAAAATTTTCTCACAGTCCTAACAACGCAAAGTAGTTATCTCTCAAAACTGCGTAAAAACCAGCAATTTAAAAGAAAGAATATTTTTTAATGTAGGCATTTAACGAATTACAGTGCATTAAAAGTTTAAATTAGTCAATAAAAATATGAGGTTACAATCACAAATTTCGCGGATGAATATCTTTTTTACCCAATGAAAAATGTTCGGCTATTTCCGTAAAGCTTCGGGTTATCATGAATATCACTTTAATCAATGAAAATGCTATTTTAGCTATGCCGATTACCAAATACTCCAGAGCATAGTACAAATGTCGAGTAGTGGAATACATATATATATACATGTCGGACTGTTTTGGCTAAATTAATTTCATCAGTGTTAAACAACACGTTTATCGTAAACAAAATACCTCGAAATTAATAAGGATTAAAAACACAAAATGGACATTCTCAATTTAGAATTACATAATGTATTCGTTTTTATTCAAGGTACATATGTATAACTTGGCCGTGGTGCAGAGGTAAGCGGTCTCGTTGAGGGTGTGAGAGGCCTATGGTTCAAATCCTAGTCGAGGCAATTCTATTTTTTTCATGCAAAATTCCATATGTATCAATCTCAAACTTTTTTAGAAGAAAATCATAACGCTGTCGCCGCGTAAGATGAATGATAGTAAATGAAAATAAACTTATACAGGAAAGTACATACAGATAGTCTGTATGATTTAGATTGCAAAGATCAGAAAATACAACAGAGCTGCAGCCCTTTGATTTTTATCAGACACCCGAGTAGCGCAAGCTATATTTGATGTGCAAACAAATGCTTCTTTAACCATTATAATGAAAAAAGGAAAATTAAAGAACATGCCCAGCTTATTTGTCAAAGTATTTTCTTACTTTTTCAGTTATGTGGTGGCGAACGTGAGTGAAGCCGTTATACATCATTATAGACACTGTAGAGAGGAATGGTTGAATACAACTTCCACACATGTTAGCCGTTCAGAAATGTATCTGTTTCATATGACAAACACGACTAAATGCACCGATTTTCGCCGGTCCCATTCCGATGTTATTGGTCAACTGGCTGACAATATGAAAGCTGACGTATTTAAAAGACTAGAGGAAGTAGAACTGTGAATTTAATGTTATTTCACGGACATTTACATATGTAAAAACATTAAACAGTACAATATCACAACAGTGTTTTACTTCTTGCATGTATATATAATAGACATGAAAAATAGAAAAGCAAACATTCCTCAGTAAAAAAAATAGACAAAAATGCTCTTGTCTTAATCATCTAAATCAAATGATTATTCAATACTCCCTTTTTAAATAGGGGCTTTTTAGCTCACCTGTCACAAAGTGACAAGGTGAGCTTTTGTGATCGCCTTTCGTCCGGCGTCCGTCCTTGGTCCGTCCTTCCGAAAACGTTTACTTTAAACGACATCACCTCATTAACCACTAAGCCAATTTCATCCAAACTTCACGGGAATGTTCCTTTGGTGGTCACCTTTAAAAGTTGTTCAAAGAGTTTAATACTATGTAGAACTCTGGTTGCCATTACAACCGAAAGAAAAAACTTTAAATATATTCTTTTAAAAAAGCCAAAGAGCTAGAGCTAAGATACTTGGCATGAAACATTTTCTAGTGAGTGTCTACCAAGTCTTCTCAAATATAAGCCCTGGGGTCAAAATTGGTCCCGCCCTAGTGGGTCATTGAATTTCCCTATAAGCATATAGTAAAAACTTAAAAAATATTCTTTTAAAGAACTCAAATAGCTAGAGCTAAGATATTTAGCATGAAACATCTTCTAATGAGTGTCTACCGAGTTTGTTCAAATAAAAGCCCTTGGGTCAAAAGTGGCACCGCCCCAGGGGTATCATTGTTTTTAACTATATGTGTATAGTTAAAATTACCAATGAAAATTCTGCCTATATTCATTTCTTTATACTGTTAATTTTAGCGGAAGTCGAGGTTATAAGAAAAGAAGCATGCGAGAGGTCTAATTGCTGCTTTAGAAGATTTGTTTAATTGAAAATATTTGGAAAAAAGAAACAATGAATGGTTATAAATGACAATCATTTAACAAAATAGATTTTATTATATAAATTGAATATATAATATCATAATGAAAGTTTGTTTTACACTTCATTTTTTAATGTTCTGAAAGAGTATATGCCTGAGAAATGGACTATTTTTCTTGGCGCTTTAGGGATACTTTTTCTACAAAGGGAACTAAATTTAAAATAAATGAAAAGTAGTATCAAAATGAAATTTTCTTGTAAAATTCAATAAGCAAATTTTCGGTAAATGTTTTGGTAAGTATATGGAAACATTTCCTCTACATTTTCCAAAACGGGCATAAAGAATGTTAATCAGACAATTTTAAATCCAGGATTTACATAAAAATGTTTTATTTCATTTGATTGGAATAAACAGAATATAAAGCTACATGCCTCCAACTACAATATTTTAAGAAAATCAAACTTTTGTAAAATGTGTGCCATTTGCGCCAAAAAATCCCCGTTGCGTCAACCGAAGCAGCTACATTTCGGTACACGGTTCACTCGGCCATATAAAAGTGCATGGTGTTAATGTAGCTAAAGTGTTCACCGTCATTATTCACAGTATATAAACGATTTGAACCCCAACCGGATCTTGTGAGAAGATGTCAGTGTCAACCATTTTCTGACGCTTGACTTATTTAATATATTGGTATTTATATTGATACTTATGGACTTTTGGTTAGTAAATCTTTATTTATATCGTAGAAGAGAAACTTTATTTAACGTTTAAATTATGCAAAATAAAGATGTTAACATTAAAGCTAAAAAAATAATCGAAACTCACGAACTGCTTTTATGTGATCAACACTGAACACGAACAAAAATCTGTCTTATTTCAAAGTTTATTTAGTTAAACATTGAATCGTGATATCGGACTACTAAAATAATCAATAACAAACGATAATTTAGTCATCTGCAAAAAAAATGCTGTATTTTGAACATTAAATTAAGAGTTTAACCAAGGAGGTCAATTCCGTAAACTGAACCCTACTTGTGAGTTTACGAATTTTATCTGTACCCTGACTTGTGAGTATTTTAAAAGATTTAATGGAGAGAACGGTTATCATTTAACGTATTTATATGTTTATTGACAGGCAGAATGGAAGAATTCAGTTGTCTTAATTGCCCCCTTTCTCTTAAAAAAATCGGAAACACTATTGTTCACAATTATGACATAAGAACAAAAGCTTAAAATAACAATTTCTCAGTTTGACAACAATAATATAAACATTAAAATCATACTCCAAAGACGTAAGAATTATTCCAAAAGAATTGACAAGATTAAAAAGGACTTTTAAAGCAAATGATATTACAAAAACAGTAAAAGTTTCAAGACAAGAACGACTTGAAAAATAATCTCCAATCAATAAATATCAAAAAATCAAAACGCCTGTTAAAGATGTTCACACATCGACCAAAGATACGTTTATAGTACAGATGACTAAGAGTTTAAGTTTAAACTTGAAGTCAAATTATTCCACAGATCCGACATTTAAGTTTTCAGGGGAATGTTTGTTACACGAAAGCTACTGTCAAGACCCTCAACTACAAATGATTCATCCAAATCCATCTGAAATACAGGTATATGGCAATTTATAGATATATATATATATTTTGACTTAAGATCACTAAATAAACTTTTCAAGTTGTCTGAAAAGAAAACTAACAGGTTGTCTTAGACAATGGCAAGACTGTTAACTTTTTAAAAATAAGTGGAAATAAACTTGCAAGAGTGAAAACTACCTTTTACACATTTAACAACAATATGCAGGAAAATCCTTAAAATGATTTATTATGAGTGATCCTAGCCGCGCATGTAAGAAATAGAAATGCAAGGCATTTATGAGAATATAAAACCGTGTTTCAAAAAGCATAATGGAATCGACGGTACGTGTAAAGCTTTCATGTTGAAATAAGTAATCATGTGATGATCTTTCGAGGAGGATGGATTGATATGTGACGTTATATAACGGTCGCGTCAAGACTAACAACAATGCCGTTGAACTTAAAAGTAGAAACGTTTATAGTACTTATGTTACATCTTAGCTTTATATCTTTTCAAAGAAAAATGAATGGCAAATGAAGATAAGATTTGTTGGTCAAGAATTAATTTTCTTTCTAATTCGTATTACCAGCTACTTCATGCTTGTATTTCCATGGAAAGTGAGAACATGGTGAATGTCCGTTCATGTGCAGTATTGGTTACTTGTATAGAACTAAAAGATGTGTCATGCTCTTGTGACACAATAACTTCATATTCTGCAAGATATAATTTGGAACATAGGACAAAAACAATAAAAATCATCAAAAGTGACTCGCAAGTTATGGTTCAGTGAAAACAAAAGGAGGGTACAGATCATAAAAATTGTTTTAGCAAGACGGGTACAGTTATCAGAATGTTCGCTTCTATTACTTTCTGTGTTTTTATCAATATTCAAAGATATCCACACAAGTGTCTGTGCGGTAAGACAAGTTTAGACAATAAAGTTAAGATTCAGATACGAGTTAAAGTGAAATAAAACAATTTTAGGCATAAATTTGCTTGTGTAATCGGCGTGTGTTGACATAAACAAAACACGAAGCGAAGAGCAAAGAATCTGGATATAAATGTATCTATATGCAAAGAAAAAACATTTCTTAATATGATTCAAATGTTTTCATACCGTCTCAGATTAAATGCAAACCGTCTTAAAAAGTTTTATTGGTCACCCCGCCTGTTTGTACTGAACTGATGTTGAGATCTTCTCACAAGATCCGGTTGGGGTACAAATCGTTTATATACTGTGTAAAGGAAGTATACAATACACACTGTGTAATATAATGTAATACAGGGGTAATAAATTTTAATCTTTAACACCCAGCTGTTTAAATTTAAATTTTAAATACGGATGAATAAATCGTCTAATGATAACTTAAACAGATGACTTTTGTATGCGCCTTTTGGCCATTTAATTATTAGTCCCGCATATGTATTATATCTGTTATAAATATCAATTAACGTTTTAAGTACTTACCGCTTTAAGTCATCCCAAAATCACTGTTTTCTGGTTGCCAGAACATGGAATCACGACTTTTAAAGCCTTAAAGTATCATACACTGTTGTTAATTTTATTGCGAGTTTGCCCTACGCAGAGTGCGCATGCGTGAAATGCAACATCGGTTGCTATGGAAGAACCGTATTGTAAAAAGGTCTATAGATTGTCTTTATTACCGGTTGACAACTTGTTTTTGATAAAAAAAATAATTTCTTCCATCGTTTGCTTATCATAGGTATTTCTTTCCTTGTAAGAATAGTCTTATCTCTTGTTTCCATTAAAATGTTTCTAAAATAAATATTAAAAAAATGTTTTTCATTTATAACAAAATCTATTTTTTATATTTCTATATCTAAAACGTAATCTGGTAAACAATATTGTAATTTTATGTCATCTATTTTTTCTTATTTATAATATCAAAGACTCAAAATGCCATATATGTTTACTATTTTACATTGCACCATTACTGTAAATATCATTTGGCGACTTTCCAGCTTTAGTAGATGAAGAGAACCTTAGTTGCCCTCTCCGTGAAATATTTCAATCACGAACTGGCACGTGAGTAGAAACACACGTTACGTTAACTTATTGGATACGAATCGTCGTAGGTTCAATGTCATATAAAAGAGCAATATGAGATTTCTGTTTACCTTTTCTATATGACTTACTGGAACAAAACAAATATCTAGATGTATTATTGACTCATAAGGCCTATAAAATATATCAATATTTCATTTCCATACATACTGATACAAATTACTTGATACAATAAAATAGTCTTACCTACGTTCTGGTATAGAAGTTAGTTTTCTGAGGTCAGTTGTTTTCTCGTTTAGGGCACAGACGTTATTTTATTTGGTGACCATACGCCGATTTTCATGGAATTGAAATAACGTGTCACACAGTAGGTTTTATGAAAACGACTGAATGAAAATGTCTGCGGAGATTTCTTTCATCATCATCATCATCGTCGTCGTCGTCGTCGTTGTTGTTGTTGTTGTTCTTATTATATGTCACCATTTTCGTGTTTAAATATTGAATTCTGTTTGATCCGGTTTTGGGGGCAAACAGGCTCAAACAAACCGGGCCTGCAACATTTTCAATTTGTTGCCGTTTTTGTCGTTATTTAAAGATTTTATTTTGTGGCCTTAACTACAGATAATCATGAGTAGATACATGATTGAACTAACAAGCATTGAGAGCAAACAAAGAACAATATGCATAAACATATATCGATACACACAGCAAACAAAACAAACATTTTATCCTTAACCGATTCGTTTATCAACATCTATAAATGAATAATAAGGTGATCTTGCTAATTTTAAATAAAGATTGACAATACAGTTTTGTCCATAATAAAGCGCATATGCTAAATATAATTTATTTTGATTTTCCATTTTTTCCTAACGCTTTTAAAACAAGTGAATAAAATGAAAATGACAACTTCAATATTCTTTTAAAGACAAGATATTAATAAAATATTATACCATAAATAATATAAAAAATAAATTATTATAACATTTTATAATTAATTTCAATATGAAATGAATCATATTTGTACTGGTATTTCTTGATAAAAATATTTTCTATAGATGAAGATATATTCTTGTAAATACATGTATAAATCAGCGAGTTTCTGTGACATATTGTCACTTGTAAATTGTATGAAAGACAAAAAGAACCCAAACATTCATAGTCTAATCTGAGTAGTTTTTTTGTTTAATAGGTGATAAAATTCTACCTGTTAAAGAGCTGGAAATATGAAAATAGTTCTGCCATCATTGCCAGTTTATAATGCATTTAATGTATCTCGTGCTTTTGAGTGAGCGGGTCTTGGCAGGAGCAATAACTTTACTGATATTTTTCAACAAACCAACTTTGATATGTTGATTATTAATTCGATTATTTGTGTCATATCAAACGCTGCAGAACAGAAAATGAAAAATACTCATTTTCTGTTTTCTGATTCTGCTTTACATAGTTTGATTATACCTGCTGACATAACATCGTCAACCATCCTGTGTCTCATTCTTTAATTTCCTATTGCAATATTTTTCTTTATTAGTCTATCTCTGACGTAATTAGTTTATTTTTATATTAAAGGGCTAATACCTCACTTTCTGGAAGGAATGCAGTTGAAAGCCAAAATCTCATGATTATTTACTCCAATTTCCTGTTAGGTCAAAATATTATTGCATACATTTGACCTTAGAATGTTGTTGCCCTTGTCTGCTGCCTCTGGAATGCTCATCATCTTAGTGTTGTTTTTAGCTTTGAACATTTCAGGGCGTTTGTACTACGCTTTTGATGTATACCCCTTAACCACATTTATGATTTTTTTGTCGTCATTTTTCAGATCCGATTTCTTCAGTCAAATATTGGATTCTCATTTACTTTTCTTGTATTTTATTCTCAAGCTCACTAGTGATTTTTGATACACTTCAGTTTATGAGCGCTTCAGTTACAAGCCCGCTCCACTGGTACATGTATTGCTCTGAATAAGTCCTTTGATTTTAAGGGTTTAACTATTAATTACTTCTCAAATGTCATATAAGTTGGAAGTTAGTTTAATATGCCGCTGTTATTCACTGATATTATTATACATGTAAAATGATGTTTATGTTGTTTACTTAGTGTAACTTAAGATGGGAATAAAATGTTTGAAAGTTTGAATAGTAATTGAGACAAATTTAAATTAATTTAATTTTAATATAATGATAAATGGTCTGAAAAAGTTATTATTAATCAAATTTTAATTACTTTTCAATTACTTCTGTATTGCTTCTAAATATGTAAAAGAGGTTTATTTCCGAAAACGGAGATGTTCAGAAAGGATTTAGAAAGGACTCCGTCTTAACTCTTCTAATTAGTAAATACATCTTAAAAGTCTTAAAAGTATAGACATATAATGCATCCATAGCAGATTTTCCACTGATTTATAGCTTATGGATTTAGCTTTCATATATACGTCCATACCTAAAGACCCGGCTTTAATAAAATAATTTATATTAAGCATTGCTTGAGGGCATTTCAAGCTTTGTATACAACAGATAGTTAACAGGTAAATGAGGTTCAAATCTCTCTTTCAAAACTGGCTAAACTAAAGAGTATTTTAGCACACCAGCAACTTCAGCTCCAGTTTATGTGAAATCTTCCCGAAGTGTCCTCGTCGCAGAGAGGTCACACAGAAAGTCAAGCTATAATCGTGAACATTAACTCGTGCTGGGGCATACTATCACTTATAGTATGTTCCAGACTCGTGTGCGCAGGAAAATGCACGAAAAACCTCAATTTATTTATTTGTTTCTTTTTCTTTCTTTCTTCTTTCTTTCTTTCTTTCTGTCTGTCTTTCTTTCTTTCTTTCTTTCTTTCTTTCATTCATTCATTCATTCATTCATTCATTCATTCATTCATTCATTCATTCATTCATTCATTCATTCATTCATTTTTTTTTCAAAGATCGACTAGAATTTAACACCATATATTGCATGTTATGTGCTGTTTAATGTACCATCAGACGCCATGAAACATTCATTTTTCACGTTTTCTAGGGGAGGACCGCCAGGCTTTCCATATGAAAGGGTTGCCTACACTATACATGTATATATACCCAGTTTCTTATATTATTTCTAATTTTATACAAACAATGTACTTGATTGTACACACTGTTCATTAAAACGTTTTGTTTAGGCTATAAACATTAGCATAGAATGTTAGCCTACCTATTGAATAAATGCTTCGTATTCGTTTTTAGAAACAGGATACATTTCTTTCAAATGTATAGAATAACTGATTATTGGATGATCTTGTGACCTGTCAGTAATAACTAACATAACTAATTTACGTTTGTGACTATATATATATATATGCGGATAAAAGTGTGTACACATTCAAAAAGGAAACGTGAGTGTATTAATTAAGGAACAAGATCAGTTTTCGATATCGCACGTGGCCAATCGCACACGTGCACTAATTAAAAAAATGACCTTCTGCTTTCGCAAAATTATGTTGTTCTAACTATGCTCCTAGCAGTTTGGCTTTTGTAGATCTAATATATAATATGGTATTTAGAATTGTAATGAATGGAGAGAGAAAAAACAAACAACTTAACACATATATATAGCAATTAGAGGCTACTGCACTACGAAAGATGCGATTAGAAATTTAGCGGTATATAATTATGTTTTAATACCGGACGACTCATATCCGCAGATATGACTTTAAATACCGGCTATGACTTATATTTTACAAAGTAATTATATTTTATTAATTTTATCTTGATATAATGTTTTATAATAATGATAATAATAAAAGTCATATCCGTGGCTGACAGGAGATAAATTTAGTATATATAACTGTATGTACACTAGGAAAAACACAACACCTTTTAAACGCCACAGCCATGTAAATTTTGCATAACATAAAAGACGAACGAAGCTTTTGATAGGTGTTGCAAATAATTATCTTACTCCTCCGGTATGAGACCACTACCGAGTTTTATCAGTTGTTTAGAAGAGTAGCTTCCCTTTAAAAAATATGGCAGCTAGAAATCCTGGAGTAGAATTCGGTAAGTTATTTTTATTTTGTGATGGTTATTGATAGTGACAGCTGCTGTTGCCAATGTAATTTACAAAAAACAGCATTTTTCGATAACTTGATTGTAACCAAGTGCACTTGTTTTGATTTAATTGTTTTGGAAGTTTGCCATGTATCTTTTATTGGATTGTAACCTTTTTGACAGTTTGACCTAGTCCTATATTACAGTATACTATAAATATGACGTCGCTTTGAGATATTTTTGCTTCTGGGCAAAGTCAGGCTTGACCGACAAAAACTATAACAAACCCGTAACGTCTAATATATTGGACTAAGTTTGACCCAGTTCTGTTTTTACATGTTTGCAACCAAATACACTTACTTAATACTCCCTTCATTATTATTGTGTACTTATAAGGGCAAAATCATGTTAATCAGTCCGACACTCCATGCTTGATGAGGGTCCTTTTAGTCATTATAAGCTAAAATGAAAAAGCACGGATTTCATATATATCTTTCTACAGGCATTCAAATAAAAAAAATATATATATACGGATTAAAATATACGAGTGACATTAAGACCTGAATCGAGACAGACACATGAGAGTACTTTACTGTTACCATGATTGACTACTTCACTGCATCAACATTTGAAAACAGATTTACAAAAGTTTTAAATAATGATATAAATGTTTTTTGTTTTTTTTATAAATGATGAATGAAATTTAAATATTCTATGAATATGGCAAAATTGACAATCTCGGCACTATTTTGTACTAAAGAAATGAATAAATTTTCTTCCCATGCTGAGCGAATTGTAAAGGCCACAATACATTACCTGTAAAACTATTGTACGTTAATAAATTTGACTACATAACCCAATAAATCTTAAATATTGCATCTTTGATCATCTATGAATAACTAACTTTGGCTTCTTTTTTATTTTGAAATTGAAATTATTATGGTAGTAGGTACAATGTACTGTAATAATAAATTTCAAATAGCTGCTTGTTACATAAAAAAATGTAAATTTACCGCAGATTTCGTCAAGTTAAATTTTTAATCGTCATTGCGGACAGATAAACTGTACCTTTGAAAAATAAATTAAATATTTGAATTAAACAAGTATTTTTCTTCAAAACAACCTTTAAATTTCTAAAATCGGATAATAAATGTAAGAGCTGTATGGAATTTTGTAAAGTAGGTATTCGTTGCGAACGGGCATTCAAGCTTAGCGCCGGTAAATTATCGATCGATGCACCTTTATCAGGTTCACGACAAGATATTTAAGCATTTATATAGGGTTAACTGGGAGTGTCCGATCCTTGTAATATAAATCTGTGGAAAAAGGCAAAGCCTCAAAGGGAGCTCGGTTTTCTTTTACCGTAAGATAGTTTAAAATAGTTGTTCATTTTTATTTTACATTTTCCGTTTTAAAATTGTCGTTTTGAAATTGTCATTCAGAGTACATCAGCTTTTATCGTTATCTTGTAATTCGAAATGTTGCAATTTGTCCAATTCGGTACTTCGGACAAAAGTTTTCAAAACCATCACTTAGCAGGTACTCGTGTTACTGTAAAGCTCGCTTTGCGAGCAGGCCCTTCGGGCCAGCTCGTCGAGCTCACTATAGCATGAAAGTATCACACTCAGCTAGAGCTCTACTGGTCACATATGAAAAGAGTTCAAATTATAATAAATTTCCACAAATGGCAAGCAAACATGTCCCATACAAAAGCAGTACCCGTATTTCTTGTTTTAATGCTTGATTTTTACTTGCATTCTATAAAAAAATATATCAAATCATACAGATGTGTGAACGAGATAAAATCTAAGTGTCATTTCATCAGTAGGTACAAAAAGTTTTCATTTTAAATCACTTTCACCTGTGTGTTATCAAAACATGACATTGTAGACATTGGGGTAATCGTCATTGTGTGTATACACAAAAACACTTGCATATAAGGCTTGTAAAACTGTAAGGGTTTTCCAATAAAACCAACTGTGACCAGATAAGCCAGGGCAAAACAATGAATGAAAACTTGTTTTGATCTATATTACCATATGAAATAGATGTATGGCTATAATGTAATCTGCACAAAAAGTTGTACTTATTTTACCCAGAACTGTGACAAGATGACCTGTACAAATACATAATTACATTTGTCTTTATTTTCTATTTTTATTCATAATATCAGAGACATAGATAACAGAGATAGGCAACTTCCTAGCCAGTCAAAATATCACACGTGCCTGCTTAACTTAAAACTTGTAGCAAGTAAAACTTATTTACCAGATATCAAAATCATTAAAATAATACATTTTCTGAAAGCTAATTTATATGCATTTGTCTATGGCTGCAGATAAAAATATTAACAGTTCCCATTTAAATAAATGTTACATCAATTTTTAAAGAGAACTACTTAATAATTTTTGTTACAAAACTATTCATATGACAAAAAAAACTGGCTCAGTGGGTATGTTCTGCCATGTTTTTCTAAGTGAAAGGCATGGAAAGTTACCAATATTTTAACATGCAGCAATAGATAAAAGATTTACTTTTCAAATGGTTTATAATATTAAAGGATCAAATGTACATCCATAATGTTTTATTTGCTACAAAATGCCTAATTTTTCACTTTTTGATAGGCATGAGTGATATTTAAATGGAGTATATAGGAGCTGCTTATCTCTGTTATCTATGTCTCTGATAATATAAATTAATAAAGAAAACTGATCTTATATCAAAAACAATTACAATATATATTTTTGATCTTTAGGATACAGTAACTAGTTTGGTTAACATTATCATTTTTTATCATTAAATTATGTATCAAACCTTGTAATATAGCTTTGTAACTTAAAATTTCTGTCATGTTTTCAGTTAGTAATTTATGATAACATATTTTATGTTATATTTTTACAGATCCAGCCTGGATACAGAATGTTCACATTAACTTGCCAGCAACAAAACGAAGAGCAGAACAGTTAGGTCTAAGAAGAACTGTCAAAAAACAGTGGCAGGTAGGGATATGTCTTTCTCCATATACCTAAAGGCTTACTTAACCTTTTACTGCATGAGCATATTGTGAAAAATAGCTGTTTTTTATTGAAAAGCCTTCTGTTACAAGTTCAAACTGCTACATTTATGAAACTGTAAAAAATGCTTCAATACTGATCAAACTTGGCACAAATGTTGACTGGACAACAGCATGCCCAATCTTAAATTTCCTGTTTCCATAGCAATGGGGGGGGGGACATCTATAAATGGCCAAAAATCACAATTTTGCGTTGAATTTTTTCCCTCAAAACTGATTTTAAAGTGTTGCAACTTTTCAATGGATTGAGATAAAGGCAAAAGTTTTGCAGCGTCGTTTATACATTCCGCTAATATCAACCTTAAGCCAATTTTAGCCTCTCGCAAGATCAAGATTTTCTTGCCGATGAGAAAATTATATTGTCTAGGAGTTCTCTTGACTATAATATTCTTCCTTGGATGTGTTTGACTTTAGAAACAAGAAAAAGTCGAGGGTGGACTCTGCTAGGCTGTAGCTCTTGTTAAAAGTTGGTAGGCAACAGTATGGGAAAAAACATAATTTTATTTTAGGCCTTAATTACGGAAAAGTATTGATTTATATATCTTATATTTATGTACAAAAAGCAAAACCTTTCATGGTAGAAAATAGACAAAGCTATAATTATAATGATTTATTTGTGATGTTTGCTGCAAACAGAAATGTAAATCAAGTTTATAAATGCAAGAACTAGTTATTTATATATCTGATATATTATATTTCTGTATATTTTAAAGACTAATTTACCAAGCAATTTAGGTAAAATGGACTGTAATATACATTAACGCATTTACAGCATTTACCTCAGGTCACCAGGCTACTTTAATCAAGCTCTTGATTCACTCTGCTTTTAGCAGCTTCCATTATGGTATTTAGGAATTACTTGTGGTATATATGTACAGATAACACCACCCTCTCACATACCCATTTTATACAAGTGTAAGCTTAAGTAATGTAAAGTAAATTTCTTAAAGGCCCATTATACTTTTATTTTTATTTCTTAAAAGCTTTTTAATTTTGGTGTATCCAAAAAGTTACTCATTGGCCAATTACATGAACCATTTTTTTCATCTGTTGCTTTTTGGTAATAAGTACAGTTATAGTAAATAAGTATTTTGTATAGAACTCAAAATACTTCTTTGTTTACATTTTGCTACTTTTAGTACAGATTATTTTATCATTTATCACTCCTTTCTTCAGGTAACAAGCATCTGACATTCTCTAAAACCAATATTTAAACATTATAAAATTCATTTTTGACCTTTGTTTGCTCAGGACTATCTAAGGAAGTAAAAAATTATTATGCCTCACTGTAATAGAGGAAAGTAGCATTGATATGTATCTCCATCCAGAACCTAAAAAAAACTAAAATTGCCTGTGATTGATTTTATGGCCCTTTTGTTAGCTCACCAGAACAGAATGTTCAGAGTGAGTTATTAGTATCAAAGGGGGATACTCCAGCGTCCGTCGTCCATTGTCCGTCATCATGCATCAACAATCGTCTCCTTCTCTGAAACTACTGGGCAGATTTACCTCAAATTTGGTCTGTAGCATCCTTGTGATAGTCACACTTAAATTTGCTCATGCCATTTGATTTTGCCCCTTTTAGGGGTCATCAGAGCTAAAAACAGAAAAACATTCAAACAACTTCTACTATATAAAATGATGGATGATAACCAAACTTTGTCTGTCATATCTGTAGCATTCTTGCGTAGTCTTATATCAAGTTTGCTCATATTAATTTGATTGGCCCCTTTTAGGGGCAGCTATTTAAAGCTAAAAATAGAAAAAAAACTTTAGACATCTTCTTCTACAGAACTAATTGATGTATGATAACCAAACTTTGTCTGTAGCAGTCTGAGGTAGTCTTTTATCTTAAACTGAAAAGCAGTTGTTTCTGGTGATCGACTCAGAGCCACAATGGCTGTCTTGTTTGCATTCCATTTTGTAAATGGATTTGAAAGAAAATCCCACCTGATGATAGAAAAGTATTTGTCACTGTTACATTATTACCGTATAATGATTTCAACTTATACAGGCAGCATGGGAGTTACGAGCTGTGTCATGTATAGATCTAACAACACTAGCAGGGGATGATACTCTTGCCAATGTCAACAGACTCTGCTTCAAGGCTAAGAATCCTGTACGACCAGATCTTCTGAAGGCCATGGATATGGATGATGCAGGTATTGTAAGATTGACTATTCAAGGGATAAGGAGAGCTTTTGTACTCAACCAAGTGTTAATGTTGGTTTTTGGGTCACACTTTAGTTGTTTGTGTGTTAAAGTTGGTATCTCCCAGACTACTGAAGGGAATGGGTTGATACTTCACACACTTATATGAGAGCCTAACATAAAAGGAGGTCACTGTCCAAGGTCCGTAACTCTAACCTGAACATTAAAAGAATTATAGCCCTTTGAACTTAGAAAATTCAACATTTTTTCAGGCTTTGCTCAAGTACTGAGAATAGTTGAACATACTGTTCTACTGACAGATGTATCATTTTTTTATTGAATTAAATGTTTGTTTTGAAAGAGTTGTATGTGTTGGTGTTGACATTTTTACCCACCCTTAATATTATAGTGAATTTTTCATTTTCTTGTCATGAGCACATGAATAAAAATTGAAAAATATGTTTTATTTATCTGTTGTTCAGAATAATATTTGCGTCTTACAATTTCATTAAAAAGTCCAAAAAATCTACAACAGCTCCAAACAAAATAATAATAATAATAATAATTACCACATTTCTATAGCGCCCTTCTCAAAAAATAAAATGTTCAAAGGCGCTTTACAATGGAATTATATACATTTACAATGACTTTATAAACAAAAAAAAAAGTAATAAAAATAATAACACACATTTATGTATACATTTACAAAGTATAAAATATACCATGATTAATCTAAAAGTCTAAAACTCAGTCGATCAAATAAAAAAATGTATATGAAGAATAATCTAAGACTTGAAAATAAAATAAAGAGAAACTTTAAAACTATTAAAATTAATAAAAAAAACCCACACAAATCAAGATAAGACAACTGAAATCTAAATCCAATTTGATGAAAACAGTAATTAGTAATGGAAATGTGATTCAAAAATAGACTATTATATTTCAAATGTGTACCCAGATATCTCATAACAAAAGACAGCACGCCAATTCATAGTGATGACAAATACAGCACAGTTAGTTACTATAAATTTCCTGGAAAAAATGTGTTTTTAAAGATTTCTTAAAAACATCTACTGTTTTTGAGTCTCTGATACTGTCTGGGAGAGCATTCCACAGTTTAGGTGCCACCGAAGAGTTACATTATGTGCGCTATGGTTTTACTTTTAATGTAATTATGAATATACATGCTCTAAAACCAATGGAAATGTAAACATAAACCAAAGTTACACACACTTCATGGATTTTTATCAAGAAAATATAACTTAAACTTAATCATAGGAAGTTTCAGACTATTTCCTTTTGACATTAGTTCAAAAATGTACATTCTCATTTACAGGTCTAACAGTTGGAGCAGTATGTGTTTACCCAAGTCGTGTATCTGATGCCATAAACTCGTTGAAAGCAGCTGGTGGGAGCCATATTCCAGTAGCTTCAGGTGAGTTTTGAATAACTGGGTGCAAAATGTCTGTATCTAAAGGTCTTACCTTCTTTATTAATTTTATACTTTATAAAAGCAGATTTATATTTTTTTCTGGAATATTTTATTTTGTTTATGCACTGTTTTCATGTGTGTTAAATGACAGAAACATTATGTGTTTCAACTTTTTCAAAATATGACCATTAGATTATGGAAACATGATAATTTCAATGTTTTTTTTTTAATTCTATAAAAATATTTTATTAGATATATTTCTATACTCTTTATAATTTTTAAGAAATTGACAGGTATGTAAACTGTAAAGTACATGTGAAAATGAACTACGCAGTATTTCAAACTGTTAAACATCACACCAAACAAGCTTTTATTTGCGTAGGTTTAAAAGTTCAAAGTATCATTATTTACGCAAATAAAAGTAAAGCATATTTTAAAGTACAAAGTGTAATTATATATACATGTATTTCAGTTGCCACGGGTTTCCCGACTGGTCAGACACCTTTAAAGACACGCCTTGAGGAAATCCGCATGGCTGTTGAAGATGGAGCTCGTGAAATTGATATTGTTATTAACAGACAGATGGCACTCACTGGAGATTGGAAAGGTCAGTTGATATGAAACAATAATCAAGGGTTGATCACAAAACTGTTGTAAGTCCTTGTGTTACTGTATATACTGAAGTTTTGTTGTCAACGCTCAAACTGTCATGGAAGCTGAATTTTTTATCATTGTCCTTTTTTTTTGTTGATATTTAAAATGTTTATAACAGTAAATTTGTTGTAATCATTATCCATTGTTTTATTAATGTTGATATTTAAAGTGTTAATAGTAGTAAAGATTCTGTTAATGTTTTTCATTGTTTATTAACATTTAAATTGTTGATAGAAGTAAAAAGTTTGTGTTCAGTATATGTGATATTTTGTCACAATGCTTTTATGGACGATAAATTACAGGTCAAGTTCAAACAAAGGTCATCTAGCAGAAAAATGAGGTCAAAGTAAAAAAAAAAATTCTTTCAAAAGATTGTGGACATAATAATCTTAAATCTGCCATTGCTTTAACTAGCTCTTGATTTTTTGACCTTCTTTTGCACATCTATAATATCAAAATAACTAACAGTAACTGACTAGCCGGCATTAAATGTAAGAAAACTCCATTTTACCAAAACAGTTTTCCATTCTAAGGATAAAAGAGATATAGTAGAAACTTATTGTTACAAAAATTTCAGTTTAAACAATACATGGAAATGTCTGCTCTTATTTCTGTGAAAAATATATCTTGTTCTTTGCACTTTTATACTACCATATAACATATAATATTGTTAAATAATACTATAACATGAAATCTATGTCAGGTGTGGTCTTTGTTTGATATCATATTACTATTGGTGTATTTGTGTTTATTGTTGTAACACAATCTGTCTGGGTAGGATCCAGATTCTATTCTTGTCTTGGTAGGTACCAGATTCTATTCTTGTAAGGGTAGGAACCAGATTCTATTTTTGTCTTGGTAGGAACCAGATTCTATTCCTGTCTGGGTGGGAACCAGATTCTTTTCTTGTAAGGGTAGGAACCAGATTCTATTCTTGCCAGGATAGGGACAAGATTCTATTCTTGTCTGGGTAGGTACCAGATTCTATTCTTGTCTGGATAGGTACCAGATTCTATTCTTGTCTGGGTAGGAACCAGATTCTATTATTGTCTGGATAGGAACCAGATTCTATTCTTGTCTGGGTAGGAACCAAATTCTATTCTTGTAAGGGTAGGAACCAGATTCTATTCTTGCCAGGATAGGGACGAGATTCTATTTTTGTCTTGGTAGGAACCAGATTCTATTCTTGGCTGGGTAGGAACCAGATTCTATTCTTGCCTGGGTAGGAACCAGATTCTATTCTTGCCTGGGTAGGAACCAGATTCTATTCTTGCCTGGATAGGAATCCTGCCTGGGTAGGAACCAGATTCTATTCTCCTGGGTTGGAACCAGATTCTATTCTTGTCAGGGTAGGAACCAGATTCTATTATTGTCTGGATAGGAACCAGATTCTATTCTTGTCTGGGTAGGAACCAAATTCTATTCTTGTTAGGGTAGGAACCAGATTCTATTCTTGCCAGGATAGGGACGAGATTCTATTCTTGTCTGGGTAGGAACCAGAGATTCTATTATTGTCTGGATAGGAACCAGATTCTATTCTTGTCTGGATAGGAACCAGATTCTATTTTTGTCTGGGTAGGAACCAGATTCTATTCTTGCCAGGATAGGGACGAGATTCTATTTTTGTCTTGGTAGGACCCAGATTCTGTTCTTGCCTGGGTAGGAACCAGATTCTATTCTTGTCTTGGTAAGAACCAGATTCTATTCTTGTCTGGGTGGGAACCAGATTCTATTCTAGTCTGGGTGGGAACCAGATTCTACTCTTGTTTTAGAAGGAACCAGATTCTGTTCTTGCCAGGATAGGTACCAGATTCTATTTTTGTCTGGGTAGGAACCAGATTCTATTATTGTCTGGATAGGAACCAGATTCTATTCTTGTCTGGGTAGGAACCCATTTCTATTCTTGTAAGGGTAGGAACCAGATTCTATTCTTGCCAGGATAGGGACGAGATTCTATTTTTGTCTTGGTAGGAACCAGTTTCTGTTCTTGCCTGGGTAGGAACCAGATTCTATTCTTGTCTTGGTAGGAACCAGATTCTATTCTTGTCTGAGTGGGAACCAGATTCTATTCTTGTCTGGGTGGGAACCAGATTCTATTCTTGTCAGGGTAGAAACCAGATTCTATTCTTGTCTGGGTGGGAACCAGATTCTATTCTTGTCAGGGTAGAAACCAGATTCTATTTTTGTCAGGGTAGCAACCAGATTCTTTTCTTGTCAGGGTAGAAACCAGATTCTATTCTTGTCAGGGTAGCAACCAGATTCTTTTCTTGTCAGGGTAGCAACCAGATTCTATTCTTGTCTGGGTTGGAACCTTTTTCTATTCTGTTATATGTAGTGTAGGTTTGTTTGGTTGTGAAGCAATTTGTATTCTGTTATATAACCTGCCTGAGAACCAGTTTATATTTTGTAATATGAACTGTGTGAGTAGAACCCAGTTTCTTTTCTGCCATATTAACTATCGTTGAGTGAACTTGTCATCATTTTTATTTTGACTGCTTAAACACAACAGTTTGTACTTCACTGAAATTTCCACTGTACAAACTTCTGCCCTTTCCATTAATTTTTTAAATTATGATTAAATCAATAATTCTAAATAAGTTTTGTTACTTGGTGTATTCACACAAAGTGATGCATAACAGTGATCGGAATGAGTAGATGTTTAATTAAATACCAAGTTCTAGACATATGTTGATAATTATAATGAAATAGTTATATTGATAAGAAAAAAGTATTGCCAGTGGTTGTGCTATCGTTATATCTCGTGTAGGCTGTTGCTTGGGCAACTTTTCAACAACATTTAAAGTTTGTCTTGTCCAAATCATTTGATGCTGTTTTATTATACCCCAATTTATGCAGATATTTTTCATACTCTTATATGTATATATGCTGTTATATGTATATCACAAGTTTTGTAGATATTTTATGCTGATACATGTATATGACAATTTATGCAGATATTTAATGCTCTTAAGGGGACTCCACTGAGGTTTAAAAGCCTAAAAACATAACAACAAAAACATTCGGATTTCTTACATAAATTAGCTGGGAGACTTTAAACAGAAATATATGCAAAGATAGTTAAGAAATATATTTTGAAATAAATTGAAATTCGTATTTTTATGCTTTCCTTAGCCCGATTTGAGTGAAAAGCATTTAAACCCTTTTCATTTTGGGTCATTTTTTTACAATTTGAATAATTATTCTGGAAAAACGAAATGCGCGAATGATCTGAAATTTTGCATAAAGATTAGTGGTCTAAACCTACATCAAATGGTCCATTTATCTGGAAAAAATATTTTCAGTCCCATCATGTGAAAAAACCTCAGTGGAGTCCCTTTAAATGTATATCACAAGTTATGCAGTATTTTATGCTGTTATATATCTATTACAATTTATGCAGACTGGTATATTTTTACTGTTATATGTACATCAAAAATCATGCAGATATTTTTATGCTGTTTGGTAAATGTATATCAAATTTTATGCAAATATTTAATTATGTTTAATATACATGTATGTATATCACAATTCATGCAGATATTTAATGGTGTTTTATGTACATCTATATCAAAATTTATGCAAATACTTGATGATGTTGTATTTGTATCAAATATAATGCAAACATAGTATGCTGTTATCTGTACATGTATACCACAAGTAATTTAGATATTTTATATGTATTGTTTAGGTGTTTATGAGGAGGTTAAGCTAATGAGGGAGGCTTGTGGTGAGGCACACATGAAGACAATTCTAGCTACAGGAGAACTCGGAAGTCTTGCCAATATCCACAAGGCTAGTATGGTGTGTATGATGGCAGGTAAGATGCTCAAGTCTATATTGTAGCTTTTTACTTACCCTTCTGGCAATAATAAGGATTATTACAATATAGAACTGTATCTAAACAGGGGGAAAATGTCAGAGCAGCTTACTGGGTAGCTCAGTTGGTAGAGCTGCCGTAATGTGTTCTGAGAGCCCGTGTCTGCTACTTACTTTTTTAATAGTAATAAGAAATGTTACTGTAGAATTGTTTGTAAATAGGGGAGAAAAAATGTCAAGAGTAACTAGGTGGGTAGCTCAGTAGGTAGAACTGCAGAGCAATGTTCTGAGGGTCCCTGGTTCAAGTCCTGCTAAGGCTGGATATTTTGCAGATCCTCTGTCAGATATTTATCCATTTAAACAGTTCTTTCTAAAAAAAAAAAATTTGAAAAATTAAATAAATGTTTCATATTTGTAACTCACCATGATACAGAAGATTAGCACTGGAGAATTTTTTATAATCATTTTAACTTTTAGGAGGTTAGGATGTTGACCAGAGAATGTGTATAGAAACATTCACAGCAAGCATCTGAAAATGTCTCCTTTACAATTTATATTTCTCATGGAGCTCATATGGCCAAAGATATCATAATTTGTTTGTACATTTTAGGAGCTGACTTCATTAAAACATCAACAGGTAAAGAAGGTGTAAATGCTATACTGATGGTGGCTCTTGTCATGGTGAGGGCTATCAGAGAGTACTTTGAGAGAACTGGTCATAAGGTAAGCATAAGTTAAACAATGGCCAAGTTGTTTAGGTATTTGTTTTTATCCCCCGCCGATGGAATTGGGAGGGGGATATAGTTTTGGCGTTGTCCGTCCTTCCGTCCGTCCGAATTTCGTTTCCGGAGTAGTTCTCTGCAACTACTGGCAGGAATTCAAAGAAACTTTATGGGAATCATCAATATCAAGAGGAGATGCGCATATCATCGACTTGTTCTGGTCCGACCATTTAACTCAAAGATATGGCCCTTGATTAGTTATGTAGTATGCATATAGAGTAAAAATCGTTTCCGGAGTAGTTCTCTGCAACTACTGGCTGGAATTCAACGAAACTTTATGGGAATCATCAATATCAAGAGGAGATGCGCATATCGTCAGCTTGTTCCGGTCAGACACTTTAACCGAGAGTTATGGCCCTTGATTAGTTATGTAGTATGCATATAGAGTAAAAATCGTTTCCGCACTACTTCTCTGCAACTACTGGCTGGAATTCAACGAAACTTTATGGGAATCATCAATATCAAGAGGAGATGCGCATATCGTCGGCTTGTTCCGGTCAGACACTTTAACTCAGAGTTATGGCCCTTGATTAGTTAAACAGTTTGCATATGAAGTAAAAATCGTTTCCGCGCTACTTCTCTGCAACTACTGGCTGGAATTCAACGAAACTTTATGGGAACCTTGAATACCAAGAGGAGATGCGCATATCGTCGGCTTGTTCGGGTCAGACACTTTAACTCAGAGTTATGGCCCTTGATTAGTTATGCAATATGCATATGGAGTAAAAATCGTTTCCGGAGTAGTTCGCTGCAACTACTGGCTGGAATTCAACGAAACTTTATGGGAATCATCAATATCACAGGAGATTCGCATATCGTCAGCTTGTTCTGGTCAGACCCTTTAACTCAGAGTTATGGCCCTTGATTAGTTATGTAGTATGCATATAGAGTAAAAATTGTTTCCGGAGTAGTTCTCTGCAACTACTGGCTGGAATTAAACGAAACTTTATGGGAATCATCAATATCACAGGAGATTCGCATATCGTCAGCTTGTTCTGGTCAGACCCTTTAACTCAGAGTTATGGCCCTTGATTAGTTATGTAGTATGCATATAGAGTAAAAATTGTTTCCGCACTACTTCTCTGCAACTACTGGCTGGAATTCAACGAAACTTTATGGGAACCTTCAATACGAATAGGAGATGCGCATATCGTCGGCTTGTTCGGGTCAGACACTTTAACTCAGAGTTATGGCCCTTGATTAGTTATGCAATATGCATATGGAGTAAAAATCGTTTCCGGAGTAGTTCTCTGCAACTACTGGCTGGAATTCAACGAAACTTTATGGGAATCATCAATATCACAGGAGATTCGCATATCGTCAGCTTGTTCTGGTCAGACCCTTTAACTCAGAGTTATGGCCCTTGATTAGTTATGTAGTATGCATATAGAGTAAAAATTGTTTCCGGAGTAGTTCTCTGCAACTACTGGCTGGAATTAAACGAAACTTTATGGGAATCATCAATATCACAGGAGATTCGCATATCGTCAGCTTGTTCTGGTCAGACCCTTTAACTCAGAGTTATGGCCCTTGATTAGTTATGTAGTATGCATATAGAGTAAAAATTGTTTCCGCACTACTTCTCTGCAACTACTGGCTGGAATTCAACGAAACTTTATGGGAACCTTCAATACGAATAGGAGATGCGCATATCGTCGGCTTGTTCCGGTCAGACACTTTAACTCAAGAGTTATGGCCTTTGATTAGTTATGCAATATGCATATGGAGTAAAAATCGTTTCCGGAGTAGTTCTCTGCAACTACTGGCTGGAATTCAACGAAACTTTATGGGAATCATCAATATCACAGGAGATTCGCATATCGTCAGCTTGTTCTGGTCAGACCCTTTAACTCAGAGTTATGGCCCTTGATTAGTTATGTAGTATGCATATAGAGTAAAAATTGTTTCCGGAGTAGTTCTCTGCAACTACTGGCTGGAATTAAACGAAACTTTATGGGAATCATCAATATCACAGGAGATTCGCATATCGTCAGCTTGTTCTGGTCAGACCCTTTAACTCAGAGTTATGGCCCTTGATTAGTTATGTAGTATGCATATAGAGTAAAAATTGTTTCCGCACTACTTCTCTGCAACTACTGGCTGGAATTCAACGAAACTTTATGGGAACCTTCAATACGAATAGGAGATGCGCATATCGTCGGCTTGTTCCGGTCAGACACTTTAACTCAAGAGTTATGGCCTTTGATTAGTTATGCAGTATCCATATAGAAAAATATTTGTTTCCTCGCTACTTCTCTGCTACTACTGGCTGGAATTCAATGAAACTTTATGGGATACTAAGAGGAGATGTGCATATAGTCGCCTTGTTCCAGTCAGATACTTATAACTTAGATTTATGGCCCTTGATTAGTTATGTAGTATGCATAGATCTCTTTGGCATTTCCAGATTTTACTATTTAACACAAAGTTATGGCTCTGTTATTGCCCTGAATATGTATCAAGTTCAAAGAATATTACTGTTTATGTCACGGTTAATATATAAATAAAGCCTTATGTCTTCAGTTGTTGTGTTAATAATAACCAGTACTCGGCGGGGGATATAAATTCAACGAATTTGCTTGTTCAAAGCAGGGATTGCAGGTTTAAGCTTCTCTGTGGTCAGTTATATTTCCTCATATTATTTAGTTCTTAAAAATGTGACATTTTCAATTTTGGTTTGACTATTTGAAGAACAGGGAGAGCTTTTTGTACTAATAAGGTGTTGGCATCACACTTTGGTTAAGTTTTGTGAGCGAGTCCAGGTATCTCCAAAACTACTGAAGAGAATGGGATAAAACTTTACACACTTGTTCTCTGTGATTATCTAACATGATAGGCACAGGTCCAATAAATGATAGGCACAGGTCCAATAATTCTAAGTTACAGTTTTACTGACTTAAATATACCCATTTTCTTACTGTTTAGCACTGAGAATAGTAGAGCGTGCTGTTGATGTCTTACAGACAGCTCTTGTTTAAAAGAATACTACATTATATTATCATGTTACAGGTGGGCTTTAAACCTGCTGGAGGAATAAGGTCTGCCAAGGATGCTTGTACCTGGTTATCTTTGATGAAAGAAGAGTTAGGGGATGAATGGACCACGCCCGCTTTGTTCCGGATAGGGGCAAGCAGCCTACTGATTGACATAGAACGTCAGTTGTTCCATTTTGTGTATGGAAGATATGCGGCCTCCCACGAGATCCCAATGTCATAAACACAAAAGATATCTAGTCTCAAGCTTATAGATTTATGATTGAAGACCAGTCTTTAAAATCTCTTCTTTGATTGGTCAATTTTAAATTTTGGTCATGAATCAGCCAATCAGATATCAGAAATTAAGACTGGTCTTCATTTTCAAATGTTATAATGCTTACTGTCTGTAACCCTTACAAAAGAGTATTCAGAATTTGAAAAATTAAGATGTTTTGAATATTTAAATGAACTAAAGTTGAATTCAGTTTTAAAACTTTAGAAATGCTAGCTATTTCTTACCATTTAGTATGTACAGAATGTGATTTGACGCTAGGTTCTCGTTATATATATTGATGACATTTTAAGAATAAATTCCGATCAATTACTTCTACATCATTAATGTAGGATATGGTGCTGAAATTTAAAGGAATTCATACAAAACAGTGATATTTTGAACAAAGGTGGGCATTTTCCATTAACATTCATCTAATTGCATGTTTAGACAGATAAGAATTATATGTTGTACTTTGCAAAACATTCCATTATAAAATTATGGCAAACAACATGTAAAGATTATTTTTTGTTAAGGTAGACAACTGAATGTAAAATCATTTTTATGATGTTTTACATTGTTCCTGCCCTTGAAGTCTCATTCTATTAAATATGAATTTTCTGTTTGATATTCATGCTACGTTTACGGGAAAACGGGATAACTAAACAGAAATAGTGTTCAAAATGTTTATACATACATGTGCTCTGTTGTTTTACAGTTAAAATAAGATGATTATGTCTGTAAACTAGTATAAATGTTACTTTTTGTTCTGTACCAGTCCGGTCTGGTTATGTATTATAATGATATTAGGATAAATATATGTACATACACAAGTGTTTGATGTTTTCAGTTTTAAATGATAGGGCTTTTTATAATGACTTAAATCTCCAGTATAGAGCCATACCATTCTGCATCACCCTGCTTTTGAACCGGCTATATACTGTTGACTGGTTTATTTTATAATTATGAAACTCAAATGTTTTGTATTTACAATGGACAATTCAGATTAGATATTTAAGCAGAATGGGTCTAGTATAATACATTGTATTTTACCACAGGTAACATTTTAAGTTTTGAAGTAACTGTATTAAGTATTAGTGATATCTTTACACAGTATTCACTCTGCATTTAAGCCATCTAAAAGGTATCAGATTATAAGACTAATGTAAATGTAAGAAACCTTTACACTTAAAGTTAAATGAGCCATGTCATGACAAAACCAACATAATGGGTTTGCGACCAGCATAGATCCAGACCAGCCTGCGCATCCATGCTGGTCACAAACCCATTATGTTGGTTTTGTCATGACACGGCTCAAATGAAAGTGATCAAGGCCAATAATAGATTGTTTGAACATTATGTTATAAAATACGGAATGTATATAAATATGTCATATGACTTTCTTTCATTAAAACATGGGGAAATACTGATAAATTAGGAGTATAGATTATTAATCAGTTCCCCAATACATTTAATCAGTGCCAATGTTTAATCAACAAATAACACATCTCAGGTTGCTAGTCTTTATTTGTTCAAACTACAAAAGTCCAGTGTAGATTATATTTCAGAAAGATAATTGATATAGCTTATGAACTGTAAAAATATTCACAAAATTTCTTGTTTTCATGTTGTGATAAAAATATTGGATGTATTATAATAGATAAATTGAGGTTTTGTATACATTCATACATTCAAGTAAATTTCTATGTCAAGTCAGTGCCATAGGCTTGATTAAGATTTTTTTTTGTAATCTGTACACTTAAAAAAATATTTTTACTTTTGAGAACATTTCCCTTATTTGTCAAACATTGGCAAGAATCTTGAAGCTTGCTGCTTTAATAGCATTGTTAACTACTAAGAAATGTCTTGGTGACTGACTAATAAAACACCCAGATAAGTCATTAAGGAAATATCCATGTTTTTCCAGTAATTCCCTCCTTATTTTTTGTTTTTATTCTTGTTTTTTTTTTTATCATGCAGATGTATTATATCATTCTCAAAAAAATAAAAAGGAATCTCGCTTTTGGTGTAAAGATATCACATATTCATTGCCTGATCTTTTTATCATATAATTGAGCCGTGTCACGACAAAACCAACATAATGGGTTTGCGACCAGCATGGATCCAGACCAGCCTGTGCATCCGCGCAGTCTGATCAGGATCCATGCTGTTCGCTATCAGTTTCTCTACTTGTTAAAGAGTTGGTAAGCGAACAGCATGGATCCGGATCAGACTGCGCGGATGCGCAGGCTGGTCTGGATCCATGCTGGTCGCAAATGCATAACGTTGGTTTTGTCGTGACGCGGCTCATTTATATTGTTTTAGATCTTTCCATATCAGTGACATAGAAACATAGAATTATTTTACCTGAAAAAGATACTGAGCTGATTTAACAATAATATAGTGTTTTTATTCAAACCAAGGTAATCATGGCTTTTAAAGTCCTCATTTTGTTCTACACATGTGCTTACTTGTGCTTGAAATGTAATAATTGGCAGGATGCCATGTCAGATACCATGGTTGTATTGTCACCTGATATTTTACTCCAGTTTATTTCAATAAATGTCATTTTTTGTGACTTATGAAATCAGACATGTAAAGAAGTCAGAAAAATCAGTCAAGAAATGAGACAAATAAAGAAATCACACAAATAATTAAAGACATGAGACAAGTCAATTGACACATCAAACAAATCAATTAAAAAAGCAGATAAGTAAATCAAGAAATCTGACAAATCGAGAAATATGACAAATCAAGACATAAGACATTAATTAAAGACACCAGACAAGTCAAGACATGTGACAAATTGGTCAAGAAATCAGACAAATCAATCAAGACATTTGGAAAAATCAATCAAGAAATCAGACAAATAGGTCAAGAAATCAGACAAATCAATCAAGACATCTTACAAATCAAGACATTAGACATATCAAGACATCAAATAAGTAAATCAAGTAATCTGACAAAAAATCAGGCAAGTCACTTTGTGCTTGATAAAAAATCATGTAAGTTTACTCGTAAATTCTGTTGTTGTTTTTTTCAATAATGTAAAAAGTTGTTTTGTATGTGTTCCAGATAATATCAGATGGGCATTTTGAAAATGTTGTTCATAATGGTTTTAGAAAACAAATCTTAACCTACGGGTATGTAGTGCTGTACAAATTAAAACTTGCCACTTAAACTATGTTTAAGCAACCTTTTTACAATAATTGCAGGATAGAGGCAAGATGCTAACAATGCAAAAGTTTAATGTTGTCTTTACAATGAATCATACAAAGTCAGAAGTTTTTCTTATCTAGAAATGTATTTTGTTTGCTAGATCTTGTTAAAGAATGAATATTGATTTTGATTTGATGTATAATTACTATAATATAATGTGATTTTATTGTATAGAAGGAATTTATAGAAGGCTACAATTTATATGATTTTGCTTGAATTAAAGTATTATATACTTATTATCTTATGAGATATAGATGGAATAAAAAACTTAAATGAAAATTGTGTTCTGTGTTACATGTTGTTTTCCTTCAATTAAACTTTTCAATGGTTCAGTATACAAATGAGCCGCATCATGACAAAACCAACATAATGGGTTTGCGACCAGCATGGATCCAGACCAGCCTGCGCATCCGCGCAGTCTGGTCAGGATCCATGCTGTTCGCTTACAAATTCTATAACAAGTAGAGAAACTGATAGGGAACAGCATGAATGCGCAGGCTGGTCTGGATCCATGCTGGTCGCAAACCCATTATGTTGGTTTTGTTGTGACGCGGCTCAAATGTATCGTTATTCTAGGCTTTGTTCCTCTGGTAACGGTTTCGGCCAAAATCTTTTGGCCATTGGCCACAAAGTTAATAAACAGTTAAACCTAAAGAATATTTACATTTCCTTTGGAATATAGTGAAAAATAATTGTAAAGGGGTTGCAAGTTCGAACACTTGTAGTCTAACTGTGGAAAACAGGACAGTCTTTTTTGGCTTTAACTAGAGGGCCTTTCGCGTAAGACTGAAATAAAAAAAGAAATATCGAGATCGCATGCATTTGCGCTTTATTTCTATACACATTATCAAACTTTCAGTTATTTCTTGAGCTATAATGTATGTCTATGTTTTTGAACTAAACATTATTATTAATTATATACCAAACTTCTTAAGCACTTTTTCATGCACATTAACACGTGCAAAAGTACTGTACAGTACATGTATAACCAAAAAAATGGTAAACAATATTTAAAAACAAATTAAAACATAAATATTGTTCAAGTCACAAATTTAATTCAAATGTAGATTAAAAAGTTAAAAAAGTAAAATACAGGTAAGACTTAAAAATTTGTGAAAAAGCGACACTGGTACAAAAATAATCAGTCCAAATAAAACGTCTTAATAAAGTGAATTTTGAGTGCTCTCTTAAACACTGGAAGAGTTTCACAGCTTTTAAGTGTTCTAGGTGGGGTATTCCAGAGTTTAGGGGCTGCCGTCATAATGTACGATCACCATAAGTCACAGTCTTACTACGCGGTACAACCAGTGTTAAACAATCATTCTGAGACCTAAGTTGTCTGGACGGGGTATAAAAGTCTAGTATGTTTCGTATATAAGTAGGTGCCAGTCCATGAAGCGCCTTAAACACATATGTAAGGAGTTTGTAATCTACTCTGATGTGCACAGGAAGCCAATGGAGCTTGTTGAGAACGTACTTTGGAGATCCATATATAGCAACGAATTACAGTAATCTAGTTGTCGCTAACGAATTTATCAGGCAACAGTCGTCAGGTATTCCCGAATTTGACATATTTGTCGAATTTGCATGAAGCATGAACGAAAAACTAAGTTCACATGTTGTTCCATGTCTAAATAAGAGTCCAGAACAGTACGGCACCAACATCTCTAATTGTTGTTGATGGTTTTTGTAACAGAATCATCTACTCTTACAGTAAGATCTTCAACATCATTTCGTTTTGGTACAAAGACAACCACTTCTGTTTTGTCTGCATTGACTTTATGAAAAAATTGAAAAATATGCGTTTCATATGAACGTCTGTAAGATAATAATAAATTTAAAAGAAAATTCTGGTGAAAAGTACAAAAAGAATGCGCCTGACTGAAGCTCTTTTCATCATAAAGTTGCAGTATTACTATATAATGTTCACTTGGTTTGTCATTAGCTATTTTCAAAAGCTAAGTTAACACGAGGACTGAGAAGATTTGATAAGGACATCTTTACTGACAACGAACCTGAGATATAAAGGTCAACAAGTGCTTTCTAAAAATCTCAAGATTTTTATAGAGCTATATATAATTAAAGAAAACAGTTTCACAGTTTAAAGCAAAATGATTTATTTCGAGTATTTATCATTCTGTTGAACACGTAAACTAGGAGTTTATTTAAATAAGACTTTAAATCAAGTACATGAAAGAAAATGTAAACAGAATGTAACGTTCATTTATGGACATGGTCACTTATCTAACCTATTTCAATTTCTATATCCGTCACCTCATGACTTTCTATTATTCTTATCTTGAAATATTTGTGTCTTTTTAAACAAAACTTTAGTATGAGATAGTGTCTTCAAACATGATACGGTATATTTTACTCGCTGCATCTTCTATCGCATTAGTGCGGGCAATTTCATGGCAGGATTGTTGTAAGTTCTTTAAATTTCATTTTGGGGACCTTCGGGATTGAGTGATTAAGTTCAAAGCATGCTTCTCGCCTGCGTGGGTGAGACTGTGTTCTTTCATTGTCGGGAACTGTCCAGCTTGTCGGTAGATGGTTCTGCTCAGGTGCTCAAATTCTCGTGTCTGCGCTTCGGGCCATATAGACCAACCAGTCCGTTAACTTGCATATTGCCCTCAAGGTCATGTTTGTTTTATTCGTTAAATATTCAATGGCATACTAATCAATAATTGCTGGAAAAAAAACATAATGATATGATGCGTGTCAATATGTAACGTTAATAAATTTGGTAATAAATAATAATTGCTATGACAATCAAAATCTAAACCACTGTCTTTGTTTCTCTAGCAACTACACGCTCGACGGATGCCGTGACCTTCACAAAACTAGAAGCTTCTCCCACAAAAATAACATTTCCGGGTGACCTTCACCTCAACCTCAGTCTGACATTTAAACGCCCTCTTGATCATGCATATCTGGACATTGACATCTACCGAATGATATTTGGATTTCCACTGAAGGTTCCGTGCTTGAATGGTACCATTGTAGGCTCGTGGTAAGTAAACGGCTTTTCAACTAGCATAAATAAATTTAGAGAAAAGTATTCTGTATTCAGATAAGTGCTAGGTACCACAGGCACTAGGTTTCGGGATAAAAACCATTTTGATAGATTTGTAGAGCTCAAATTTAATTGAATGTAACGTTTTTTTAACGTAGATGTCTCTTTTTTTAAACCGTCATTATCCCAATGTTACCTAGTGTGTTTTTAAGTAACAACGGGAAATGAAAATTAAATTTGAGTTCAACAAATCTCTCCAAAGAGTTTTTTGTCATGAGACCAAGAGCCTGTGCTAGGCACTGGTTTGTAAATTTAATTCTTTTACTGTCCTAATAACTGTTTACAGCAATATGGTTATGGGCCTACGGTGCTTGTAAAGTTTTGTTAACTGTTATGCCTCTCAGTCCAAGGAGAGTGGATGCTCTGATTATCTTTCATCATATGACACCAGGGCTGCTTAGTTATAGGAAGCAGTCTTTAAGTGTAAGAACGTGGTTCGCAATCTGACATATATTAAATAAACTAATATAACTTAATTGATTAAAGTAAACAATGGCTAACTTTTCTATTTTGATTACTAAGACATGCATAAGAAGAAAAGGAACAATCTTGATTCTTGAAACTGTTCTGCGGTCAATTTTAAATTTTACCATCAGCACCATTGAATAAGTTTGAAATTAATGCTTAATGCTGCTTATTCAATTTTCAGTGTTTTTTTAAACGTTATACTCTTAACTATAATTGGCAAAAACAAAGCAAAAAAAAAATCAAAACTATTCATTTTTTAATATCGAGTAGAACGAACTTGTTGCCCAAACTGTTTCTTTTATCTGTTGAAAATTTGAGTTTTGTATTTTGGATATATATAATTATATATTTCACATAATTAAATACATGTGTATTCAAAAGTAAATTGAAAACATAGTGTCAAATGCAAAAATACTCCATTGACAGGGCTTATCATGAACGAAATCTCGTTGTAAGTTGGCAGTTGAAAACTGTTGTTTTTATAAACTCAAAGAGCCAAAATGTTGTTATAGAACTGGGTATCAATAGGAAAATATTAATTGACGAAACAAGACAGTAATTTTGCTATTTTTTTTCTATTTTCAGTAGAAACATTGATGCATGTAGAATATTTAGAAGCATCTTGAATGATCCAAACCACCAGGACGACTATGGGCACCAGGCCGAGTCTATAATGCTACACGCCCTAGGTCACTACATGCAATGTCCTCTACAAGCAGAAACAGTGCTGGTTGAAAATGCAGTAGCACATCTTGACCCGATTCCAGCGATAGTTGGATTTTTAGCCGACGTGAGTTGTAAAACAAAATTACTCTAACCCCTAAACGAATTTCTAAAACTTTAGTTGTAGGAGTTAAACAATGGCATTCAATTTATATCCAAAGTCCTTTCCTTGCCGTAACGAAATATTTGATTGCGCAACATAGCTGCACGTACAGAGGCATGGAGATCAGATCGTGCATCCAACGTGACATGCCCCTGTAAACACTTAATCAAAAGTATTTTAACATTTAAACAAGAATGGGACATCTGTTAAAGGCCATTATGCCCCGGAAATGCCTTTATTTTATTTCTCAAAATCTTTTTTTTATTTTTAGTGTTTTGTTATCATTATAGTTTCCAAAAAGATATTTACCCGAGCCATCTTTTGCTTCTCTTGTTCTTTGGGAATTTGTACAGTTATAATTTTGCTACCTATATGACAAATAAGTTCACTTTCAGCTTTACATTCGTTTGGTAAAAAGCATATTATATGCTCTAAAACATTATTTGAACTTTATACATCTAATACTCATGTTTGCTCTTTCTGTTTAAGGAGGAAAAAAGTATTCATTTCTGAGGAATAATGTGCCTTTAAACCCTTGAATAAAAAAGGTGTTAATAAAGTTTGCCCGGACTACTCTTATACAACTAATGCAATTTCAATGAAACTTTACAGGATCGATTAGTAGCTAACAAACGTGTTTTTGTCGTGATTAAGTGACATTATGCTCATTTTGTCATTGTCAAAAAAATGTTGTCAATATTTATAAAGAATGACTTTTTAAATGGTGATTGACTAACAGTTATTACTGAAAAATGATTAGGGTAAAATATAAATCTGCCTAAAATATAAAAAGACTGCCCACTCTTTTTATAATTTGAACGTAACAGGTAAATTCGGATGGAAATTTTCTTGGGCCATGTGAATTATTTTGCTTTCATTCATGTGAAGTAAATTATAGAATTGAGAGTAATAATGTCGAAATGTAAATTTTGTTTGACTTTAACCTTTTCACTCACTATAACCCTTGGACGAACATAATGACAATGTCATGATTTTTGTGTCTCCTGCTACACATCAGCTGCAACATGCAATTGGCCGTCAAGAGGCGACACATGTGATCACTGATCGTTCTTGTTCTTGTTTATTAAAACACTTATGAAATGATTATGTTTACTATGTTATCATTTACCAAAGCACCTGTTAAATGTTTATGCTTACAATATTACAGTTTACTGTGACATGGTCATTGAAATTTTATGTTTTACATTACAAAGTTTTTATAATATTAAGTTTTTAGAAACTCTGTTTGGCTTTTAACATGCAAATTATCATATTTCAATTTGTGTGTTCAATCTATTGAACACTTAATATAGGAATGTCAATTAACACACGTTTTCTGGAACAAAATCCAAACGTTGGTATTCTCTAAAGGTTATGAAATACCTCTAAGCTTCAGACAGGTGTGTTTCGGTTTATTAAGTAAACATAACATTGTAATTTTTATCATAATTCTGTGTAAATACTTACTTTTGAAAAGAAAACGCAATTTCTCTCTTTATCGTTTATTTAAAGCAATCTACAAAATTTTGAAGAAAAATGGTCAAATTTTAATAAAACTTAATTTTATACAGACCACACAATTAAGGCATGTGAATATACATATACACACGGAAAAGGAACCGCCCTTTAATCCACTCCTATTTTGTTTTTAAATATTTTTTTTACTAACTTGAGTATAAGCCTTGTCATATATCATTATTCATTGTTAATAGGGACATAAGTGACATTTTAAAAGGTCATAATTGACCTTTATCTTTTCTATCTTTGGCATTTTTTCTTTTCTTATTCTTCATTTATTTTTCCTTTTTTCATACACTTTCTTTTCTCTCTCTCATACTTATACATTTAATTTTGTATTCATTTTCTTCTTTCAAAAATTTTTATTTGAAAATCTTAAGATACAAATATATTTGTCATAATTTGATAACCAGCCTTTTATGTATTTAATTACTATTATTTGAATGTGTGTATAGTATTATTGAAAAATAAAAGAGAAATAAAAAAAATCAGACACTATAAATTATCAATTACGTAAATACAATTGAATACTAGTTTTATAATAATGGTAATAATACGACCAGGCCCATACACACCGTTATAATTTTCAATTGATCTTTTTTTTACTTTTTCAGGGAAACTACATGATAACAGCCCGTGCTAAACAAAAGGTTGATGGTCCCTATGATATTGGCTGTATCAAGTTGAATGTAACAATAGGACTAGGACCTGTTGACGCCGGTGCTATTGTGGGATAAGTGATGTAGGATTACTCGTTTGAATCATTATAGAAATCTTGGGATTTCTATTTTGCAGTTTACCTCAGCTGTTCAGAATAAAAGTTTTATATTTTGAAATTTAATGAATCGTATTGTATTCATCATTGTATAAAAACAAACATGAAAAATAAATTATTCAAGCATTTTGACGAGTTTTTGCTTTTGAATTTGATATTAAAAGATATATTTTTGTTGCATTTGAAAGGCACAAGCTTATTTAGCTTTACAACAGAATGATACTTTAATTGTTAAGATTCCGGTTAAGTATGTTTGTTTGTTTGTTTGCTTGGGTTTTACGCCACAAGACACAGTATAGGTCATATGGCGATGTTCCAGCTTTACTGTTGGAGGTGCCCTTCCGTGCATTATTTCAGGAACGAACGGGCACCTGAGTAGAACCACCGACGTTCCGTAAGCTAGCTTGATAGCTTAGTCACATAAAATAATCCAAAGTTCCTGTCATTGATGAGGATTAAGAGGATTAAATAACGTTGAAGGCGGCACTTGGGGCGTGACTGAAGTCACAACTTCCATTATCTCTGATAAACAGACCCGATCAAACCGGGAGTCTGCGATTTACATATTCATTTCTAATGAGGAAACTCCTGTTTCAGATTTCTTTCTATTTTTTTTTCTTCTTTTTGGTTGTCTTTTTTTACATAAATAGTTCAACAAATACTTTGACTTACATAATGATTTTGCATACATGTGACAAGTATGTAACCATTTGTTTCCGCTGATTTATATTACTTTTTATATAATATTTTCAAGTGCGAAGTATCGAGCAGATAAGTTTTCCCTCCAATTTTGAAAGAATTTCCTTATCGAATTCTTCCTTATCAAATATTTCATAAATGCCGTTACCATTTGACATTAAATTTAGCTTATCATTCTACGACATATGACTTTGCAAGATATAGCAAATATTTATAGTTATACTGTGTCAGACTTAATTAAAGAACAGATATAAACTATGCTAAGGTTAACGCTTTACAGCATCTGCGCGGCGGTTTTGGTTACTGCTATATCATACCGTGATTGTGGTAAGTTTTGGTTTTATTACATAATTATATATCTTTACATGTATACCGATAGGATTTTTAACTTTTTTTACATACTTAGAATATATCGTTGGCTTATTCGGTCATATCAATTAGCATCTAAATTCACGAATGAACTTCCGTCGACTCTTTCCATAAGGTAAGCAAGATATATGTTACACGTAGGTGTTCGCATCAAACATACATATATACATATACATATTGATGACGGTGGTCAGTGTTACTGACTATAATTCCTGACTTATTCCTGCTGAAGATAAGGCTTCGCAAGTGATATTCGTCAGTAATTTTACACGGATTCCTGAAAAACTAACATTTCCTGGAAATCTCAGCGTATCGTTCACTCGAGACGTAATCAAACCAATTATTGACTTCGAACTGACCAGATATTTATTTAGCTTTCCGTTGAAGCTTCCCTGCAGTGTTAAGGTAATATTGCGACTTCCAGCTTAAAGCGTTAGCTAGAGGACATCAAGTGCTTTGTTTCAGCCGAGCTTAAGTGGTTTGATAGTTTCCTTACAAGAAAGAATCCATAGTTGTTTTTAATTGTTTCAAGTACATGAATGTTCTGTAATTGATTTACAAATGCCATGGTTGCTGATATTGCTAATTTAGTGAAATACATTTGAGCCGCGTCACGACAAAACCAACATAATGGGTTTGCGACCAGCATGGATCCAGACTAGCCTGCGCATCCGCGCATCGGACATGCTGAAAATTATGAATCTGATGTTTGACCTTTTTTAAAAAGGGAAAATTTATTCATTTCTCAGGCATAACTTGCCTTTAATCTAGAATTTAACATCAAATCAAAATAAATGAATTTATCATTACTGTATAATATTGCTACCATCATCGGTTTTCTAATCTCACATGAACTAAACATGCATTGAACATTATTTGGATCTGTGCATTATCTATTGTTAATGGGAAGTAAATTATTAAAATTAAAAGGAATTATGGCAAAATGTAACTTATTTTATTTTGATATTCACCTGTTCACACATTATATACCCGTGGATGGGCATTATTAAATGCATCATTGCACAAACAGTGGAGTATTGCCTGATGTGAGGCAATACTTATTAGGTGAACTACAAAAGACATGTTTTATCAAACCTGGAATGAAACGAAGCATCTTACTAGATTAAACATTAATTTTTATCCTCATAAATTTGCACTCTTTGAATAATAAAAAAGTTATTTGAAGGTCGACGTATTTCAATATCAAAAATCAAAATAGCGAGTCTGGTAACAATGCAGGGGAGTCGGGCTTGTCTTCTTCTAAAGATACTGGTGGTTAAGCCCCAGATGTTTGTTGAAATATAGTATCGCCAATAAAACTATATTTACTGTCAAAGTAAGATTATTTTCGCTAGGCGGACATGAGACAAGGATTAGAACAGTTACATGTAGATCTATTTATTTTAGATTCCAATGATCGAATTTTAATTAAGCTATCTAAATGTTGTTTCTTATAGTTCCTGCTGAAGATAAGAAATCGCAAGTGATATTCGTCAGTAATTTGGCATGGGTTCCTGAAAAACTAACATTTCCTGGAAATCTCAGCGTATCGGTGAATTTAACTTTCAATCGTAACGTAAGCAAACCTATTATTGACTTCGAACTGACCAGATATTTATTTGGCTTTCCGTTGAAGCTTCCCTGCAGAGATAGTACAGTTGTGGGAACATGGTTAGTTAAATTCAATATACATGTATATAACTGTAAATAGTAAAAAAACACAACAGAAGTATCAGAACGGTTTGGTTGCATAATTCCTCGTGATCTCGAGGCCCTTGCATAAAAAATATATATTTTAAAAAATCATTATTTTGTACTTGTAATTGCAAAATTAACATTTTGCTGATTTATATTTGTGTCCTTATAAATCTTTATTATTGCTCATGCGTACATTGTTATCGTTTCGTATGTCTTATAATGCTTAAGAGAAGGACTGTTGCTAGAACTTGTTTTTCAACCCTTTTGCCGTTTGTTAACATTGTTGTTGTGCAAAAATATGTTCTTAAGTGTATTCAAAGGGCAATATAATATCATTACACTAATATAAATTTAAAACACATGAAATAATAAGCTTTTGAGAAATAGGAATAAATGTATTCTTGGGCATGTTTTTATAACTCTTAACATCAGACGATCTAGTGCAATCATCAAATACTGAGCCTTAATAACAGGTAATATATTATCAATAATTCTAATATGTGATGATAAATTACGTACACGTGTTGGCTTATACCACGGTATGCTGTTTTATATTGTCCCGACAATGGGTTATATTTAAGGCCATTTGTTTCAAAGGTGTATAGGTGCATAGTTAAGTCGGAAACTATCTTGATTCAAAACATAATAGTTATTATAGATATCATTAAAAACACAAATCATAAAAATATAGACTTTATATTATAACAAGGTTTCCACCATTCCCATTATTCTTTGTCACGTGAAAATATACACTAGTCTAACATCGACGTGCGTAACAACATCTTTTTTAGCAATTTTCAAAGTTTTGGTAACATACTTGAGGCAATAAGTTTCAGTTAAAGGAAAGAAAATCTGTCATTAGAATTATTTTTGGTTTTCATAAAAATATTTAAAGTCAAAATGTCCGAAGGTGTCTCTATGCGGAAATCGGATTGCATTTTTTGTTATACTGACAATCGGTATATACAATTATAAATCAGTACATGACAAGTTTATATTTTACAGTAATAACATTAACATCTGCTGGTTGTTTAACCGTTCGCTACATGACCATGATCCAAAAAATTACAACAGCTATGGTCATAAGTTAGAGAGGATGATGAACAAGACGTCTGGACATTTCTGGGAGTGTCCGATTAAAGCAGAAAATGTTGTTGTGGAAAATGAACCTTTCGAATTGACCGAACTTTCTAGCATTGTCCATCTTCTAGCAGATGTGAGCATTAATTTATTTTTAAACATGTTATTTTTATTTTGTTAAATACTATTCTTTAATCCATTTTTTTCTGTTGTTAAAAATGCACAGTTTATTAACTGAAGTACACTCGTTTATTCACTGTGAATTGTGTATTACATGTCGCCGAAACACGAAAAAGTAATCAAAAATATATTCTGGTTAAAAATTAAACTCAATTACATGTTTAGTGGGCTGGGATTTAATAATGCTTAAAACCTTGATAAATTATTGTTATAAGAATTTTTATTTTAGGGTGACTACACAATAAAGGTAATGGCCAAAGAGAACAAAACGGGACCGATCATCGGATGTATTGAGGTCAATGCGACAATCACTGGCTCTGGACCGGGGTCTTCTAGTATTTTCGGATAATTGTACATCAGTCAATATGACAGTCGATTTTCCTTGTTGCATATAAGTGCAAAAAATCAAATTTAATGCATACGATTAAAATATGTCATAAACATATAAATACTTTTTCCATCAATCAGATGAAATTACTTTCTGCAACACGGGACTCATTGCAGAAACACTAACACCTGTTACCAGTCAGCATGTGTCAAACTATTGTATTGCGAGAATAAACGAGATCGTTGATAAACGTAAATATTCGTGTAAGTTCAGCACCATGTCTTCAATTTTGAGGTTTAACAATAATAGAAGTCTTAAAACGAAGTTAATGCCAGCTTTTTTCCGAGCCGATATTACGTTAGGATTTTACTGAGGAAGCAATAGAAAACAACCTAAAACTCAAAATCTATCCGTATTTTAACCGAGGTTTGGTTTCCAGCTTTTTACATGAATAACCTGTCTGAGATGGTCTCAAAAATTTATTTGGCCAATCAAATTTATTCTTACAAAGCGGCTGAAACCTTCAATTTTGACGCCATTTTTAAAAAGCAGCAATAATTGCTTTAAGCGCAAAGATATGACCATGTAAAAATAAGTTTTTCATGATTTCTTTTTAATCAATTATATTTACGCTGAAGTTTAATTTACTTTATTTCACCTGTCTTCTCCAAAGTAAGTTTTCGTTTGGTTAATTAAGATTAGTGTTCATCTGATTGTTACTTTTTAAATTAAATTTTGGTCATTTTATCCTTTCCGGTATTGAGTAAATTCATTCTCCAAGAATTCACTCTCCATTGGGAAGGTTCCCGCGGTTTGTTCGTGAAGAAGGTCCGACTCCCGTATCGATTTTCCAATAGACTTCAATTATGAGAAAAGACATACAGGCTGTAAGAATATAATATAAAGATAAGTCGTGTAAATACTTGAACACTACTTCAAATCCATGTATTATATGCCATGAATACTACTGACTTTATTTGTAAGATCTGAACTTCGTTGAATTTATATCCCCCGCCGAGAAATAGTTATTACTAACACAACCACTGGAGACATAAGGTTTTATTTGTATATCTATCATGGCATAAACAGTAATATTCTTTGTACATGTAAAATCAAAGTGCTGCAGCACTGAATGCGACGGACATGCAACCGGAGAGACATTTAGTTTTTTTTTTTTTAGAAAAAAAAAAATAAAACACAAAATATATAACAGAGAAAATTTGTTCCATACAAGTTCGAGATTTGTAGAGCAATATATTTTGTGTCCTAATCTGATATAATCCAGATTTTCTACTTTCAAGCATTTAAATACAGAATGAAATTTATGCCTAAAAACTCTGGTCAAACTTGTAAATCGGTGTCATTATCGATTTATTCCAAGAAATGATATGTAAATAGAAAAAAAACTGTCAACGAAATATTTCTAAAATAAAACCATGCAAATAAACTTCAAGCATAATACATTATACATGTGAGAATGTTATTTAGAATTGCTTCGTGTTTTAACATAGTGGGCATACAGACAATAAAATATAAGTCATTTGTATTTTTATTTCTCTTGGATATGTACGTCTCATTAAAAATATTTTTGGTTAAAATCATCAGCAATTAATAGTGTATTTTTTAGTGTTTTTTTTTTATTTACAAGGGCCAGAGCACATCGTTTTTATTTTAATTTAAATGTCACTTAAGCGTTGTCCTTTAAATTCCTTTTTCAACTTGTTTGCTTCTTACAATTGTATAGAATTTCTAAGAACAAAGTAAGTATCCGCTGGTTTATAACATGTATAATGTGCACTTCTTACTGTCCGAAAATCAGCACAGGTAAAGCAGAATCTATTTATAGAATAGCGAAGGTTAACTCATATCGTGACCTAGAAAAATATGTAAACAAAGCGCAAGAATCGGAAGTAGAACTGATATTATAAGTTCCTTCAATAAAGATTACCATGAAAGACTACATGGTGGTAAAGTGTTGAAAAACTCTCTTGTTACATGAATTTTCAAAAATAGATATTTATACTAACCATTGTACTGAATCTAATTTATTAATAACTGCTGAATATTCATCTAAACCCGCGGTATGAGTCACGAAAATAGTTCTTGTTTTAGTAATGCGCGAGTTATTCTAGAGTCACGAAAATCTTTAGATTTGTTAATAATAATGTTTTGTATAATGTAAAATATTTACTTCCTACTAATAATTTTCTTGGAACTCAGAGCTTACACCTTTATTATAGTATAATTTGCTGTCCTACTTTTTCGACAGCGGTAAATCGTTTCGGCAGTAATTTGCATATTGCGCAATAATACTACGGGACTACAACGTTTTTATCAATCATATACGTTCATATTTTAACTTGAATAACTTAATTTGAAATTGAAAAGGCTAAATATGGAAGATTTTAGATATCCCGACATAGTATGGGAGTTTTAAAGGATCAAATTCATGTACTATTTCTTGGGCTGTTAATCGGTTGAGGACACTTTGCGCGACTGTAGCAGACGAAATCCCATGTGTAGATGACTTAGCTCTGAACGCGCATGAGGGCGCGTCCGTCGCAAAAATACATGGCAGTAACAGAGGCCATAACTCTGTTTTAAATAGTATTTTCTGGACATGTCAATGAAATGCAAATTACCTTTTTGTATTGATCGTTCCAATAAAGTTTTGTTGAATTCCTGCCAGTAGGCACGGACACGATTATTGCTTTATATACATACTGCATAACTCATCAAGGGATTTTACTCTGTGTTGAAGGGTCGGACCAGAACAAAGCTCACGATATGCGCATCTATTATTAGTTTTCATGGTTCCCATAAAGTTTCGTTGAATTCTAGCCAGAAGTTGCAGAGAAGTAGAGCGAAAACGATTATTGCTCTATATGCATACTGCATAACAAATCAAGGACCATAACCCCGTGTTGAAGAGTATGAATGGAACAAGGCAAGGATATGCGCATCTCCTCTAAGTATTGATGGTTTCAATAAAGTTTTCTTGAATTCCAACCAGTATTTGCAGCGAAATATCGCAGAAACGATTATTGCTCTATATGCATACTGCATAACTAATAAAGGACCATAACTCTGTGTTGAAGATTCTGGCCTAAACAAGGCAATGATATGCACATCTCATATTGGTATTGACGGTTCACAGAAAGTTTCATTGAATTCCTGCCAGTGGTTGCAAAGAGATAGCACGGAAACGATTATTACTCTATACTGCATAACTGCGATGAAAAGTCTGAGCGAAGCAAGGCAACACTATGCCCATCTCCACTTGGTATTGATGGTTCCTGTTAAACCTAAACAAAGCAATGATATACACATCTCATCTTCGTATTGACAGTTCATATAAAGTTCCATTGAATTCCAAAGAGAATCACGGAAACAATTATTACTCTATACTTCATAACTAAGGGCCATACCTCTGTGATGAAGGGTCTGGTCGTAGCAAGGCAACAGTATGCCCATCTCCTCTCGGTATTTATCGTTCCCATAAAGTTTCATTGAATTCTAGCTAATAGTTGCAGAGAAGTAGCGCGGAAACAATTATTGCTCTATATGCATAATGCATAACTAATCAAGGGTCATAACTCTGTGATAAATGATTTCACCGGAGCAAAGCAACAATATGCACATCTCATCTTGTTATTGACGGTTCCCATAGTTTCGTTGAATTCAAGCCAGTAGTTGCAGAGAAATAGTGCGGAAACGATTATTGCTTTATATGCATACTGTATAACTAATCAAGGGCCATAGCGTTGTGTTGAATGGTCGGACCAAAACAATGCGACGATATCCACATCTCCTCTTGGTATTGAATATCCCCATAAAGTTTCGTTGAATTCCTGTCAATAGTTGCAGAGAAGTAGCGTGGAAACGATTATTACTCTACACTCAGAAGCACTAATAACCCGACACTTACATTTGTCGAAATGAATTGCTTATTTGAGAACGGATATTGTTCAACTTTTGAACATACAAAACTCAACATATCATACTTATTTCTTAGAATTTTATTTACGTTTCGTTGTCAAGAAAATAGAGAAAATAACAAAACAAATATGCTGCTGCAAAATGAAAAAATCACAGAATGGCTGTTAATCTCGTAACAAAAGAAAAGTCTCTGAATCCCACTAAATCTGTACGTTAACCAGTTCTTATACATTGTGTGTCCTTCCATGGCTATAACATCGTGTACACACCTGTATCATATTTATGACGTAGTTTCTCATTAAAGCTAAAGGAATATTTCCATTCCTGAATAAGGGCTTCCTCGAGTTCCAGCTACTCCTGCATCCCAACTAACCAGATCTAAACATTAAACTTGTCGACTGAATTGAAAGGTGTGTGAAAAAGTCCCTTGCACTACGCTGGGACTCGAGCGAGCCCTTGTTTAGGAATAGAGAAACGTGATATAATTCGAAGCAGATTTTTTTTAGTAGAAACATTTCCTTCCATTAGAACAACGTTAGAACTCATTTTGATGCCCGTTGTACATTGTTGAGAAATTATTTCTTTAAAATCTTGTAGCGCTCAGGTTAAAGACATTTCTGATTGGCCATAATTAAATTGCATCGATGTAGTTTTTGATATCTATGCAATATCTGATGATTGTAAAATTGGTTTGTATGTGTTTTTCAATGTGTAAATTTTACATGTGTACTTCGAGCCCAGAGACAGGACTTTTTAATATGACAATTTGAGAAAATAAATTGAACTTTTTTGAAGCATCTTCAAGGCTAGCATAAAATATTTCTGACTTCATTTAACCTTAATAGTGTTGATCATGCTAAATGTTGAATCATGCCTAAGGCGGTTCTAGGGGGAAAGAACGGAAGCTTGCAATTACCTTCCATGAACAGGCTCAATCAAACGGAGCCTGCAACATTTTCAATTTTGCCGTCAAATCAAATCAAATCAAAATTTATTTATTGTCGGTATATTATATATATAACATTTCACAAAACATAAGCTATGTATAGCTTTTGACCGACATACGTTCATATAAACATAAAACTCATAAAAGAAGCACATTATGATAATCTTTGAAAGACAAATGGTAAAACAAGTTAAATTAATCGTAATACTATAATGTGGCATGTAGACACTACATGTAATAGTTTAAAATGAAATAATAATAAATGATATTGACATGCTAGAGATAATTCCTATAGATTACTGTTATATAGGTGAATAAAATTATATATATCTAGATAAAATTGCCGAACACATTAACCCATACATAAAATTAAATTAAAGATTGTGTGGAGTCTGCTGATCTTGACCTAGGCCAAAGGACTGTCATAAAAGAAATTAAAATAAGATACTGAAAATGAAAAGGATCACGAAAGTGTGACCACTAAAAAACTTTAAAAAAAATAAAAATGAAAATCCCATAATCAGATTTGGCAAGAAGTGATCAGCAGCCTTCTCACAAACTGATCGACAATAAGCAAACAAAATTCAAGCACACAACAAAAATGTTACATGTACATAAACATTTATGTTGAGATTATTAACAAAATTTAAGCCAAATGTGAAAAAAGGCAACTGTAAAGATAGGTATAAAGCAAAACAAAAGAAAGAAAGCAGGCAGGAAACAAAACTGAAGATGGAGCTATTTATAAACTATAATGCAAGTTTATTGACAGAAAGTACATGAGCAAATCTCTCCATTCCATGCACCAATTAAACTTTTGAATCGGTCATGATTCACTTCCAGTCTGAGGTGTTGGGGAAGTGAATTCCATAGTTTTGGTGCATAGGAACGAAAAGAGTTGCTGCCATAACTAGTGGTTCTTACCTGAGGGATAATGGCTATACGTACATTTAAATTATACCTAAAATTAAAAAAAAATGAGTTTTTATATTAACAAGATGATGTAAGTATGTTGGTCCTTCTTTATAAATTATTTTATAAATTTCGAGTGCTATAGCTCTGATACTTTTTTATTTTAAATTTGGTAGCTTAGATTTTATGAAAAGTGTCATAGTCTGATTGATAGTCATCATTAATGATTCTTAATGCTCTTTCTAGAATTTTCTCCATTTTTTTGGGTGTAATTTTCTCTGCAGAAGTGTCTGGTGAGAGGGCAGTAATGAAAGTTTGATAGTATAAATGAGTAATATATGATTAATTTCCACAATTTTTTACCTATTCTCTTTAGCATGTTAATTATTTTGAGGCTTTATTTTACAAATGTCAAACATTTGTTTACCAAACTTGAGCTTAAAGTCAAAAGTTACCCCTATAAGTGTAACAGATTCATCACATGGGATTGTACCACCATTTAAATTCAAACTTATATTTTCATTCCTAATTTTTTTTAACCGATAGCAATAGCCTTGAATTTGTCAATTTAGATTGTCAATCATAAATTTAGTACGGCTATGTACAGGAATTATTCCGTTTCTATTTTCAGAGTTTCGTCCCCTTGAAACTCTTTTCAAAGGAGAATATTGTAAAATTACGCCGGCTTCACTAAAAAATAACAACATGCCCAAAGACGTTGGAGCCTATTTAGCTGAGCAACAAAAGAAATCATCAGGAGAAGTTGCGTCAGAATGGGCTAAGATGGAAGAGCTCTATAACAAAAAGTTTGTGACTTGAGCCAATTTCATTTAAAACCTAACTTCGAAGTTCGAACATAAACACTTGTTAAGCACGTAAAGTGACTCAGCAATTACAAAATTATGCAAATAATTTTGGGTAATCTTTTAGATTCCACACCACTAGATGATGATTTTTCCGAATCAATATTTGTTTATAACACTAATGTAAATGGGAATTTATGAACCGAATATCTAAACACAGATCTTTTTGACTCTTGAGAACAAATTGTTTCGAAGCGGCAAGCCTAACATGCTTAACTTCTAACGACTGGTCCTTTACACTCCAGTACTCCGCCTCTTTAGGACACAAGTTATACACCCATAAACAGTTTCTATATGAACTTCGTAAATAACCAAGGAATAACAAATGAAAACCTATGTCAGTGTAAGAAATTCGGATTTGAATTAACTAGGCTGCCCGGACTACCAGATTGGAATATTCACTAGCCCAAAAGACATTTCACTAGCACGATTCATTTGTTCTAAACTGTTGTTTATATATTGCCTCTGAAAATACAGTAGCCTGGTCAGGCTAATGTTACTGTGAGCTTGGTAGCCCGAGGAGAAATTTAGTAGTCGGGGGCTATCGGACTACTGCTAATTTCGAACACTGCTATGTTATCTGTCCTGAATTGGCAGTAAACCTGATCTTGTGAATTCTGAAATAATACAAACAATGCCATATTTAAACTGCTGCATGTAGTTCATTGCAATTATTGTCGGATTTTCAAAATATTTAGACCAGTGAAAAGTTTATGATCTTCGATTCGTATCAATTCAAATTTCAGCATAAAAGGGCCGAAATGTCTTGGGGGCCGATTTTTGCACTGGGGGTCAACTCGGCCCTATACCAACTCGGCATGGGTCAACTCAGCACGAGTCAACTTGGCCCTTTTTTAAAAACCATTTAGTATTTCGGATAATTACTAGCAATGTTTCTGCCAGACTTGATTTTTTTGGGGTCATTTGTGACCCTTTGTATAAAAAAATATAAGGGTCTTTTGAAATTATTGAGGGTAAAATTTTAAAAAGTAAAAACTACAAAAGTAAGTCTCAGAACTGTTTATTTATATATATTTACTTCAATTTCTCACTTTATGGGTTAAATGTTGTGCTGATAACAAAACAGAATCAGTTATCAATTTATACATACACACAGTTATCGGAAATAATTGAATTTTAAATCAATTTTAAAATGGCCATTTCGGATACTCAAACAACATTTGCTGATTTAAATGAGATGGTGCTAATTATAGGAGAAATAACTGAATGTAAATGCCTCTAATTTCATGTGTGGCAGATTATGACTGCGTCATAGAAAATGCGCTTTGCTTTTTTGAATTGCGTTGTTAGTGAAATTATTGCATCAAATATGCAAGGAACGCAGAGTAGGGCAGTCTTTCCGAAAGACCGTCGGACCTGACCGGTAAAAAATCAGAAGGTCCGATAAAAATATATGTTTTGACGGCCCGACGGTCCGGTAAAAATTAAGGATTTATAAAAACCTTACATTCAACATTTTGCAAAGGCCGATCATTTACCTACATTCAAAACTAGGGTTTCTTAATCGGACAAAAATCATAATCGATCATCGAAAATAATCGAACAACCCTTTTCGATCAATCATCGATTATATAATCGAAACAATAACAATAACAAAGTAAATATGTACAATGTTCATATCATGCTTTAATATTTATAAGAATTCCATTTCCATGCATGTAACCACCACTTTATCAACTGAAATAAATAAGTTTAAAGATATACTATGCTCATCCTTGAGTAAAATATTTTTATCAAATAAATTCATTAAAATCTATAAAATTATTATGTGTCACTTTTCAAAAAAGCAATGAATAAACTATATATGGGAACAAGTTAAGTTGGTCCTTTCTTTACAAAACTGCCATTTTTAATGACACTAAATATTGATATTGCATCCACCTTTAGTGTGTAGAATAATTTTATAACATATCTTCTTTGTGTGAAGTCAAAACATATTTATTTTATATTTACAAATAGACTGTGTAGCAATTTTAAATATTTTCTAATGTCAAATTTGAGCATAGTATACCTTTAAACTAGCATGCCTCACTGTCAACTATTAACTTCATGGTCACCAGTATACTTTCATATTCAATTGAATGAAAATTATTGTTTCAACCAAAACTGGCTTTAATTTAGTGTTTTTATAATACAGTCAGTCACTTAAGTAACAGCAAGAAAATAAATTACCGATAATCGATTATTAAACTTTGTAATCGATCATCGCTGATTGGTTCTATAAACGATCAATTTTCGATTATACTCGATCATCGTTTAATCCATATTCAAAACAAATCAAAATGTTGACATTACACAATATAAGCTCGTGCAATGCTTGTCAACTGTTATGCATTCTCATAATGCAAACTTTAATGTAACAACGTAAGATAAAAATATCCGACAACTAGTACAATTGAAAAGTCAATAAGCGGCCGTGTAAATTACATAAGCGGCCCAGATGTGAAAGGTCAACCGCTATTAGTTTGTTTACACAGATGAAAGTGTCAGTGAATTAATGGGAACAATTTACGTCTTTAATCCACAGACTTAGAGAAATGTTAAATTACGTGTGTGCTCAACTGGTGTTTAGCTATGATAATGAAAGATCGTCCAAGATGTTGACAAAAATTAAACTATACTGTGAAGGTACCAAAATCATTTAATAAACAATTAATCTGTCAACTTCACTAAATTACCGATATATATAATTCTGTTTACATATGCCAGACTTTTGCTGAAATTTATCTTCTCATTTTGCTAGTATATAGTCTGTATGAAATTAAAGTTTAAATAGCAAAATCCATTGAATACATGTATAACAATATTTATGTTTACATTTTGATTGTGGTGAAAAAAGATAACTTCACTTCATTGATAATACAATTTTCTTTTTGTACACAAATTTTTTGACTGCTGACACTTATCAAATGACTCAAAATGCTATACCAATCAGGTTTTTTTCGGTCCAGTAAAATCATGTTTGGTCCAGTAAAAATTTTCAGTTTACAGGACCTACTGTCCAGTAAAACTCAGAAGTCTTTCGCATAGACTGGTAGGGAAAACACTGTACTAGTAGGGCCTTTTCATTAGTTTTGGGGAAGGCGCCCTTGCCCTTTTTGTGGGGAAAAAAAGCGCGGTTTTCATACTTATGGGGGAAAAAATTATATTTTCCACTGGCAGTTTAACCACTATTACTATAAATAAAGACTTATTTAAATCATACATTTGGGGGAAATATCATAATATATTTGCATATTTTCCTCCAAACACACTTTATTTTGGGAGCTTTCTGTCTAACATAAGTTAAAGGGATTTTTTTACAGATCAATTTATTGCCACTTTTTATTTGCCCAGAATACATTGACTCATATTTCCTAATTATAGAAAATTTACGTAGGACATGTGAGGGTTCTTGATTTGATTCAGAGGGAACATTATTATCAGTTCCCACCATATCGCTATTACTGGCACTGTTGTGCTAGACTCACTATTTCCCACACTTGGGCATGTTGTGCTACTTGGACACACGAACTTGCGAGTGGATACATGTATTGGATTCTCTTGCACTTACAGAAAGGTCAACAATTTATCCAATTTTTCATAAACAATTACAAACGTCACTCAATCATATTTTCTACTTGTTCTGTGACATTGTTTACATTTGCGACACCGTAAATCGGTTGCCGTATTGTCGTAAAAAAATCATGTGTGCACTAAAAAATAAGGCAGTGGGGTTTTCCCATGTTGCAAACTCAGACCGAGGCAGTGAGTTTACATCAATTGTATTGAATCGAGGTATCTCTCTAGTGGGTAATTGAATAATTAGCTTTCATTGGACAAAAACAATGATCTATTTTTAAACAAGAAAGTTTGTTTACAAGCTTTTTTCTTCGATTTAACATTTCTCTGAAAGGGAAAATCTTCGCAAAAAGGGGAATTTTTGACTGTTTTTTGGGGAAAAAGGGTAGTAAGTTGGCTTGGGGAAGTAGCCGAATACCGGCTACAGCTAAGAAGGGTAAAAAGGCCCTGACTAATATTGTTTAGTTAATAAACTTTTCAAGGAGTAAATTACTATAAATGTAATTCAGGGGAAAGATTTCTATTGAATCTTAGAAAAAGTCAGCAGCATATTGTTTGAAATTATCTTTGAAGAAGAAGGGATATCAAAACAAGATGTTTATGATTGATCCATGAATAAAGTTTATAGATTAAATTTTGTGACATAAATAAGTCACATAATGATAAAATGTATTTAAATATTAAACACTGTTGATTCCATAGCAAAGTAGCAATACATAAAGGAAGTAAAATATGAATTGGACAAGTTAATTTTGAACAGAACAATAACGTTATAATGTAATTTACTTTTTTATCCAGAGAACATAACTTATTAATCAAATTAAATTAAACAAAGATATGATGAAAATATATGAAAAGTAATAACCAGTAGTGAATAATATATGGAAATTGACCCATACTGAGTTGTTATAGGACTGAGATGACTCTGTGGCCTAGCCAGTTTTAGGGCAGAGTTGACCCAGATTCCCATTAAGGGCAAAACTGTCCTGTTTGCTGGGCACTGTCTGTTTGCTGGGCACAGTTAAGCTGACCATTCAAAATTTGTGTTCAACTTGTGTACAAATGTACCTTGACAAATGGAGGAAATAATTTCAGATTCTCACCCACACCAATGTAGAGTCCAGATCATTGTGTGTATTCTTTCGATTAACAAAATCAAGGGGTACTAAAATATTTTTAGTGTCTGCTTGTCCATGTAGGGAACCTTAATTTCATATGTCAGTAAAAAAAAAATTACTGTACTAAGACTCAGTCAGAAAATACAAGCAATGAATGACTGTTTTCTTAATCCAGTGTAAATTTATGACTTGGTCCAATATAGGGCTTTGGGCTCAATTATGTGACATTTCAATGTTGTAGGACTTTGACAAAGCCATATTTTATGAAACTATTAATCTTTTTAAGGTTATGGCATCAGCTTACATTGAGGCTTCAGAATTTTGTGAAAAATCCAATATTCAGCAAAGGGGAAGGTTTGATAAGGGTAAGTAGTTCAAAGCAATTCTTATGTTTTATTGAATTAGAAAAAATAATTTGAAATGCCTTGCCAGTAGTAGATAAATTAGAATAGTTTGGTTAAACTCAACATTCCCGAGTTGACACCAGATTCAATATTTTGATTATTTTCACAATTGGCATAGCCACTAGTGAAAATATAATAGCTGGTGTTCATGAGTGAAATATCTTTCAATCTTACATGCAAGACAAACAAATTTTCTATTTATTTCATGCTTTTCAGGTGATTTTAAGTCAATTTTACTTATTTTGCCACATAATGCCATGGGTTAATTTCTTCATGACATCATCACATCATGACATCACCATACCAATGTTGAAATTTAGTTCTGCAAAATTTCTCGAATTTTGTAAATTTTTAACACAGTTTAAGCAGTTATTTACTTGCTTCTCAGCTTCTCATAAAAAAGCAAAATTTACATACAGCAGAATTTATTCCTGTTGATAATTCCATTCAGTTATGAAATATTATTTTCATATGCATTCAAATATAGTCTGGCTACAGTGAAAATTATCAAATATAATTTCACTTTCCAGAGTAAAGCATGTTATTAATGATTTTAACAATTGATTAAGTGATAAAAACTGATAATTTCATTTTCTTCTATGCTCACAGCATTTTAAATTATTTTTGTTTGAAAGGTCATTAGATGTTATGATTTTATATAAGATATTAACATTCTTCATTGATATTGTTCAAATGTAATATATTAAGATATATTTTCATTTTCAGATGTATGAAAACTTCATTTCTGATTTTGAGCATAGGTAAGACTTTCTTGAAAGACTGTTGAAATGTTTTAAGATTTAAAATAAATTTACACAAAGGAGTTTTATTTGAGAAATTGAAGAACTGTGAAGCATTGACTTTAAGATTTATCAATCATTTCTAGTAGTCATCCTTTTGGATTTTTTTTTATGATCACGTACAGTTACAACTTTCAGTAGCCTACTTGTAAGTTTGAGTATTCGAAGAATAGGGCGAGCTGTTGTACTCAACCCAGCATCGGCATTACACTTTAGTTACGTTTTTGTGAGCCAGTTGGTATCTTCAAAATGGAGTGAAACTCGCACACTTGTTGGAGAGCATAATATAGGTCATTATTCAAGGTCAATGACTCCCAACATGGATTTTGACAAAATAGCCCCTTTTGAACTTAGAATTTTTTCCAATCTCTTGTTTAACTATAAAGCACTGAGAATAGTCAAGCACGCTGGCCTATCAACAGCTCTTATTTATTTATAAAATGTTGGTCAAATACAAGTTATTAATTGTAATGAAAAGTAATAAATACTAATAGACTTGAAAGAGTTCCCACTTAATTTTTTAATTTTTGTATAGCTTTGTTTTATGACTTTATATCAAATGCTTCTGTAACTTTCTTAATCTGAAAGCAATTATTTTGGGAAATTCTGTGTACATGTATTGTTATGATTAATCTATTTTCTACATTTTCAAATTTTAGAATAAACCACCTGTCTTTGGCTGAGATAATTATATTTGTAGTGAAACAGATTGCAGGTATTTATTTTCATACTGTGTCCATGAATTTAAAAACATTTAATTTCATGTAAGTAACCTAGAAAAATGATCCAATTTCTGCATTGGAAAATGGAAATATTTGTGTTTGCAAGTACTTTGTTTTCACCTTGAAAAAGAAAAAAATTGTAAGAACTTTTTTATTCAGAGGTTTGTTATTTCCTCTAAAAAAAAATTCAAATTAAAATTTCTAATTATTTCCCTTTAAAGTACATCAAAGATTAATAGCATTTTATCTAAAGAGCTTTTATACAATTTTAAGCTCGTCTGTTTTGAAAAATGTCTCGAGCTTTTATGATTGCTGCAGTGTCATTTTTGTTGTGCAAAAACTTAAATTTAGCCCATTATTCAAACATTTTTAATGTTATCAACATAAAAAGTGCAGTTGTTAGACAAGGGACATTATTCTGAAAGCAATATTTTTGGAGTTATGTCCCTTTTAATTAGATTTTTAATGGACGGGCTCTTATTATTTTTATAATGAAATTGCTTTATCCAAATATTTGGTCAACTAAGTAGATTTTTATATTCATTGTAGATCCCAAGCAAGCTATAGATTTCTTGGAAAAGATAAAAGAAAAGGTAATTTTCATCTTGTTTAGCTAAAAATTTAATCAGTATTTCAGCATGTTTAACAAAAGCATATTGTTTCTGAACTCCCAAATTGTAATTTTATGCAGTTTGTATACTGAAAATATTTGCTCGTTTTTTAGCTTCTGTTTATTTCAAGAAAGTTGCAGTATATATTATATTTACCCCATTAGTGCTGGGTGGCGATACACTTAAAAATTCAATCATCATGGAAGGTATTTTTTCAATGCTACCAGTACTTTTGTATTTGTAATCGTCATTGTAGGAGACATTAGTATTAATTTATTTACACTGCATTTTAAAATTTGATATGTCCTATAAGGTTTTTGTTCTACAAGGAAGCATTTAAAAAGTAGAGCACTCTGCTGTTTTGTAGACCTTATTGAATTTTCAAAGTATCAGGAAATTCTTTTTATTTTTTTTGTGTGCAGTATACTTACGAAATTCATTTAATTCTTGTTTTATTAGGTGAAGGCAAGCACAGAAGCTAGGGTTTTATGTCTGACACAGATTGCAACCATAAAGTTAAAGACCAAAGATCTTGATGGAACAAAGGTATATATTTAAAATTTCAAAATCTTTCATTTATTATACTTTGCATTAAAACTGCCCGCCTCTAGATTCATGATAATTTTCATGAAAAATTTGAAAATATATTAAAAATAAAATATTGTCAAGTGAACAAAGAAAGTAATTTACACATTGCAAACAATCAAAGTAAATTACCAAATAAAGGTCAAAATATGCAAAAATAGCCCTTACTGCTTTAGTCATGCAGTAGAAATAAGGTGATAAATACTGCAGCCATTCAATGCATATAACATGAAAATTTACTTGAATTGTTAATGTTTCTACTTTACTTAAAATCTTTGTTCATTTTTCTCAAAGTTGATTTTTGTGATTTTTTTTGGCTTATCTCTAATAGAGGCATGCAGCTTTAACTGTCAGAAGCCACGTCTTCGACTTGATCCATGATTATAATTGAAAGTTTCCTTAAGATGCCCATATATATCATATAGAAAAGAATCAAGTCATTCAGTCTTACACTTGTTGTTAGTCATTCATGGTAAATGGTACAAAAATGCAAACTTGTCAAGTTTAAATTGATGCATTTATACACATATCTTCATATTAGCACATAAGAAATAAAAACAACTTGAGTACATGTTACACCAATATTGCAAGAAACATTTGTTCCTCATGTGGTCATTTTCCTGCAATGCATACAGTTTTCCCCTTTACAGTTACCCTGTATCTGATAATTGCTCAGAGGGGTATCTTTGGATTCAGTGGTCATGGAATTTAATCACACTAGAGACGAAATTCTCTTTGACTTCCATATTTCACATTGGTGTGATGACTGGTTAAGATGATCAGGAATTAGTCATCTGAATTGACATACTGTATAAGTAATTAATTTTGCAACGTGGAAATTTTTGCGATTGTTGCGAATTGAAATTTTTCATGAATATTTGATCGCACAAAAAATATTTCTTTTTAGGCAAACTTTCTTCATCATTTGAAAACACATTTAAAAAAATGAGTCTGACTGTTCAGGTACTGAGAGTTATATTTCTCATTTCTGGTTTCTTAGCAAGTCATGGATTTTTTAATGAAACAATATAATTATGTCTTATTAACTAGGGATGTCGTTCGGAGTCCGGATATCCGAACGTTCGGATCACGATTCGGTGTCCGAAACGGATTTTCGGATCCTGATGTTCGTATACAATATTTCAGAATATTGAGAAAAATGTGATAAATACATGCGTTAAGATAATCGATGTAAACCATATTGTATATTGTACCTTAGTGACAATACACATCATAATCTCTGCAAACCACAAAAAATCAATAATTACGAGTCAGGTATGACACATGTTGTTAATCTATATTAAACACCAAACAAATTTAAGTTTTTTAGGATACAAGATGAATGTTCTTAAGTCCTGTGCGTTTGTCATCGGCAACGATGTAACATTTTTTATGTCCAAATTTTTTTACATATATTTCGGCTTACCACCCCGTGAGAAAATGAAAAATCTGCAGAAATAAAATAATCAAATCAAGAAATGCACTTACCATATATATGACAGCTTTTATTGAAATTGATACGATAATTATTCGACAAAATAGCTTTCTCCCTTAAAATAGTATTAATCAAACATGTGCAATTTTTTAAAAACAATTTTTTCACAGATTTTTTTTCACTTATGAACACTTAAAATGTGTGTAATTCATGTAAGTTAAGGCAACTTCTTTGATGATTTGAATCAAACTGCCAGGGCAACATGTTGGTAAACATCAAAGATTGGCAGATTCTTTTGAAAAGCCAGCTGCCGGTACACACCTGTCAAAGGTCATTGTGTGTAAATTGTATGCGTGTTATTGAACAATGGAAACATTAATTTGAATTATTTTTACGACTGTTATTTTGTTTTCACAAATGTGAGCAAGTGTTATTGTGTATTATAGCACTAATTGAGGAATTGAGAAAATCGGCAATGAATTTCATTTTCATTTCATAAATCGTAAGTACCATACACATTAAATTTATCGATAACAATCATATTCTACATAAAAAAAAAAAGATAAAAAAAAATCAATACAGAAAATTTTTCGATACGTAACATTCAATAAAAAAGGGAGTAAAACGAAATACTACACTTTGAAAAATGGTTACGTCATATCAGCCAACTAAGAATATAACAATGATCCTACCATCCGGATGTCTTATTGGGATATCCTGATGGCTGTTTCGGCTCCAGATGACATCCCTATTATTAACACAAAAGGTTATTCATATAACAAAAGAATGTTCCAAAATATGACAAAAAAATGTGGGATCAGGTCTTTATCAAACTACATGTATGTTTATTTCAAACAATTATATAAATAAAAATGGTATTAAACAACTGAATAGAACAATTACAATAACAGCATATTCTTAAAATGTACCTGCTTAATTGATTCTGCTTAATTCAAGAAATCATATTTTCGCAAATAATTCAGCATGCAAAAAGTCCACTTTTTGACATTGGCAAATTTTTTGTGACACATAAATATCCACTTATACAGTATAGCACTATGTCTAGGACTCTTGAATAGTTCTAGGACACCTAAATAGTATTTGACATTAATGAAAAAGAACAAAATGGAAAAGAAAAATCATGTCGTGTTTATTTTTACGTTTTAGACAGTAGTGGAGGAATGCCAGGGTGTATTAGATACCCTAGATGGAATCTCATCCGTACATAGTCGATTCTACGAACTGTCGAGTAACTATCACAAACTCATGGGAAATCATGCTGAATATTATAAAGAAGCTCTCAGGTTTCTCGGGTGTATAAATGTTGAAGATATTCCAGGTAACTACAAATAAAATTTTTATATTCTTGATATTATGTCCTGATTTTGACATTATTTGAAGGCCTTTTCTGTCCATTTTATTTTAAGAAGTACCGAAAAACTTGTTGCAAAATTATTGTAGTTTTGATTTAAAATGACTGATAAAACATAGATTTGTGGAGTTGACAAGCTCTCTGATAAACATCGGTCATGCTTGGCTTTAATATTGATATAATTATGTACTTAATATGTATTTATTCTACTATATATGTAACTAAATTTTCTTAAAATTTTCACTGGCCGGAACTAATTTTCACTAGCCATCGGCCACTGGGCCAGTGCTAAATTGGATGACTGGATTAGAATTATTTTCATAATGAAGTTTATGCATTGTGTAAAATGTTTACAAAGTGACAACTGGTTACTGTGTTAACAATGGTTAATCGATCTTATATTGACTAGATTTTAGTAATGCAAATTTACATTGGCCAATGTTAAGCCTGCATGTAAATGCATTTGAACATTTTGTATTTTTAAATTCCATGTGACTTTTTTGAAGAACAGGTGCATTCTGTTTCTATATTCATATTTGGCTGTTTGTGGGTGACATTTATTTTGTCTTTAAGCCTATAAGAGAATAAGTCTTTTAACATTGAATGGTACACCATTAGGTATTTTGTTTCTGGAGTTCATTAGAAATGTAATTTGTATCATTAAGTTAATTTTTGATATTTTAAACAGCTGGGGAACAGGCAGAAAGAGCATTTAATCTTGGTCTAGCTGCTGTTTTGGGCGAAGGTGTATACAACTTTGGAGAACTTGTGAGTATACATCTTTACTATTTGCAACACCTCTGGGTTCTTTTTCTTCTAATTTTGGTTAGGTTTTACATCACACCAACACAGTATTTATAATATTGCACATATAACAGCTTTACTGGTGGTGCACAGCATAACTGGAACCTGAGTGGTATTTCAGGAACAATCACAGATGTTCTGTAAGCTAGCTGGATAGCTTTCTCACATGTACGGACGTCCATGGCTGAGTGGTTAAGGTCGTTGACTTCAAATCACTGGCCCCTCACTGCTGTGGGTTCGAATCTCAACAGGAATTTGGTTTCTTTTATCTGAGGAACATCAGTGGTTCTACTCGTGTGCCCATTTGTGCCTGAAATAATGCACAGAAGGACACTGGAGGTCTTCCTTCACCAGTCACAATATTACCTATACCGTGTTGGTGTGATGTAAAACCTAATTAAAACATGTACATGTAGCACATGGAGCATTTTATGAATTTAAAAATATTTTACATTTCTTAAAATCTTAACGCATTTCTTCTGAAAACTGATTTTCTAAAACTTTTAACATTCATAGGAAGTTTTACACCACTAAACCTTAACTTTGACAATCCTTCACCAGTAAAGCTTTTAAAAAATTTCTGATATTTGGGATTTAGCACCATATAGACTAAATATATAAAATATTTTTACCCCAAATGAAACATAGTTTTAGGGGTGAGCTATATAGAAATCACTTCTGTCTTTGTCTTGTCCCTTCTTGTCCCATCCCATCCCTTCCTGAGAACCAGTAAAGAAACTTGGAAGATCAATGCAATATCACAATGCAACTGTCTATGTCAAGTTTCATAACTCTGTTAGTTTGATATAATTATGCCACTTTTTGTGCCCCCACTTTAGGGAAGGGAGGGGGGCATTTAGATTTACCCTTGTCCGTCTGTCATTCCGTTTGTCCGTTCTCTTTTGTGTGGCATGTAACTCAAAAAGTATTCGATCTAGAGTCATGAAACTTAACAGGAATGTTGATAAGCATGTGCAGTTGTGCATCTGGGTATTTTCCGTGTGGATTTATTCAGTATTTTTGCCCTTGACTTAGTAAAAATTTGCAATTTTCAACTTGTGTCGCATGTAACTCAAAAAGAATTTAACCTAGAGTCATGAAACCTAACAGGAATGTTGATAAGCATGCGCAGTTGTGCACCTGGGTATTTTCGTGTGGATTTATTCAGTATTTTTGCGCTTGACTTATTAAAAAATTGCAATTTTCAACTTGCGTCGCATGTAACTCAAAAAGGATTTAACCTAGAGTCATGAAACTTAAAAGGAATGTTGATAAGCATGTGCAGTTGTGCACCTGGGTATTTTCGTGTGGATTTATTTAGTATTTTTAGAGTTATTGCCCTTGAGTAAAAATTTGCAATTTTAAACTTGTGTCTCATGAAACTCAAAAAGGATTTAACCTAGAGTCATGAAACTTTACAGGAATGTTGATCAGCATGTATAGTTGCGCAACTGGGTATTTTCATGTGAATATATATAGTATTTTTAGCTCGACTATTCGAAGTATATGGAGAGCTGTCCTACTCGCTGGGGTGTCCTCGTCCAGATTTCAGATTAAAGTTTTGGTGCAGTAAAATATTTTTCACTAAAACTTTTTCATTTCTTAAGGTATCAACTTCAAACTTCAAATATATGTTCCTTATCATCAACCGCATCTTATGTGACAAGGTTCATAACTCTAGCACAAATATTTTCAAATTTATCTCCCTTTGAACTTAGAATTTTCCTTAAAAATATTATTTTTTACTGTAACTTTTTAGCTCGACTATTCGATAAGAATAAGTAGAGCTATTGCAGTCACCCGAGCGTCGGCGTCGGCGTAACCACTTATGTTAAAGTTTTTGTAATAGTTCAAATATTTTCAAAGTCCATTGACATATGGCTTTGAAACTTTGCACACTTGTTCACCATCATGACCCCAACCTGTAGACAGAAGGAGGTAACTCTATCAAGCATTTTGACAGAATTATGCCCCTTTTTCGACTTAGAATTTACGTTAAAGTTTTTAGCTCGACTATTCGATAAGAATAAGTAGAGCTATTGCAGTCACCCGAGCGTCGGCGTCGGCGTCGGCGTAACCACTTATGTTAAAGTTTTTGTAATAGTTCAAATATTTTCAAAGTCCATTGACATATGGCTTTGAAACTTTGCACACTTGTTCACCATCATGACCCCAACCTGTAGACAGGAGGAGGTAACTCTATCAAGCATTTTGACAGAATTATGCCCCTTTTTCGACTTAGAATTTACGTTAAAGTTTTTGTAATAGTTCAAATATTTTCAAAGTCCATTGACATATGGCTTTGAAACTTTGCACACTTGTTCACCAGCATGACCCCAACCTGTAGACAGGAGGAGGTAACTCTATCAAGTATTTTGACAGAATTATGCCCCTTTTTTGACTTAGAATTTACGTTAAAGTTTTTGTAATAGTTCAAATATTTTCAAAGTCCATTGACATATGGCTTTGAAACTTTGCACACTTGTTCACCATCATGACCCCAACCTGTAGACAGGAGGAGGTAACTCTATCAAGCATTTTGACAGAATTATGCCCCTTTTTTCGACTTAGAATTTACGTTAAAGTTTTTGTAATAGTTCAAATATTTTCAAAGTCCATAGACATATGGCTTTGAAACTTTGCACACTTGTTCAACATCATGACCCCAACCTGTAGACAGCAGGAGGTAACTCTATTAAGCATTTTGACAGAATTATGCCCCTTTTTCGACTTAGAATTTACGTTAAAGTTTTTGTAATAGTTCAAATATTTTCAAAGTCCATTGACATATGGCTTTGAAACTTTGCACACTTGTTCAACATCATAACCCCAACCTGTAAACAGGAGGAGGTAACTCTATCAAGCATTTTGACAGAATTATGCCCCTTTTTCGACTTAGAATTTACGTTAAAGTTTTTGTAATAGTTCAAATATTTTCAAAGTCCATTGACATATGGCTTTGAAACTTTGCACACTTGTTCACCATCATGACCCCAACCTGTAAACAGGAGGAGGTAACTGTATCAGGCATTTTTTTTACTATCAAGCACTAAGAATAGTCGAGCATGCTGTCCTACCGACAGCTCTTGTTGTAATAGTTCAAATATTTTCAAAGTCCATTGACATATGGCTTTGAAACTTTGCACACTTGTTCACCATCATGACCCCAACCTGTAGACAGGAGGAGGTAACTCTATCAAGCATTTTGACAGAATTATGCCCCTTTTTCGACTTAGAATTTACGTTAAAGTTTTTGTAATAGTTCAAATATTTTCAAAGTCCATTGACATATGGCTTTGAAACTTTGCACACTTGTTCACCATCATGACCCCAACCTGTAAACAGGAGGAGGTAACTGTATCAGGCATTTTTTTTACTATCAAGCACTAAGAATAGTCGAGCGTTGCTGTCCTACCGACAGCTCTTGTTTATTAGCTCGACTATACGAAGTATATGGAGAGCTGTCCTACTCCCCCAGCGTCGGCTTCCACGTTCGCGTCCAGATTTCAGATTAAAGTTTTGGTGCAGTAAAATATTTTTCACTATAACTTTGTCATTTCTTAAAGTATCAACTTCAAATTTCAAATATATGTTCCTTATCAACAACCACATCTTATGTGACAAGGTTCATAACTCTAGCACCAATATTTTCAGATTTATCTCCCCTTGAACTTAGAATTTTCCTTAAAAAATACTATTTTTTACTGTTACTTCTTTATTTCTTAAGGGATCAACCTCATACTTCAAATATATGTACCTTATCATCATCCCCATCTTATGTGACAAGGTTCATAACTCTAGCACAAATATTTTCAGATTTATCTCCCCTTGAACTTAGAATTTTCCTTAAAAAATACTATTTTTTACTGTTACTTATTTATTTCTATATATATTTTTCACTATAACTTTGTCATTTCTTAAAGTATCAACTTCAAATTTCAAATATATGTTCCTTATCAACAACCACATCTTATGTGACAAGGTTCATAACTCTAGCACCAATATTTTCAGATTTATCTCCCCTTGAACTTAGAATTTTCCTTAAAAAATACTATTTTTTACTGTTACTTATTTATTTCTAAAGGGATCAACTTAATACTTCAAATATATGTAACTTATCATCATCCCCATCTTATGTGGCAAGGTTCATAACTCTAGCACTAATATTGCAAGAATTATCTCCCCATAAACTTAGATTTTTTTACTAGAAAAATGTTTATTTTTTACTATAACTTTTTAAGTTTTAAAGGTATCTACCTCAAACTTCAAATACTTATTCCTTATCATCAATTACTTTTTATGTGACAATGTTCGTAACTCTTGAAGCAATATATTACAGATTTATCTTTCTTTGAACTTAGGATTTTCTTTAAGAAATATTATAACTTCTTTACTTTTAAAGGTATCTACTTCAAACTTTAAATATATATTTCTTATCATTACACACATGTTGTGTGAAAGGTTCATAACTCTAGCATGACTTTTTCTAGAATTATTCCCCTTGATCTTGGAATTAATGTTAACAAAATTTAATGATATTTTTTTACTATAACTTAATTCATAATTATACATAATTGGTTTTTCTTTCAAAGTTTTGTCCTCCTTACTGCGTCCAGTATTTTATTAGTCGAGCTTGGCTGTCTCCTGTGACAGCTCTTGTTTCTTAAGGGATCAACTTCATACTTCAAATATATGTTACTTATCATCAACCACATCTTATGTGACAAGGTTCATAACTCTAGCACAAATATTTTCAGATTTATCTCCCCTTGAACTTAGAATTTTCCTTAAAAAATATTATTTTTTACTGTTACTTCTTTATTTCTTAAGGGATCAACTTCATACTTCAAATATATGTTCCTTATCATCAACCACATCTTATGAGACAAGGTTCATAACTCTAGTGCAAATATTTTCAGATTTATCTTCCCTTGAACTTAGAATTTTCTTAAAAATATTATTTTTTACTGTAACTTCTTTATTTCTTGAGGGATCAACTTCATACTTCAAATATATGTTCCTTATCATCAACCATATCATATGTGACAAGGTTCATAACTCTAGCATCAATATTGCAAGAATTGTCTCCCCATTTACTTAGATTGTTTTACTTGAAAAATGTTACTTTTTACTATAACTTCTTTAGTTTTAAAGGTATCTACCTGAAACTTCAAATACTTATAATCATATTCCTTATAATCAAACACATTTTATGTGACAAGGTTCATAATTCTTGAAGCAACATTTTCAGATTTATCTACCTTTGAACTTAGAATTTTCTTTTAGAAATATTATAACTTCTTTACTTTTTAAGGTATCTACTTCAAACTTCAAATATATATTTCTTATCATTACACACATGTTGTATGACAAGGTCCATAACTCTAGTGTGACTTTTTCCAGAATTATTCTCCCTTGAACTTGAAATTTGTTAACAACTATAACTTCTTGTCATAAGAAGAAATTTAATTAGTATTTAGTTAGTCGAGCTTCGCTGTCTCCTGTGACTGCTCTTGTTAGAGTTATTGCCCTTGACTTAGTAAAATTTTGCAATTTTCAACTTTTGCGCATGTAACTCAAAAAAGATTTGACATAGAGTCATGAAACCTTAAAGGAATGTTGCTCAGCATATGTAGTTGCGCACCTTGGGTTTCCCTAGTGGATTTATCCAGTATTTGCAGAGTAATTGCCCTTGACTTAGTAAAAACCATTTCATTATGTTGTGTTATTTGTTCCTCGAGTGCTTGAGTTAGAATCAACCAACTTTACAGGAATAATGATCAACATCACTTTGAAGCTATGCACCTGGGACATTGCATGTGGATTTTTATTATTGCCCTTGACTTACAGTAGTATAAATTTGCAATTTTTAACTTGTTCATGCATAGCTCAAAAAGTATTCGACTTGTAGGCCTGAAAGTTTACAAGAATGTTGGTCAGCATGTGTACTTATGCACCTTGGGGTTTGCTTGTGGAGTTATTCAGTATTTGTAAAAAGTTCTTGCCCTTTACTTAGTAAAAGGTTTTAAGTTTTCAACTTGTGGCACATGTAATCCAAAAAATATTTGACCTAGAGTCATAAGATTGACAGAACAGTGGAGTGTGGGGGCACCTGTGTCCTACGGACACATTTCTAGTTTAACTTACAAAGATAATGGTCAGCAGATGATTATACTCTTTTAACAAGGTAATAAATTGCGATACTTATTGGTACACAGATAGATCATCATAAAATATAGGTTCAGTTTGAATTTGGCTTAAGACCTCTTATTTTTAGCTCACCTGTCACAAAGTGACATGGTGAGCTTTTGTGATCACTTTTTCATCCATTGTCTGTCCGTAAACTTTTACTTTAAATGACATCACCTCATAAACCGCTTAGCCAATTTCATCCAAACTTCACAGGAATGTTCCTTTGGTGGTCACCTTTAAAATTATTCATAGAATTTAATTCTAAGCAGAACTCTGGGTGCCATGGCAACCGAAAGAAAAAACTTAAAATATCTTCTTTTAGAAAACCAAAAGAGCTAGAGCTTAAATATTTTGCATGAAACATCATCTAGTCAGTGTCTACCAAGTTTGTTCAAATAAATGCCCTGGGGTCAAAATTGGCCCCGCCCCAGGTGGTCATTGATTTTGTATATAGTAAAAATCTTCTTTTAAAAAGCCCAAATAGTAAGAGCTTAGATATAACGCATGAAACATCTTCTAGTGGATGTAAACCAAGTTTGTTCAAATAAAAGCCCTTGGGTCAAAATTGGCCCCACCCCAGGGGTCATTGTTTTTCCCTTTATGTATATAGTAAAAACTTAAAAAATCTTCTTTTAAAAAAACCCTAAGAGCTAGAGCTAAGATATTTAGCATGAAACATCTTCTAATGGGTGTCTACCATTTTTTGTTCAAATAAGGGCCCTGGGGTTAAAATTGGCCCCGCCCGGGGATCATTGATTTTCCTTTTATGTATATAGTAAAAACTTAAAAAATCTTCTTTTAAAAAGCCCAAATAGCTAGAGCTTAGATATTAAGCATGAAACATCTTCTAGTGGGTGTCTACCAAGTTTGTTCAAATAAAAGCCCTGGGGTCAAAATTGGCCCCGCCCCAGGGGGTCATTGTTTTTCCCTTTATGTATATAGTAAAAACTTAAAAAATCTTCTTTTAAAAAAAACCTAAGAGCTAGAGCTAAGATATTTAGCATGAAACATCTTCTAATGGGTGTCTACCATTTTTGTTCAAATAAGGGCCCTGGGGTTAAAATTGGCCCCGCCCCAGGGATCATTGATTTTCCTTATATGTATATAGTAAAAACTTAAAAAATCTTCTTTTAAAAAACCCAAAGAGCTAGAGTTTAGATATTAAGAATGAACTATCTTCTAGTGAGTGTCTACCAAGTTTGTCCAAATAAAAGCCCTGGGGGCAAAGTTGGCCCGCCCAGAGTGGGGGGGGGGGGAGGGTGTTTTTCCCTATAAGTGTATTGTAAAATCTTAAAAAATCTTCTTACAGCTAGAGCTTAGATTATATTCATGGCCCTCTTGTTTTAATATTTAATGTGGTGGCTGGGGTATGATGAATCACCTGTAGTGATAGCTCTAGTTATATAATATAGATTTTTATATCATTACAGCTAGCACATCCAATCTTAGATTCACTAAAGAACACGGAGAAAGAATGGGTCATTTCGTTACTATATGCCTTTAACAGTGGAAATATTTCCAAGTTTGATGATCTCAAGAAAAACTGGGGAGGACAGGTGAGTCAATTTGGACATGTTTTTGTAAGTTAATATATTTCAAAGCAAATACCATGGTGATATACACAAAGTTTTTAGATGATAGACAAGCACAATGAAATAACTTTATTCTTGAATAAATTAAATTGATGGGAAGTCACAAGGAAACATCTTTATTCATGAATAAATTAAATTGATCTGGACACACATGGAAACAACTTTATTCATGAATGAATTAAAATGATCTGGAAGTCAAATGAAAACAACTTTATTCATGAATGAATTAAATTGATCTGGAAATCACATGGAAACAACTTTATTCATGAATGAATTAAATTGATCTGGAAATCACATGGAAATAACTTTATTCCTGTATAAAGTAAATTGATCTGTAAGTCACATGGAAATAACTTTATTCATGAATGAATTAAAATGATCTGGAAGTCAAATGGAAACAACTTTATTCATGAATAAAGTAAATTGATCTGTAAGTCACATGGAAATAACTTTATTCATGAATGAATTAAAATGATCTGTAAGTCACATGGAAATAACTTTATTCATGAATGAATTAAATTGATCTGTAAGTCACAGGGAAACAACTTTATTCATGAATGAATTAAATTGATCTGTAAGTCACATGGAAATAACTTTATTCATGAATGAATTAAAATGATCATGAAGTCAAATGGAAACAACTTCATTCATGAATAAATTAAATTGATCTGGAAGTCATAAACTAAATGATACCCTTCACTCTATTAGGAAAGCAATTTTGAATCCCATTGAAAATGTTTGATATTGTGAGGGTTTTTTATTTAGTATTGAAGTAAGTTGATAATGTATGATGTAGCAAAGATTTCACCCTGTTTTTAAAAATGAATGTGGGTATATCAGGATTTTTATTAAAATGAAATGATAATATTATTTTGTTATGATAAAACAAATTATTCTAATGATACACTTGTGTAAATACACTTGTGTAAATAATAATAAAATGGTTTTTATTTTAGCCTGACCTTGCAGCTCATGAGATTTTGATGAGACAGAAAATATCTCTCCTTTGCTTAATGGAGGTAGTACAGTTAATTATTTCCATAAAACTGTAAACAAATAGTGAATTAATAAACTTTTATTGCAAGCTACTTTAAACATTACTATTCATTTGTAAATTAAAGGTTAATGGGCTCAGACATTTATATATTTATCTCTTAAGAAGTTTTTCAAAAAAGCATATATTTAAAAAGTCATATTTTTAAAAGCATAACTCGTAATCTGGAGCATTATCCCTCAACTGACATTGTGAAGTCCGCTATTATTTGTTTTCCTTGGTATATCTTTAGTAGAATTGGACTGATGTCAGTATAATTTTTAGCTCACCTGTCACAAAGTGACAAGGTGAGCTTTTGTGATCGCTTTTCGTCCGGCGTCCGTCCGGCGTCCGTCCGTCCGTCGTCCGTAAACTTTTACTTTAAATGACATCTCCTCATAAACCACTACGCCAATTTCATCCAAACTTCACAGGAATGTTCCTTTGGTGGTCACCTTTCAAAATTGTTCAAAGAATTTAATTCCATGCAGAACTCTGGTTGCCATGGCAACCGAAAGAAAAAACTTTAAATATCTTCTTTTGAAAAACCCTAAGAGCTAGAGCTTAGATATTTGGCATGAAACATCTTCTAGTGAGTGTCTACCAAGTTTGTTCAAATAAAAGCCCTGGGGTCAAAATTGGCCCCGCCCCAGGGGGTCATTGATTTTCCCTATATGCATATAGTAAAAACTTAAAAAATCTTCTTTTAAAGAACCCAAAGAGCTAGAGCTAAGATATTTAGCATGAAACATGTTCTAATGAGTGCCTACCAAGTTTGTTCAAATAAAAGCCCTGGGGTCAAAATTGGCCCTGCCCCAGGGGGTCATTGATTTTCCCTATATGCATATAGTAAAAACTTTTAAAAAATCTTCTTTTAAAGAACTCAAAGAGCTAGAGCTAAGATATTTAGCATCAAACATGTTCTAATAGGTGTCTACCAAATTTGTTCAAATAAAAGCCCTAGGGTCTAAACTGGCCCTGCCCCGGGGGTCATTGATTTTCCTTATATGGGTATAGCAAAAACTTAAAAAATCTTCTTTGAAAAAACCCAAATAGCTAGAGTTTAGATATTAAGCATGAAACATGTTCTAGTGAGTGTCTACAAAGTTTGTTCAAATAAAAGCCCTGGGGTCTAAATTGGCCCTGCCCGGGGGTCATTGATTTTCCTTATATGTGTATAGCAAAACCTTAAAATCTTCTTTGAAAAAACCCAAATAACTTAGGTTAGATATTAAACATGAAACATCTTCTAGTAAGTGTCTACAAAGTTTGTTCAAATAAAAGCCCTGGGGTCAAAACTGGCCCCGCCCCAGGGGTGTCATTGTTTTTAACTATATGTGTATAGTAAAAACTTAAAAATCTTCTTTTAAAAAGCCCAATGAGCTAGAGCTTAGATGTTTAGCATGAAACATCTTCTTATGGGTGTCTACCAAGTTTGTTCAAATAAAAGCCCTGGGGTCAAAATTGGCCCCGCCCCAGGGGGTCATTGATTTTCCCTATATGCATATAGTAAAAACTTAAAAAATCTTCTTTTAAAGAACTCAAAGAGCTAGAGCTAAGATATTTAGCATCAAACATGTTCTAATAGGTGTCTACCAAGTTTGTTCAAATAAAAGCCCTGGGGTCAAAATTGGCCCCGCCCTGGGATCATTGATTTTCCTTATATGTGTATAGCAAAAACTTGCAAAATCTTCTTTGAAAAAACCCAAATAGCTAGAGTTTAGATATTAAGCATGAAACATCTTCTAATGAGTGTCTACAAAGTTTGTTCAAATAAAAGCCCTGGGGTCAAAACTGGCCCCGCCCCAGGGGTGTCATTGTTTTTAACTATATGTGTATAGTAAAAACTTAAAAAAAATCTTCTTTTAAAAAGCCCAATGAGCTAGAGCTTAGATGTTTAGCATGAAACATCTTCTTATGGGTGTGTGTGGGGGGGGGGGGCTATATACAGGTGAGCGACCTCAGGGCCATCATGGCCCTCTTGTTAATGCTTATTATCCCCCGCCGATGGAATCGGGAGGGGGATACAGTTTTGGCGTTGTCCGTCCGTCCTTACACACTCACAGGACAGTAATTATGTGGCTAGAGGGACAATAGGTAACTGGTCTTTCTCTTTGATGCCATTCGTTCCGTAATGCTTTTATGTGGCTATTTTCTTTTGTGTGGCTAAAAAGAACAATAGAGAGAACAATAGAGTAGCCACATAATTACTGTCCTGTGAGAACGTCCGTCCATCCTTCCGTCCATCCGTCCGTCCGAATTTCGTTTCCAGAGAAGTTCTCTGCAACTACTGGCTGGAATTCAACGAAACTTTATGGGAATCATCAATATCAAGAGGAGATGCGCATATCGTCGGCTTGTTCCGGTCCGACCCTTTAACTCAGAGTTATGGCCCTTGATTAGATATGTAGTATGCATATAGAGTAAAAATCGTTTCCGGAGTAGTTCTCTGCAACTACTGGCTGGAATTCAACGAAACTTTATGGGAATCATCAATATCAAGAAGAGATGCGCATATCGTCGGCTTGTTCCGGTCAGACACTTTAACTCAGAGTTATGGCCCTTGATTAGTTATGCAGTATGCATATAGAGTAAAAATCGTTTCCGCACTACTTCTCTGCAACTACTGGCTGGAATTCAACGAAACTTTATGGGAATCATCAATATCAAGAGGAGATGCGCATATTGTCGGCTTGTTCAGGTCAGACACTTTAACTCAGAGTTATGGCCCTTGATTAGTTATGCAGTATGCATATAGAGTAAAAATCGTTTCCGCACTACTTCTCTGCAACTACTAGCTGTAATTCAATGAAACTTTATGGGAATCATCAATACCAAGAGGAGAGGCGCATATCGTCGGCTTGTTCCGGTCAGACACTTTAACTCAGAGTTATGGCCCTTGATTAGTTATGCAGTATGCATATGGAGTAAAAATCGTGTCCGCGCTACTTCTCTGCAACTACTGGCTGGAATTCAACGAAACTTTATGGGAACCTTCAATACCAAGAGGAGATGTGCATATCGTCGGCTTGTTCCGGTCAGACACTTTAACTCAGAGTTATAGCCCTTGATTAGTTATGCAATATGCATATGGAGTAAAAATCGTTTCCAGAGTAGTTCTCTGCAACTACTGGCTGGAATTCAACGAAACTTTATGGGAATCATCAATATCAAGAGGAGATGCGCATATTGTCGGCTTGTTCCGGTCAGACCCTTTAACTCAGAGTTATGGCCCTTGATAAGTTATGTAGTATGCATATAGAGTAAGAATCGTTTCCGCACTACTTCTCTGCAACTACTGGCTGGAATTCAACGAAACTTTATGGGAACCTTCAATACCAAGAGGAGATGCGCATATCGTCGGCTTGTTCCGGTCAGACACTTTAACTCAAGAGTTATGGCCCATGATTAGTTATGCAGTATCCATATAGAAAAATATTTGTTTCCTCGCTACTTCTCTGCTACTACTGGCTGGAATTCAATAAAACTTTATGGGATACTAAGAGGAGATGTGCACATAGTCGCCTTGTTCCAGTCAGATACTTATAACTCGGATTTATGGCCCTTGATTAGTTATGTAGTATGCATACATGTCATTGGGATTTCCAGATTTAACTATTTAACACAAAGTTATTGCTCTGTTATTGCCCTGAATATTTATCAAGTTCAAAGAATATTACTGTTTATGCCATGATTAATATATAAATAAAGCCTTATGTCTTCAGTTGTTGTGTTAATAATAACCAGTACTCGGCGGGGATATAAATTCAACGAATTTGCTTGTTTATTTTATTATATACCTATAAGTGAAATATTGATGACATAAAATGCGTATTTTCATTTTCCGTATTTTCGCAGTAAAAATTTATATTTCACTGCAGTGAACATATTAATGATATTTTCACTGCTGTCTTGCTGGACTTAATTCTTCTAAATTCAGCTTATACACAAAATTTAAGGGAAAGCCTTTCAAATCGGCAAAAAATAGAGAAAATGTATATAATAAACAGTTGCCATAGCCACTTATGAAATATTTATTTTCATAACACTTAATAGAAATAAATTCTGTATTTATAGAAAAAACATGAATATCTTCTATGTATTTTAATTTATAATTTGTTTAGATGACATTCAAAAGACCAGCCACAAACAGACAGTTAACTTTTGCAGAAATTGCAACAGAAACCAGATTACCAGAAGGGGAGGTAAAATTGTCTACTTAATTATATTTATATTATCTTAGGTTATTTAACATTGTACTGTATGATATGGGAATATATTTTGACTGATGTATGATATGGGAATATATTTTGACTGAAGAGTCCATATTCAGTTTCTCGTGCCAGATGTGTCCAAACACCTGGTATATATAATCCAGGATTTTACAGAACGGTGTTAAATATCAAATTTATTATACAGTCAAACCTGTATTAAACACAACCTCCAAATAAAGACCACCCTGTGAATAAAAGTCATTTTTCAAGAAACCTCCATTAATTACTAAAAACAGAGTAACCTCCATATAGAGTACTCTTGTCCATAAAGGCCTTATTCAGTCTCTCCTTTGAGTGATAATCTGAGACTGAAATCTTAGCGTGTTGGAACCAAAAATGACAGATTTTGCCACCAGTATAAATTCATGCAGTCTGACCAGGCTCTTTACTGTTGGCTACATAACTTTAAATTTTCATCTTGATTTTCCAAATATTGCTAATGGCTAATTAAAAAAAAAATGGAAACTAGAAAAGTCAATTTAAGAAATTCAGTTGGTAAAATGGTTAAGTTATTTGTATATATTAAATTTCAGGTTGAAATGTTGGTTATGAAAGCATTAAGTCTTGGATTAGTGAAGGGATCAATAGATGAAATAGACCATAGAGTACATTTGACATGGGTACAACCCAGAGTTCTAGATCGTGAACAGGTAAATATTGTTTTACTGAGAAATGTACTGTAATTTATATATGATGGTAGTAAAGTAATGATTGATTGCTTCAGCTCAATAATGAGAGTATGGAATATGTAACCCAGGGGTAGCTGGTTCTAACTTTTTTTTCTCCCTGACAGTTGATCCTAGAGTTTAAGTCTAATGGTCATATGTTTTTAGCTCACCTGTCACAAAGTGACAGGGTGAGCTTTTGTGATCGCTTTTCGTCCGGCGTCCGTCCGTAAACTTTTACTTTAAATGACATCTCCTCATAAACCACTAAGCCAATTTCATCCAAACTTCACAGGAATGTTCCTTTGGTGGTCACCTTTAAAAATTGTTCCCATGCAGAACACTGCTTGCCATGGCAACCGAAAGAAAAAACTTTAAATATCTTCTCTTAAAAAACACCAAGAGCTAGAGCTTAGATATTTGGCATGAAACATCTTCTAATGAGTGTCTACCAAGTTTGTTCAGATAAAAGCCCTGGGGTCAAAATTGGCCCCGCCCCAGGGGGTCTTTGATTTTCCCTATATGCATATAGTAAAAACTTAAAATATCTTCTTTTAAAGAACCCAAAGAGCTAGAGCTAAGATATTTAGCATGAAACATCTTCTAGTGAGTGTCTTCCAAGTTAGTTTGTTCAAATAAAAGCCCTGGGGTCAAAATTGGCCCCGCCCCAGGGGGTCATTGATTTTCCCTATATGCATATAATAAAAACTTAAAAAATCTTCTTTGAAAAACCCCAAATAGCTAGAGTTTAGATATTAAGCATGAAACATCTTCTAGTGAGTGTCTACCAAGTTTGTTTAAATAAAAGCCCTTGGGTCAAAATTGGCCCCGCCCCAGGGGGTCTTTTATTTTCCCTATATGCATATAGTAAAAACTTAAAAAATCTTCTTTGAAAAAACCCAAATAGCTAGAGTTTAGATATAAAGCATGAAACATCTATTAATGAGTGTCTACAAAGTTTGCTCAAATAAAAGCCCTGGGGTCAAAATTGGCCCCGCCCCAGGGGGTCATTGATTTTCCCTATATGCATACAGTAAAAACTTAAAAAATCTTCTTTTAAAGAACTCAAAGAGCTAGAGCTAAGATATTCAGCATGAAACATGTTCTAATTGGTGTCTACAAAGTTTGTTCAAATAAAAGCCCTGGGGCCAAAATTGGCCCCGCCCCGGGGGTCATTGATTTTCCTTCTATGTATATAGCAAAAACTTAAAAAAATCTTCTTTGAAAAAACCCAAATAGCTGGAGTTTAGATATTAAGCATGAAACATCTTCTAGTGAGTGTCTACAAAGTTTGTTCAAATAAAAGCCCTGGAGTCAAAATTGGCCCCGCCCCGGGTGTTATTGATTTTCCTTATATTTGTATAGCAAAAACTTAAAAATCTTCTTTGAAAAAACCCAATGAGCTAGAGCTTAGATGTTTAGCATGAATCATCTTCTTATGTGTGTCTACCAAGTTTGTTCAAATAAAAGCCCTTTGGTTAAAATTGGCCCTGCCAGGGGGAGGCAGGAGGAGGGGGTAGATCGTTGTTTTTCATTATATGTGTGTAGTAAAAACTTAACATCGTGAAACATCTTCTAATGGGTGTCTTCCAAGTTTGTTTAAATAAAAGCCCTGGGGTTTAAACTGGCCCCGCTCCGGGTGCCTTTATACAGGTGAGCGACCTCAGGGCCATCATGGCCCTCTTGTTCACTGTTAAAATCATTTAATAGGCCACTTACAGCAAAAATTGATGATTACTGGTTAGTTATCCAAGAAAGCTAGTTAAATGGACAGAGAGCAGAGATATGTCACAAAAAAACAATTTTTTATTATTTGTGTTAAAACCAAACAAAATTGATTTACCTTTGAATACATCCCAAAAATGTTTGGATTACATATTCTCATTTGCTATAGAGTAATAATGGGTGAACTGATAAATGGTTTTCAGTTCTCTATAGTGAGAAATAATGTAACAAATACTGTTTGTGAAATACAACCCTGACATACGAAAGTACAGATTGTTTTATATTTGCTTATCAAGACATCTATCAAATATTATGAACAGTTTTGTGTCACTGTATACTTATTCTTACTTGGAAGACAATTATTTCAAGTTAGAAAAATAGGAAAATGAATGGCATATCATATGTCTACTTTTGACAAAAACTTCAAAGCTTCAGTTTTCACTGACCACATTAGCTGTAAATCCCCAAACTGACAAACTTCTTGTATTTACAAAATATATTAAACACAATGAGCCAATACACTGAATATTGTTATTTGTCGGTCATGTTACCTTGTTTAGATAACTTTTTGACTTCTAGTGTTCCTATAGTCATTTTTATTTCCATTTCAGATTTCCACTATGCAGTGTAGATTACAGCAATGGTGTGAAGATGTTAAACAGATGGAGAGATTAGTTGAAGTGAAAGCACATGATATTCTTACATAAACCCTGACACATACTTCATCCTTACAGGATGAAATAACAACTCATTTTACTGTTCAATATGTGAATTTAATTCTAGATACTTATATGTATCTTAATTAGTAAGATACAATGTATGTTTCGAGACATACAAAAGTATGCATCCTTTGTTAAGAACCAGTGTAACCTTATGCCTTATTTAGATTTATCTGTTTCGAAGGCTTTCAAATGAATAAAAACAATATATGTTTTGAAATAGGTGTATATATAGAGAAAGACTAAAGTTGTTCGGTATAAAAAGTATATTATGTATACTTCTCAAGGCATTGAACTTCTAAATGTTTCAAATGAAATGAAACTTTTTAGGATAAAGGTCAACATTTTTTAAATGCAGTAATTTATTAGTGAGTTAGATGTCATATATTTATGAAGGTCATTTACATCAATGTGCTATATTTGAAAACTTCTGATAAAAAAACACACTAAAATGTGCTAAATAAAATAAATTTATAATGTTTATATTTTAGTTGTTTTCATTAAATATTCCTATTTCCAAGGCGTCGTCTCAAGTCTTACTTTGGTTTTCTGCATCGTAGATCTCTAGAAAGGTTTGATGTCCGTAAGATTTATAGAGAATTTAATATATGATATGTATGAAGCTACAAATCAGGACATTTGACGGAGCGATAGCTAAAAACGTGGACTGAGTTTCGTAGAAAGTATCGAGTGTATCCAAGTCCTAGGAAAAGACCATTTCAATAAATGATTTTACCTTCAAGGACAGTAGACTATATATAATTAAATTCATTTTCCATGGAAAACTTGAATACAATGACAGACCCTGGTATTTGCAATGTGCTACTGGTCATCTCTATTGATATTCAGAAATTAAGAATCGTGAAATAGGACGGTTTCTCTGAAACGCAAAATTATGTCAAGACCGATTACAAAATTAGGACTCTGTGAAAAGCAACGGTATTTTATCAAGTATGCTCGCATGTATTCGACAGTCCCTTTCATTGAAAAGTAGAGCTAAATATATAAATTATCCCAGGGAACAACGTTATCGCTTAACCAAGCCAATTTCTACCAAAACTCAGCCCTATCAACTTTGGATTTTGCTTAAAGTGGGCTGTAGGAGATGTATCTTTTACTCATATAATGAACCACCACAGGGTCTTGTTCCCACAATGGCCTGTCAATACAGTTGAGTTCATCAGATATCCTCCGTATGTACAAGGAATTTTTATAGGACTTTGGGAAATATACAATTATTGAGTTGTGAGCCGTTAAAAGATATATTATGCTCAAAATTGATATTTGAAGAAAAAAACACAAACAAAAAAACACAAAAAAATGATATTTACTATACAGTCTCTTGAAATGTAAAATAAACATCTTTTGAATACTCACCGAGAAAATATGTTACTTTTTAAAATCTACACACTACAGGTAAATACAGTATGATTACATGGTGTCTCTAAAAACAACAACACAAAAAACGGACAGTTTTTTATCAGAACAGACCGAATTAATTTGAAAAGTAATAGGAAATGCAGCTTCCCAAACATAGTTTATACATTAACTTATTCAAATTAGACTTATTCAGGTTTCAACAGATTTCTGCAATAAAAGTATTGTACCCAATGATGAGCTTAGTATATCTTTAATATGGTGTGATATTCACAGGTTGAGTGTCATACTGACCGAGGCGATAAAAAGTGCTATAGAGCACCTGGGGGTTTTCATTAACAGGAATTGATTGGAAATCGCCATAATTATGACATTCACACTTAAAATCAAACAAATCGAATAAAATAGAAAAAGAAGAATTAGAGGAAAAAGCAGCATGATAAAAGTCCGTTAATGATTTTTTATTTTATTCATTTGAACCAAAAACTGAGACGGTCTGGTCATGAAGGATAGAAACGTGTTCTTATGGTAATAAAGGCGATGGTGATGATTTAGACTTTTAGAAAATAAATTTGTTGACATTTTTAAAAGTAATCTTAACATCCTTAATTTACTTTTAATTTCAGTTTTAGTTTTGATTGAAGGAAAATATGAAGTGACGACAATAACCTTGAAACTACATGTACAATGTCCTGTATCGTTTATCTAAATTGATAAAAAAAGATCTTCATAAAACGAGCAGAAGATATGCGGTTTATTTTATTGAGAAAAAAAAAACATGCGTTGAAAAATGTAATTTTCAAAAAAGCAAAGTTAGCGTTTTTAATTTATTGGTTGTGCAATGTCGGATTTCCCCTTGGTTTTACAAAACAAAAAAAAAACGTACTTTTCGCTTTATTTCCTTGTTTGATATGATAGACATAATTGTTTCGCTTTTATGCACTTTGTTATATTTTTGTGGTATTTTAAATATTCATCTTATCCACCATTAGGTAATGTAGATAATGAAAATATTTTGATGTAAAAAAGAATATATTTTAGTTGAAATATAAAATGTATAACATCAGAGATACATATGAGCGGTGTCACGACAAAAACCAACATAGTGCTTTTGCGACCAGCATGGATCCAGACCAGCCTGCGCATCCGCGCAGTCTGATCAGGACCCATGCTGTTCGCTAACCAACTCTATTACAAGTAGAAGAACTGATAGCGAACAGCATGGATCCTGATCAGACTGCGCGGATGCGCAGGCTGGTATGGATCTATGCTGGTCGCAAACGCTCTATGTTGGTTTTGTCATGACACGGCTCATATGAATTAAGACAAAATGTATACAAGTGTATTACATAACGATGCTTATCCAATGAAAACGACGCATGGTACGGACATCTGATCTTTATTTCCGCTTGACTATATATCATATATACAATGTACAACATTTTTAGTATACCAATAAATACAATATTAGTGAAATAAGATGAGTTTTTTTTTTCATTTTCTTTATTTTAATTGAAAAATTTATTTTTTCACTGCAGTGAGACATATTTTCGTACTTTCACTCGTGTCTTTCCGGACAATTTTCTTCTAAATTCAGCCTATACACAGAATTTTAGGGGAAGTCTTTCAAATTGTAATGTCATAAAAAGTGAAAAATGTACATAATAAACAGAAAATTCAAGTTTTAGTCTATAAATACAGGATATATTTTCATCTTATACCGATGAAAACAAATCCTGTATTAAATCTTTTACTCAAAGATGTGCATATTATATCTTTAAGGGGAATAAAAAATAAGTAAGTTAGTATCTGGAATGCCTACCATCTGCATTATTATAAAAATACACCAGGACCTTATTGACAACACATAATTTTCGACAGAAGTGTTGACGAATATTATTCCCTTCCCATGATTTTAGCTCTAAGGACCTGTAGTGGTGTCCAATATTCTGAACACGTCCTCACAGCTCCGTCGATACACTCTGTATAAGGGTGAGGCCTTGGGGCCTATACACTTTAGAAAATGTTTTATTTTGTTTCTGTGTTTACCCTATATTCTCGCAACTTAAGTGAAATGACTATCGTTCAATTATCAATACTAAAAATTAGTTTACTTTCTGTGTACAACCCAAACTTCTGGCAACCTACGTTAAACAAATATCGATAAATTATATATAAAAAAGAGATACTTTTGAAATAGACTTGATGGGCACTTATTCTGTTTGATAGATTTTTGTACCATATTATAAGTGATGTTGACAACTACTTACGAGGGTGTTCAAATGTGAATGTAGCTAGGTCAATATCTCACCTTTAACCACGTTTTGCACGAACTAAATACATGTATGCCATAGAAGACTGTGTAAATCAGTTCAGTCTAGCTTTGACAATAGCTCGATGATCGCTATCTACTCGTATTTACTAATGATAAAATGGTTGGGAAAAGGTCTCCTTGCACTGACCAAATACGGTCCCGTATCAACAACCGCTGTATTCTTGGTAAACAGGCGAAAGACGCATTTAACGAAATATGTCGTGTTTATGGGGAAATGAACTTTATGTCACACGGTGGTGTAAGAAATTTAAAATTGGTGTGGATTCAGTAAAAGATGCACCTCATACACGCCGTCCGAAAACTGAAACTTCGCCAAAAATGGTTCAAAAGGGATTTGATTGCTACTGATGCAAGCTATATAGCTAAATGCGTTGGTATCTCTGTAGGAGCCGCTCATACAATTCTCAGACGTGATTTAAAAATGAGAAGGATAAGTGCCAGATGGATACCCCATCTCCTTACAAAAGAGCAAAAACTTGCTCGGGTAAGAATCTCCAAACAATTGTTGAAACAGTTCCCTCAATACAACAATCGATCTTTCGCAAATATCATCACTGGCGATGAGACGTGGGTTTATTTTTATGAGCCTAAGCAAAAGATTCATAACAAAAAATGGGCAACCAAAGAATGTCAAAGACCTTGCATAGCAAAACGCACCATGAGCGTCAAAAATGTCATGTATGTAATTTTGTTTACCAATCAAGGCCCTGCTTTTCAAATTGCCGTACCAAAGGGTAAATCTGTAAATGCCAAGTTTTACAAAGGCAAGATCCTTTATAAATTAAAGAAATATTTCAAAACCCGTTGACCAGCAACTGGTCTCCGTTTTGTCAGATTGTAGCATGACAATACTTCTCTCACACAAAGCGGCCATTGTACGAGAATAACTGAAACAAGAAAAGGTAGTCTAGCTTCCTCATCCTCCTTATTCGCCAGATCTTGCCCCTTGTGACTTTTTCCTATTTCCGAGGCTCAAAAAACACCCTTGCTGGAAGAAAATATCAAACGCGAAAATATCTCGGATCGACTATTTTCCATTGTCTGAACAGTTTATCTCGAAAATATTATGAAAACGTATTTAAAGACTAAAACTTTGAATGTCGCATGATAGTGTGCATTTTGAAGAATTGAGATAATTATTTTGGTACTGTTTGTTAAGCACTTCTGAAAATTGACCCATTTGCATTATATTTGAACGTATGTTAAGAATTCAAAATGTTCAACTTTGAACATTAATAATGTTTGCTCAATAAAATTACAGTAGTCATTTAATATGATCAATAACACATTTGAAAAAAGAAAAAAACAACAACAAAAAAACCCTTAGAATGTGGTCGGATAGGTATGCATATTTTAAAATAAAAAATTTCAGAATAGAAACTTTAACGGTTGTAAAGTACTAAATAATTATTAAACAAAATATTTGAAAATAAAACAACAACAACTAAAATCTTAGTCATTCTGTTTATGGCGACGGACATTGTAAAATGTTTATGCCTTTTGAAATAAAATCTTGAACGTCAACGCGTCGCTGAATAACACCAAACTAGTGCCGATACCTCTCCAATATATACACTACCGTCTGAATAAGCCTGACGACAATGCCGACTTGCGCCATAGAAAACCTGGCCATTTAAAATGGTCATTTAGTGCCTGTACGATTTATATACGTGATTTCTGTATGTTTGTAATAGCACGAGTTCCGTGTGCATTTTACTTGATTCTAAAATTGCTACTTTAGCGCACGTTTTTAAAGGAATATTAAAACAAGAGACACTGCATTTTAAGCATATAATTATCATAAACCGATTTTATGTTGCAAATATAGACGAATTTTAATGTTGAATTAAAGACAAAGTACGCATTTTACGACTGGCACACTTAAGTTCTTCCAAGTATATATACTTGATAATCTCTGTCATATGTTTAGGCAACCCGGCAAGCCTCGTTAACGACCAATGGGCGGATCCCCTCTGGACGGGCATTCTTATCCGAGCCGCAACATATGACGGATATTATCAATATATACTCTGGAGTAGACTGGCTTGCTGAAACATCTTTTAACAGAAGGTTTCTTCTCGGACAAAATTTATTACTTGCCCTCGCTTTATATTTCATAGTCTTTATCGGCTACGCACACCTGTACATCCTTTAATATTAACCCGTGCCGATCGGAAAGTTTTTAAATTTGTTGCATCGTTTATAGAACATTGGTGAGTGATTGGAGAAAATTTCATTTAATTCTAATGCGAACTAATCGTATTAAAACAGGTGTCTACGTACATTCCGGACGACACTCCTATACATTAATACAGCCGGTGTTTTGTAACAATAGAATATTGAAAAGTCCAACTTAAACATACGTTTCCTTTGAACTAGACAGCGTTACGAACCGAACACCTAATAACTCTAATGTAAAAGAACTTTCACCAATGCCGTAAGCATACGTGTAGAATTTAACGTTATAACTAAATTTGTTGATATGTTGTCATAAAAAACAACAACAAATAATTTGTTGTGAATAAATTGTGAAAACAAATTAATTTAGTAATTATTTAATATAATTTAATAATGACGTATTTTTTTTTTGTCGACACGTCTGTAACCAAAGTGCAAACATACTTTGAATGGTGGATGTTGTAAAGGTTCCTTGTAATTAATCAAAATTTTGAAAAAGAATGCTGTTAAAACAAAGTAGTAGAAACAAGGTTTTTCCCACGAACAGGATCTTGTTCTCGTTATATATATCTACGTTTACAACGTTACGTTCATACTACGTTAACGCTCTATTGTCACACCACGTGGAGTCAAGCAAATAGAAAAAAAGGTAAGAAAATTTAAATGTAAACATTTTATGTTTGATTTAACATCTCTGATACTGCACTTTATACGATGTTTATCCGTAGTACTACTAAATTATTGTTTACTGATGTTAAGGTTACAAGGCTAAATCTTATAAAATATTTAAAAAAAAAACAAAAAACTTATATTGTTTCCATTTTCTTATTGTCGATTCTTGACAGAGTGGTAACATAGAATATTTCTATTCGTTAACACACATGAATATTGTACGTTAACAGGAACAAAATATTATTATTTTAAGAAGGGCTTTATCTGTTTAGCAATGTTTTGTGCATAAATCACACTTTTAAGGCAATTTACTACCATATTTCTTTCATACAAGCCTATGCATTTTGGATGTATTCTTTATTAAAATTCAAATATTTTTTTTCCAGAAAAGATATAGAGTATATTCAAGTTTTTGTCTATAAATATAGGATTTAATTTCATCGACTGGTTTGGAAATAAATATCTCATTTGTGGCAGTATCCACAAGTGAAATTTGGAAAATTTGCATATCATAAGATGAAAATAAATTGTGAATTTATAGAAAAAAGACACTTTTTCTTGAACTTGAATTTTCTGTTTATTATATACTTTTTCTCTTTTGCCTTTACAATTCTTAAAACTTCTCTTTAAATTTAGTGTATTGGCCGAATTAAAAAGAAATTAGTCCGGCAACACACCAGTGAAGATATTTCACTGCAGTGAAAATTAATACGGAAAATGAAAATGAATTTTATTTTATCAAAATTTCTTAATAGTTCATTTATAAGTATAATTTATAATAAATAGCTTTATACAATTTAGATTATTCAACTGAAATAATAAATCAGCAAAGTTATCACATGCGTTTCAAAAACTATTCATTTTTTATTTGCGTGGGAAGTCGTTATTTATATTTATTCCGAAAAAGAAAGAAAAGGTTTTTTCTATGTTATTCATATTAAAATCATTTTCTAATAATTATTTTTATAACTATATCATATCACTTTCTGCGATATATGGAGAACAGTGAATTGATAATGGCGTATTCAATTTATGAGCCTTTTTTGTATTAGACTTACAAATTGTTTGTGCTGTAAATAAAGTTGCGACCTTAATAATATGATAGCATATTTAGTTCGAAAGACAATCTCCAAAAACAAAAATACAAAACTGATAACTTAAAGAATATCTATTCTAACCTTGTAATGTAATTCAAATCTTCAATAAGACGCGTAAAAAGAAGAACATACCCTTATTTTAAGTATTGCTTGACCAAAAGCAGTTTCTTATAATCATAATTTTATATTTGTTATACGCGAATCAGAGTTGAAACATCTTTTTATTTTCCTGCATGTGTCACATATGATTATTCTTACCTTTTTTTTTAAATTTCAGCAGACGAAAATGCAGTTCTTTAAGTATTTCCTTATCACAATTGTTATCTTGGCCTTACTGGACCCCACAGATGGTGGCTGGTTCAAGAAGAAACTTAGAAAACTGAGAAAATCTGTTAAGAAAGTTGTTAAAGGCATTAAGAAGGTCGGATGTAAGGTATGATAAAAATAAATTATGATCTACTCTTTCGGGATTATTGATTCCAATAATAAAAAAATGAAATTGAATACGACGGTGCTACTGAGTGTTAGAGACTCCACTTATATATCAAACTGAGTCGATGAGTTTCATTCATCATTTTTCAAAGTTCAATGAGATTAAGTTTAATTTACATCAACAGCGTGAAAATAGAAAAGTAAATGTATAGTTTTACATTTCATATCGGTATTTTTGTCTACTACAATCACTTACGCTATTTCCTTTTCCATTCATGGCAATTAGATTTTTTAGATTTTTTTTACTCATGTTCTTTATACATTTACACAGCATTCACCAATGATATGTTTTAAACACAAAGTTTAAGTTATTCTGTACAGATTTACATGGAATGGTTTCAATTTGTGATTATAACCAGAAAACTGGTAGTTATTTCAATCCATAAACTAGTGGACATTGCCAGGTCTAATTCTACTGTAATGTGTTAACGAGTACCTTTGACATAATCTTTATTATGTCCCAGGTATGGCTAACGCATTAAGACCATTGTATATAAAGATATTTGTTTTTCATATAGTACAAACTACTTGAGTGTTCAGATAAATGTGTATTTGCACTTTGCACTTATGTAAAAAAATCCTATTTTATATATCTAAAATGTATAAGTAGTTAATGAGGTCAACCGACTGCTTTTTATATGACGTGTTTTATATTCCAGGTGTTATTTGGCATAGGCTGTCCAGCTGCGGTTGGGACACTTGGTGCAGCGTTAGCAGCCGGATCGTCTGGTACGGGCTCAGCTATAGTCGCAGTTGGGGTAGCTGCAGGTACAAATGCTTGCCATGTGAGAAAAAATAAATGCAAAAGAAGTGTAAGTATTCATTTATTAATTCAGTTAGTTCTCCAGTCATTCATTTATTAATTAACGTATTCATACACTTTACAAATCTATTTTACGTACCTGTTTACGTATCTATTTTGTTTTGTTTATTCATTTATACGTGTATTTAACCATCTGAAAAAAAAAATCGGCCACGCTAACGAAAACAAATAAATAAAAACCGCAAGATTAACCACAAATTGAACACAAATAATAAATGGTATATACTTACAGTGCATTAAAGCTAAATGTTAGATCATCAATCATGTACTTGTGGTGAAAATATAGCCGCAAAATATGCACCGATTTAAAACAATCTACGTAAGTAAACCAGTGGTTTACCGCCCAATTTAACATTCATTTACAAAAAATGTATCGCTTACTTGCGTGTGAATTGTGTCAAGTACTTTTATTTATTGACTATTATACCCCTCCCCCGCCACACCACCACACACACTAACAAACAAAAAGAACAGGTGTGGAGCAAGATATATTTTTTAAGTTTTTTGAAATTTTGAAAATTCTTAAAACTACATAATATTATTATTGTTGCTGTTATAAATATGTGTTCACTACATATATTTTTGACAGGTCGATATGACTGAAATCATGCTCCCGTTTTCTGACGAGATTTCTGACTACGACATGAACGAAGACAAATTGGTAACATACGAAGAGTTTGTTTTTGCTGTTTTACGATCTGTTGATCTAGCAGATCCAAAGGAACTTCGTGTGCCTTTTGTCTTTGCAGATTTCGACGGTAATATTAATATTTTGAATTTTCAAACTTAATAACAAGGTTTTAATAACTGAAAACTGAAAATTTAAAAAATTTTATTTTTCCCAAAAAATAAAGTTATAAAATTCCCGTACAGTTTTTAAGTTTTAAAAATTTTAAAAAACCCATATATACTACAGTTAAAAAAAGGGCTAGTAAGAAAACTATTTTTTAATAGTGTATTTTAAGGGGCCCAATGTTTTTTTTTTATATAAAATGTAATAAAATTTTTTTTAATGTATCTTTTTAAAATAGAACTTTTACCAAAATCCCCCAACAAAAAGCTCTCTGCAAAGGGATTTTTTCCAGTTTCTAAAAAATTTTTTTAGATTGATATTTTTTATTTTAAATTATTAAGATTTTACATTAAATTTTGATTTTATTTTTTTTTTTATAATTTTTTAAAAGGAAAGGGAGTTTTAAAGATTCGATAAATTTTCAAGGGGAGCTCCTTTTCTTTTTTGCACGTATGTTATTATTTGCACACGTCATTTCTTATTTTGATTTGCATTTAGTACTTAGAAAAATTCATTGATATAATATATGAGGTCAACATTGTCATAACTTTAATATCATTAGAATATTTACTTTATTTATATTTCATTTAATTATTTTGAATACCTTGTTTTTCAGATGCTGCATAAATTGGCTGGTGATTGCAAATTATTACAGACAACACTTTTCTGAACCAAAGATTTTGTTTTATTTTAGTTATGTTTTTTTAAAATTTATATTGTTATGTTAACAATAAAACACAAAAAAAACTTAATTTTGTACCTCATTTGTTTTAAGATGAATTTTCCCGGAATGTTCTGATAATTTTAAGATTGAAAATATAGATAAAAAATTTAAATGTTATGCTACAGGTTTAAACTCAACCCCCAGTGCAAATTTAAATTTTTAAAATCGTTTTTTTGGTTTTTAATAAACCAAAATTTTTTTTTAAAATTTTTGGAAAGCATGAATAATTTTTGACCCCAAAACAAAAAATTCACACTATTATATTTTTAAAGTTTAATGCACCATTCTAATAATAAAACATCACTAAAAGTTATTACTGTCCATGCTGTAAATTTGAACATTTGCATTAATCACCAGACCATAAGTCTCATCAAATAACACAAGGTCCATTTATTTGAAATCGTAAATATTAGATGAACAGCGAAATGTCAAAATTGTGATAAATATATTACGGTTGTTAAATGGATTTGTTTAATAACTACTTTTCTTGAAATTACTATTATGATAACGAAAAGTTTAATATAGATAACATATAATTATGATAGTAATCTTCATAACTGACTTTACATTATTGTGTCAAATGACATCGATAAAAACAGTTACACTCGTGTTTGAGAATATATCACCTCTTTAATCACCATCTAACACGAAGAAGTAGATTCCACAAATTTAAGATTCTGATCAAAGATAACTATCATCAACGAAATTTGTAAATTTTGACAGGATTATAAATGTCATATAAGTTTTAATATCTCGAATAATTGTATTTGAATGTATTGTTTTAACCAGGCGAGGAAAACTATGTGTTTAACAATGTGCTTAGAGATAGGGTTACTATACTTTTACTCTTTCATTTAGCCCAAGAAAACGATATGTTTACCATTGTGCTCTAAGCTTCAGTAAATGTTTTATACTATATATGTCAACCGGCCTACCAGACATTGAAAACAATATGTTTACTAATATGCCTAGAACAAGCTCGAACAAAAATAAAAGCACTTTCAACATAACTAAGTTGTCTTTAGAGTGTCATTACATATGATGAACAATTAGCATTTTAAATTTGTCTGTTCAAGGGGATGGTGTTGTGTTTGATTCTGGTACCTCTGTGGTAGTCTTCTTTCTTCTTTGACAAACGGCGAGTATTACTGAAATATATCATTTAAATAAATCAACAATTTTATAATCGCATTGAAATTAATATATATTTTTAAAAACTGCCATTTATCCCCTTTTACAAAATTTGAATTGTAGAAAGGGTTTGTATTTTTTTATTTGTCACAGTGATTCAAAAAATTATCCCTGGAATTTAACATATGAAAATTTAAGTAAAAAAAACCCAAAAAAGGTATCTATATGCTTTAAAAAACCCTGACATTAGGGTATTCTTTCCGGGCGAAAAATGTCCCCCAGTTTTAAAGTATGTTTGGTTTGTTGTGATTGTTTTGTTTTAAGAATGCTTCTTTTTGTCTCGTTCTTGTAAAAAAATCACGTGTACATTTTTTTTAATTAAGACATATATTTCAATTGTGATTTAATCCGGTTAGGAATGAAAAAGTTAAAATACTCAACACCGTATAAATTTACATTTTACTACTTATTCAGCACTTCTGTACTTTCTGATAATAAATTTAAATGTATGCAATTTTGCTTGCGAAGTGTACATATAGAATTATAAAAAATATTTCAAAAGAGTAAAAGGACTTTACAAGTTTTCATATGTTTTTTACGGTCAAACATCTGATATACACACTTATAAATGTATCATGACGGACATTCTACTAAAACAATTAATGAAAAGTACATTCTTATGTTTTAGATACCATTAGAAATATCTAAATAATGAGTTAGAATAATGGACAATGTGAGTTTTTTGCCCTTAATGTAAAATTCTCTAGACGAAGGAAATTTTCATTTCTATTAAGATTAAAGCTTCTTCCTCAGAAAACCCACTTTATTAATGCTCATGTGAATAATAAAGTGATAGATTTGTATCAATTAAATAACAAATGTCTATTTTAACAAATTTCAAGATCAAAACAAGAAGATAGCATCGGTTGAGCTGTGTAGGTATGGTTATGGATCAACTTACCATTGCAATACAACACCAGTAAAAGCCACACCGACATCAACAGTCGAGTCCATCTCGTGGACAGCATCATTTCATCTATAATATCATGTAATATCTATCTGTACAAAAACTTATGCTGCAGAAATGTTTGTTCCAAAGAGCGAAGCGTTATGTCCTCCTTTATTTTCGCAAGAATGTTAGCATTATTGACTAATGACATTTGTCATAGTTATACATATTTTATTCCGTAGTGATAATGATAAAAATGAAAACAAAACTTCCATACAATATTTACCTAAAATAAAGATATACTTCCAATTTTTAACGTATATTTTATAAGTAGACACTACTTTTATAACTGCCGCACGTTGAACGTTTTTACTTCCATTACATCTACATGTTTGGTTGACTGTTTAGATATATGAACATAGAGATCAAAACTAGTTCTTTTTACACTAAATGACTAATGAAATATAAATCATGTTCTCTCATTTGCATCAATTTCAAATAAAAGTAAAATTATACAAATTCAATTTATTCAGCTAGTTCTTTATCAGTTGGAGCTTCTATCAAAATCAGATATGTTTAATGTATCCTTATTTTTCATCTTACATATTCATAAAGAGAAATACTTATCAAAGCATCATTCCTACTCCATTATTCATGATAAAACTTACATCAGATAACAAATAAAATTAAATTGAAACACGTTTTTTTTTCAAAAGAAACAAAATAACTGTCTCATATGTTATCTAAAGTATAAAAGATTTATATCAACATAGAAAAGGACCATTTGCAAATGAATCGTTGTTATGATATAACTAACCGAGACATTATTCTATTTCACATTTTTCCACTTAAAGATACAAAATAAAAATATGCTGGAGAAATTTGAATATTGATGACATATTTGACAAGTAAAATATCGACCACAGATTTTATGAAACATATTTTTACATTATTACAGATGTTATTATTTGATAGCTAAATTTAAATTCTATTCTAAACCGAATAGAGAACATCTTTCAAATCAGAAACTTTATGTTATACTTTTTGTATAAATTCAATCAAAACTTAGATCTTGCCAGGTCATTTTTCTCGCATGACATTGAAAGAAATGATATCGCAAAGTTATTTCAGTTTTCTTGGTTTTCCTCCCCCATTAAAACGACAACGTCTGCTTGTTTTTATTGTTTTGTTTTTGCTTTTTTATCATAATGTTTTTTTCTTAGGTATTTAACTGTTATACAGAAGAGCATATTGCATGATAAAGATCGTTGTATAAATGAATTATGCAGCATGTTTATTGACTTAGGTAGTAGTATTCGATATTTTAAAAAGATTATTCTTTTTGCCATCATTAAAGATATCATTAAAAATAGTTTAATCGTGTATTGTATCAGTCCCAGGTCTAGCCTATCACCATTACATCTCGACTGACTGTTAGCAGATATGGAAACAAAATCTTGCACTTAAACACTATACACTAGATGATAATTACTACATAAAAATGGTAATATAGAGGTAAATCATATCAATGCAACATCATTTTCTTTTTCTTTTCTTTTTTTTGCAAATCAGGCTGGCGTTTTCGGTGCCAGATGAGTTGTGTGCTGTACAATGGCACGCTTAGGAAGACGTAATTTTACCGTTATGAATGAAGTTGTAATTTCATACGCTATTATAGAAAAAAGTTACGGGTGTAATGATATAATTTTCCATGGAAAATTGTTTAAAGGTTAAGAGTTTAAAATATAATGGTATATGGTAGAATAGGCAAGAAAAAAATCCCTTACATATGTTTGCGGTTCGGATTGGAATATTCGGCAAGCCTCGTTACCGCCCAATGGGTGGGTCCCCTCCGGACGAATATTCCGATCTGAACCGCAACATATGACAGATATTATTAATCTCATTTTGCAGCTTTATAAATTTAATAAAGTACCAAAGTGAGATTTCGGAGAGTTGAGTATGATATGAATTACATACTCATTATTTTCTACTACGGGTTTTGATACGTATAAGACTTCACGTTTGAAAACTTCTTACATAGTACAAATGCATGGGACAAACAGAACGGGTGATGATCTACCAGACAACATGCCGACTCGTTGGTGATATGAAAAACATTTTAAGATACTGATCATAAAAATACATCATTCAAACATTAAGCTAAGAATGCTGAAGTTTTACACTGCACTCTGATATACCTAAGGTTATACAACACCCGATCGTGGTATTAAAATTGAAAATGGCTATAAAAAACTTAAAATTTTGTCAGAAATCTTTTCAGACATGACACTTGAATAAACGTAAGAAAACATAACTCATGTGATATTTGATATGCCTTGCTAATTATTCCAGTAAAAATATCTAAAATACATTTTAGAGTAGTTTTAAATCTAGATACCAATCTTAAACGGTATAAATTTTGAATGATGTACATAATATTAGTGCACATTGTAAAACTATCTATTAAGGTTATTTTGTAAATTAGAATTCATTTTGAATCTAGATATAAATGTTTTCTGTTGCTTTTTGTGAAGACATTCTGTATACGTCTACAAATGAAACATGTCATGAACATAATACCTGTAATATTAAGATTTTCGTTAAGTCATATAAAAATTATCATCGCCACTAAAATAGGAAGATACTTAGATATAAAGAAAATCCAAGTAAGAAACCAAAAATATACCAACATTCTTTGATTGAATCTGCAGACGTGATTTTGTGCATATTGCAACAAATCTAATGTCATTTAAGGTAATTAATGCATTATTATATAATTGTATTGGAGTTTATTTAAAAAAGCACAAAAACAAAAAAAGGGTAACTTTAAAGCTTTAAAATTACATTGTAGATTGTAAATTACTTTCGTTTTTGAATTGTAGAAAAAACTTAGAAGGCAATGTTTTTATACAATATCAGCTTTTGGTTGATTTTGTTAATAACAAAAACTTTTATTCGGTACAATTTAACAAATCTGTGTGTAACATTTTACTAATGTAAACATTAATTATCATGTAGTATAAGTGGAACATAGATTAAGTTAGATTAAAAAAAACTACGTTGAAAAGTAAAGTAAGAAACACGACTTCCAAATTACAACCCTTTAGGAATGAAACAATTGGCATAAAGGGGTGCTCACAATCCCAGTCACGGAAACATTATTATAAAAACCGAAATAAATCAACTATAGATAAGGAAAGCGTAGCAATATATAAGTGATAATATAAAAAAAATCTTAAAAATGATATGATGATCATTATATTCCCGCATTGATCATCGTTTGCTTAAGACATGCTCAAGTACAATAGGGTGATACATTACATAAAGCAATGTCTTGATTTTAGACAAGATTTTAGAGCTTAAAATGTCATTTTTTGTACGACGTTAAGATCATAATGACATAAGTTAGATTTAAAGATAACGAAACTTGATGCATTAGTACGCAAAATAGATGGTGTGTTAATTGAATATACTGCACGCATTTAGAACTTTATAAAGCTACTAACTTGGATTATGTTTGCGTTACATTTGTCGTATGTGAATAATTTACGATCTTAAATAAAATTAAATTCTAATGAAACTATTGATATTTACTTGAATTATTCCTTTTTTGTGTGTTACACGTTTTAAATTATATCAAATAACGAGTAACACTTAAATAATTACAGTTTAGTACCCTTTCAAGATAAGATTTATATCACTAGGGACAAACTATCACATGGATGTGTATAATTTGTAAAGGCTTTAATTGCTATCATTAAATGATGCAGTGCATATGAAGTATACTGTAATTATTTGTTTCGAGTAAACTGGATTACTTGCTCTTAGAATAAGTGCACGTGGTTTGTTTCAATTCTTATTTTTATCACGGATTAAACAATTCAAAGTGGTTACTTATTATAACAATACATGTATATGTTGTTTGTTGTACGATTCAGTAAAGGTGATATTTCACAGTATCACATTATCATCAAATGTTGATTTAGACAAAAGTTTCTAAAGCATTGAAATCATTACGTGATGTAGTATGTAATATACATGTACTCCAGCCATCTTAGATTGATATCATATTTCATATTAATATCTCATATTATCAAAATATATAACGTTTTTGTAAATTACGCAATGGTAGCTTTGTATCCGCGGTACTAAAATTAAGATCTTCTTTTTGTTAGATTATTTGGTGACAGTTTAAAGACAAGATGATGTGTTCAAAGATAATTGTTCAGATCTATTTGACTCTAATGATGATATTACTGATTTTCATCATTTATTCCGAAGGTAAGCATTTTTTTTCACTTAATTTATGAAATTGAGTAAATTGTCTTAGAATAATTTGAATAGCCAGTAAGCAAAATGATTCAATTTATCACTGTATTATAAAGCATTTTATGATATATTTGACAACATATCAAAAATAAATATTTTGTTTAAACACGTAAAGGTTATTTCTGTCTGTTCTATATTGGATTAGTTTCGGATACGATTCAACCACTCACATATTTGCAAAACCATTGTCTATAAATATGTTTGCATAATGTAATTTTAGTCTAGAAAAAATTCTCCCATTTGTTGGTTACACATAGTAATTAATTACGATGTTATCAAAGTTTATGTTATTAATGTTTCTTTCGTTTAATGCCACCATAGGATAAAAACATGACAATGTAAAAATAGTTTCTAGTTCTTAATTATTGTTAATCAGCACAAAAGTTACACTTTAACATTTTTGCGTTTAAATCACAGACGTAATGTTTTCACGTTTTATCAATGGTTACAAAAATTTAGATGTATATAAGTTTTAATCGCTATACACTCATGTTTGTTATTAATTAATTTAAATATTTTGCCGTGTGTCTATATAATTGTTTTTGGATACCTTTTATAGCTGCTTCAAGAGGGGTTTGTAAAAGGCCGACACCCACTTCAGCACCACCAGCACCACCAGATCCTGATCCAACAACACAAGCAACACCTTAGACCTGATAGATCCGAATAACAATAATATTCTAGTGTACAATTTTTATATGGTAGAGAAGGTATTATTATCTTCTGAGACTTTTTACATAGATTTTTTTCATTTACATAAGATTGACAATTTTACGATGCAACCTTCATCCTTCATCATACTTTGATGAAGAAAACGTTTTAAGGGCGCTTATACATTATCTATTATGGAAAATGCAGTTTATCAGAAGACATACTACGGAATTATTCCAACGCTTAGCAAACTTAACTACCCTGGTTGCCCTCCCTATGTTCCCGGACATTGCAAAGACAATGTTGATCTTAAAATATATTCGTAAAATATTCTGAGGATGTTTTAACACCATGGTTGGACGTGTTTTATTGCATACTTGATTTTAGTTTATTATTTTCATAATTTCTAGATACGTTTTACTGAGAATATGAACATTCTCTAACATATTTTATCAAAATCTTCTCTAGAATATCAGATTATTTCAGAACATGCAAATATGTTTAAACGAATAACAAAAACTAATACAAGGAAAAACTCACAAAGAGTAGCAAATGTTCTAATAAAAGTATAACATCTCTTACGGCTTCTTGCATCGACTTTGAATTAAAAGCTATGTGTCTGTATCATAATTTGAATAATGTGGACATTTCTGTTGAAATTTGTGGGGCATGACATAAGCATAGGGCTTATTTTTCTTTCATCATTTGTGAAACACACATGGTCTGGTGTATGTATTGAATAAAAGACAGCTTTGTAAATGGAAAAAAGGGGAAAACATTTGCAAAAGGTTAAGCTTCGCTTCTATATATAAGTTTCAACACAAAAGGTCGTAAAACATTTGGAAAACAAAAAAATGATGAGTCTTAAATGTAACAAATACCGGTATTATAAAATAAAGACGGAAAAAAAAACATGTAAAAATAGAATAAAGAATTTTATTTTTGTTTTGATTATTATTAACGCCACTTCACTATGATTAACATTTAAGTCCTGCAATTTTCCACATTGGTCTCATTTAATTCGAAAATTGAAATAAACTAAACTACGAAATCCTACAGTATGAAATAAAATTTTCAACAGTTTCACTGTGATAAGTTATAATGCTTTTTAGCACAAAGCATGAAAAAGTAACAGGAAATAAAACATGTAACTCATTTGCTATCAATGTAATTGTTTTTGCACAGTTGCTGGATTCTTAAATTTTATTTGCTAGTCTCTAATCATTGTATAAAATACTTCTAAGTGACAAGGATATTCATCTTGAATTGACTAAATTTGTGCAGATTACGGTTTAAATTTTAGGGGTATTTTAGTGTTTATTTTGCATAACTAGCAATTAACGCAGCATGTTGTTTACAATTAACAGTTAACTGACTGTCGGAATTTGCATTGATCATCACTGGAGCATCATATAGACAGTTTGCTATTTCCAAATGATGAAAATAATGTGACATATGTTTTTCACTTGGTTTGTACAGAATACTCGACCCATTATCAATTATTTCGTGTAGCATTCATTACTCTTTTGTTTTATTAGTTCACACTTTGTATATAAACAGAAGCTGCAGCTTATGATTTTCATCATTTTCAACAACTTTTGCTTTTGATATTATGTATTTTATTATAGTTTTACAGTAACGTAAGACAGTTCAATACTATCATAAAATCTAATTTTATAATATTTTATAAGAAGACAATAAATTTTGATACAATTTTAATATATGTCGCTTTTGTATTTTAGCTATAAACGCCCACAGATGAAATATCTACTCCAATCATATCATGATCCAAACCTCATGTAAATCATACATCCGAGTCTATTCATTCTGTTTATGTAACGGCTATGGTTATCATGAAAACGTTTTAAGATTAAATTGTAGATAAGTTTGATATTTAATATTGCATTAAATAACTAGCCCGCCTTTCGATTATTTTTTTAATCCAAGATTTTAATATTTCTTACAAAATATTACTTTATTTGTGAAGGTACACCGAACACTTTTACCTGAAAAATATCAATACAGAAATAACAGCTATATTTTACGTGCTAACTTTGATTTTTTTTCGCTAATATTTCATAGATTTCAGACATGTAACAAGATATCAAAATTTGGGAAACCAGTGTACCAAATTTTCGAGAATTGTTTATTTATCAACGAGACGAAGTTCGTTGGACATTCACCCAATTCTATATATGTATATACATACACCATTCAGATGTTTAAATCAATTTGAAAACATAAACTCTAATTTATATATAATTTATTTTGTTTGTAAGTTATGAACATTGATAAAATAAAAATCGCTGAACTTGTCATTTGAGGCAAGATAGCGTTGCATAGGTGTCGGGTTAAAAATGGCTTTTAGTAGTTCCTCAAAATTGTAATATTATGTTTGACAATTATAATACTTGAAACAGCCCTTGTGGTAACAAACAAACAAACAAAACAATAAACATACAAATAATGGATAAGTCTTTTAATATTAGTAAATAAGTACAGAGGGTTCTCTAGAACTTGTTTCGTTCCCACTCTACTTATTAAAACGAGGACTGCAAGTTTGATTTTTATATTTAAAACGGGGTCATAAACATCATTAAAGAGAGAACTTCTTAAATATCCGATAATTTTATCAATGTAATACTACGATTCAATAGATATACACTATTATTCACGTTATTGTTACTTCCCTTTAGATAATCTTAACCATGGAAACAATTGAATCATTTAACTAAGATTTGTATAACGTGTTTCATTTAATAATAACCTCATAATTTAATTTTACAATAAATGGATCATTCTTTGTCATAATAAATACAACGGAAATAGACAACATTTGAGAGATCATGTCAACATGACAACGTCCTCGGGGAGGTGGCTGACTGGCTTGAAGGTGAAAGGAAAAAGGAACGAAGGAGTAACCCCAAACTTTGTCACATCAACTTTGTGAAACCGGTTGAAACTGCCAAGACACAATCGCCACACAAACCATCAATTCTAGATGGCACAACAGGTTAGAACATGGAGGTGGATCTTAGCATGAAGATTTTTTCCCAAGTATTGTCCAGACCAACTTAAGACCAGATATTGTACTGTGGTCTAAAAAAGGAAAGAAACTCATCATAATTGAGTTAACAGTACCTTGGGAGACAAGATGTGAAGAGGCCTACGAGAGGAAGAAAGCAAAGTATTCAGAGCTACTCAACCAATGTAGACAGCCAGGCTGGCATACATGGCTGTCCTATTGAAGTAGGAGTGCAAGTGTTCTGTTGGCAATCTGTGTGCCGACTAATAACATCGATCGGAACTACTAGAAGGAATAGACGTAAGACAATCCAGAGACTGAGCCAAGCTGCGTCTTGCTGGCTGTGGCTGAAACGAAAGTAGAAGAGCTGGAAGCAATCGCCATCGACAACGTAAGACGGTGGGCCCATTCACCAGCAGATATATATGGATACGGACCGAAATCTCAATGACGGCAAGCACCATGCTGATAATGGAGGAGATCAGCAATCAAGAAGCACCACAGGCAGGAGATCTACAGAAGATTAACTTTTTCATAAGCCTAACATACAATTCTAAACGGACATGAAATAACTTTTTGTATTAATCCAATTTTTCACATTGTAATATTTAATTTACCGATTAAATAATTTTCTGTGCCGAACTATCAAAGTAGTCTAAAAACCAATATAAGTAACAGTTGTACATTTTATAATGAAACTAAATTAAAGCTTTTAATACTTCCCAACTTTCGGCAACATTATTCATGTTATGTTCACCATGATTATACAAAAAGAATATTGTAAAGTGTTATAATTTCAAAAAATTATTTCCATTTGCATTCAGGTAGATATATGAGCTGATGTGTTATATAATTTTGATAAAGATCTTCATGAGAGTTTTTTCTCTTAAAGCAATATTTGTGCAAAATATTTGTGAAATATTGGGGTATTAAACCTTGTTTGGATTTTAGTGTCAGGTGTATAAAATTTGATTTAGAATAGAGTATATCAATTGAATAAATTGTAATATATACATGTGATATTTTTATAATTAGAATCAAAATTTATACGACCGTCATAGTCATATTTGTACGATTGCAATTTTACATTGAAATTCAATAATAAGTAACATTATTAATTGCATGGAATAAAATCTACAGAAACAAATGGAACAAAGCAAAAGCATTCATGTTAAACTGTATAAAGACTTTTATTTGAGGTCTTTGTATTGCAAACATATTGTTTATATCATGATAAAAATAGCTACAGAATACATAAACTAAAAGAAATTTGTCTGTATATTTCATTACAAATGAGTGAAACATGCACCAAATAAACCATATACCAACTAGTATTTTAGAAGTGCAATGTTTGTTCCTGAATGTTGTTGTTGCTTGTACACTGATGGCACAAATTTGCTTCCAAAGATCTCCGTTATCCACGTTTTGGTCAAAAAGTGGCCTTGAAATGCACCAAACTTGGATAAAGACGTGAACAATGGGGATATAGTCCATTAAAACGCATTAGACCTGAAGGCAACATAAATACATCCCTGATTGGGAGGATTCTCTTTATTGCACAAACGGCTATATAAACCGTTATAAAAATAGCACAATGTAACAAAATTGGGAAACTGTGACAAAATAACTGAAAAAACTTACCATAAGTGACACTTTGATAAATCTTATATCTAGATATTGCATCAAGACTAAATTCTCTAAGAAGAGGGAATTCATATGTATGTGATTTAAACTATAATTACAAATTGCTTACAATTACATGATATGTTTTATACATTTGCGAACAATTAAAAAAAAAACATTTTGCCAAAGATAATAGCAAGTGTTTACTTGATTCTGATGGTCATATTTCTGTGTTCCATTATAATGCTTAAAGGGACTCGTGTTTTTTTTGTATGACGTGAGTGGAATGATATTTTCGTGATTGTTATGCCATTTGATGTATGGCTAGCTATACCTACAACTTATGTTATCACAGCACAGAAGGCGCTGAATTTGTTTGGGTACCAGAATGTCAGAAAGGTGAAGGTTGTGAGATTATAAACCAATTTGTTTTTGTATAGTGCCACCAATGCTGCTTCCAGTCTTATAATAAATAGGCTATGAGCCTAATTGCAACACTGATATTCAATTCAATGTTTATTTGGTTTAAACAATAAAAAAACATGAGTTGCCGTAACTGTGATTTGAACTCCAGACCTCCCGCTTTCTAAACTAGCGTGTAACCCCTCAGCCACGATGAAGTTTAAAAATAACTGTCTGGAGAAAACCACATTGTTCTAAAATAGGGTTTGTAACCCTTATTAATTTCGATATATTATGTTCACGGTAAATCAGTTTTTAAACAGTCCTGTAAATAATCATGGAGCTTAATATAAGCAAGTTTATCTGTAAAAAATTACACAATATATGAAATCTACGACAAATCAGGAACTATTTTTTCTTCTCCGAGAAGGCTTGAAAATTAATGCGCCTGTCATTTGACAACCTTTTTGCAGTGATCTTCCCTTAATTGTGTACTTATAAAGGGAAGTTACAGCTTCAAGGAGTTCTGGCTACTTTCAGATTTTGCAAATAAGGAAATCAGGGTCTGAAATTTCACTACCATTATTTGTTTGGTCTGACGACAAGAACAAATAAAAATGCTTAGCTTATTTACTCAATTTATTATTCCAATATAAGTATTATGCAAAATAATCTAATAGTTAAAGTGATTAAACTCTTTAAAACAATCAACGGGCTTCGAATCGCATTAAATGTCGATTTCTATTTTAATTTTGAGTATATTTCTTCATTACCTTTTACATGTTTCGCTTCAAGTGCCCAATTTGAGTTATGTACTAAGAATTTAAAAGTTTTAGACATTAGTGGAAGTCTTTAAAGGTAAGTAATCTGAATTAAAGGTGCATGCCTCCAGATGTACGGAAATATTTCAATAAAATCAAACTTGAGAACAATGTACTGAAATTTTAGGGAAAGTCAAACTATTTTAGAGTCATGTAATAATTTACATTATATGTGCGATTGATGATTGATTTTTCAGTAATTATAACTATATTTCTACCGCGTTACTAACGCAGTAAGGGCTATTTTTGCATATTTTGTCCTCTTTCTTGTTATGTACGTGGGTTGTAACTGCCTTAGATAATGTGTAAATTGCTTCGTTTTGGTTATTTCACTAAAATTCTTTTAAACACATTTTCAAAATTTTCATGAAAATAAGCATGGATCTGGAGGCGTGCTGCTTTAAATACTTAGATTAAAAAGGTTTTTTAGTAAAGTTTAATCTCAAATAAACACCATGTATGAATTAAAATAATTTTAAGTTTAATTAAGTAGTTTGTATTATAAAGTCGACTTTACTACTCTCAACATGTTCTGATCGCGTTTTGGATAGATTTGTATCAATGAAAGCTTTTGGAGTGTTGTCATTGAGAAAAAAAATAACGTCTTAAAGAAAGGACATAAAATTTACGCAGTTTGTTATTCCTTGCTTTTATGTTCCTCATATTACAGTAGCTATATTCACAATCATTTATATTACTTCTACTAAAATGATTCATTATCCCCTATTTTTCACTATTAAAAAGGATCAACCCATTCAGAAAACAAATCTTATTTTAGCTTTGCTTTTGATCTCTTTGTATCGTTATTGCTTTTCATGGTCAATGTTATATTATTGTCAACATAATTGACCGATTAAATCTGTCCACAAAAGCTGCGTTTTATTTGAAAGAATATATAATGACAATGTCAACTATGTGTTTCTTTCATTTTTAAAATACAAACACGTTTAATTCTATCACATGACGACTTTAAGTTAACTTAAAATGAACAGAAATTAAGTTCTATTAATTAAACATGCATTCCTTTTTAATATTCGCTGCTTTCCTATTAAAATATGAACAAATTTACTTATATAATAATGATAGGAGAATAACTAAATTACCTTATTTTTATATCCAGATATTATAACAAATAAATTCATTTATTTGCCTTTACAAATGCCGAGCTTTTGAATATCAATAAATATTGTAATCAAGCTTAAAATGCACCATAGACGAGAATAGAAAAAATGTGTTATAAATGCTAATAAGGCAGCATTAATACCATTGACTGATAAGTAGGTAAAGATAAAGAACATATTTTAAATTCAGTGTGTGATAGACAATTACCTATCTTCCAGGCAATTATTGGCATGTTTCAAAATCCAACATTTTATATATAATGAACAAATTTAAAGATAAATACATGTCTTTTATTATATTGCGGAAATGAAAAGGAAATGTTATTTTGAAATGAGCAAAATGAGAAATTTTATTGCATTGATTGCGCAATGTTGGATTTTTGTCTATGTTTAATATCCTTGTTTAAAATGACCGACACTATTTGCTTTTATACACTTTATTAAAGGTTTGTGTGATTAATTAAATATTCATCTTTTCCACCATTAAAATGACAAAAATAATAAAATAATAATAATAATGAAAATAATAAAATCTTTATTCATAGAAGATTACATACAACGTTTACACAGTAAGAAGTATACTTATTTTCAAAACATGTTATGATTTGAAAAGTATAGTAAATGTAATTTAAAAAAAAAACTATTTTATTAGCGTTTAAAATCATGTTGACAAAGTCATATGAATTTACAAAACATGTTTTCAAGTCTGTAACATATCGAAACGATGCTTATCCATTTTAATTATTAAAATCAAGCCGCCGTAATAAGAGAAAATGATCTGTATACATGTATATACTCTTTATATCAACGTTGTAGTGAATAACATTACATAATAATATACATATTCTAAAAATGTGTGTGTGTACTAAAACGCCTTGTATCAGCCTCTCTTGTACAAAGCATGTTTTCAATAATGTAATGAAAAATGAACGAAAGATCTAGATAAACAAAGATTTGCGTTTTCGGCGTGAACGGGGAAGCTTGCGTCCGTGAACAAGCTCAATCAAACCGTGTGCAACATTTAAAATTTGTCCGATCTGGGCGTTCTTTAGGGTTCCATTTTACATATATTTTAAAAACCACCTATCTTAAACTTATTCATTTTTCTCATTTAATATATATTTTAAGGATTTTTTTATTTATGACTGGGAATTTCAGATTTGTAGCAACAGATCAAATCTAATTTTGTTATTTTGATTATTGTCGTTATAAAGCTATATATGTGCTGCTGAATAATGCGACAATAGATTGAGTTAAAGAGCAATTTTAAGAACAGTAGGGTCCTCAATTTAAATTTCATAGTCATTATCGGCATCGCAACACCATTAGGATACATTCATTGTTTGATAGACTAGTAATTTTTGATACTAGACTGTTTTTGAGCTACAAGTAGTGGCGTTCTATAGAATCATCATAGAACACAGAATAACTTATGGTATTAACGTTTCAACATTATATAATTATGTTGCTTTATTTTTTTCTTTACAAATATTTTTATGAATAAATTATGGAAACAAATTAGAAATTAATAAGCTATTTTGATATTAATGCTTTGTTTTATTTGACGATACGTCTGTAATCATAGTGCAAACATACTTTGAATGGCGGATGTGGTTCCTTGTAATTAATCAAAATTTTGAAAAATAATGCTGCTAAAACAAAGTAGTAGAAACTAGGGGTTTTCCCACAAACAGGATCTTGATCGTTATATATATCGACGTTTACAACGTTACGTTCATACAACGTTAACGCGCTATTTTCACAGAACGTGGAGTCAAGTAAATACAAATAAAGGTAAGATAATTTAAATAATAATTTAGATAAATACTTATATTGATAAACCTGTTCTTTTATTATTATTTCTTTATTTATGTTATGTTATATTATTAGGAAAAAGTATTAATCTGTATAGTTATGATTAGTTATATAATTCGAAAAAGTATAAATTAGTATAGTTATCTTTACCTGCTTCAGAAACCATTATTTTCAAAGTGTGTCATTATTTATATCAATTTAAACTTTTTAAAAACATGTTTATTGTTATCCATATTAAAATCATTTTCTTATAATTATGTCGTTATAATAATTTTACATCACATTATCGTACATATCTCTAAGCGATTTGAATTTTTATTACATGTAACTGCAATCATCTGCGGTGTTTGACGAGGCATCAATTTTAAGCGAGAAGTTTTTTCTTGTAAATGAAGTTCAAATCTTTAAAAAGATGCCAGATAAATAGGAATTATCCGAATTAACACGTTTTGTTTGACAAAAATCAGTAACTTATTATTACAACAGTAAAAGTTAATTTAAAAAATCCAATCTAAAATATTTCAATATCTCTTATATGTGTTGCAATGTTACAATGTTTATTCCTTTCTCAATTTCAGCAAATAAAAATGCAAATCTATAGGTATTTCCTAATCACAATTGTGATCTTGGCATTGCTTGACCCAATAGAAGGTGGCTGGTTGAAAAAGAAACTAAAAAAGCTGAGAAAATCTGTGAAGAAGGCAGGATGTAGGGTATGTAGAAAATAAATCACATGATCTTGTCTTACCGGATCATTGATTCTAATAATTAATAATGTTAATTTTTCCTAAGTCGGTGCTACTTGGTGTGAGGTATTGCACTCTTTTGTTGTATTTTTTAAACAGACTTTATCAGTCTGACTCTACTAGTGTCATTTATCATTTTTCAAAGTGAAATGAAATTAAGTTTAACTTACATTAATTGCTTGAAAATAGAAAAGTAAATGTCAAGAGTTTTGCATTTTCATATTGTTTTTTTTTTTCCAGTAAAATCAACGTTATTTTTTCCTTTTTTTAAAGTTTTTTTTAAAGAAAGTTTTAAACAGAGTTTTGTTCAGATTTACATAGAATGATTTTATTTTGTGATTAAAACCTGTAAAACTGGTTGCCATTTATTTTTACATTATAACATTCATAAACTAGTAGAAATTGTAAGGTCTGATTCTACTGATATATGTTAAGAGATCATTGAACATGTCCCAGGTAGTACTTTGCAATAAGGTTAAATTATTAAAACCATTATAGATTTAAATTATTTCGGTACAAATACTACTTTTTCATATAATTGAAATACAGATATATAGTTGTAGTATTAATAGCTTGTGACTTAACCGACTGATTTTTTATCATTGATATGACATGTTTTATATTTCAGGTGTTATTTGGTGTTGGTTGTCCAGCTGCGGTTGGGGCAGTTGGTGCTTCTTTAGCAGCCGGATCGTCTGGTACGGGCTCAGCTATAGTCGCGGTTGGGGTAGCTGCAGGTACTAATGCTTGCCACGTGAGAAAAAATAAATGCAAAAGAAGTGTTAGTATTCATTAATTCATTCAATTTTTCAGTTATTTATGAATTAATTAACGCATTAACTCATTCATTCACTTAACAAACCTATTTTACTACCCTTTTACGTGCCTTTAACCATCTGAAATAATGGACCACGCTTACGAAATAAATAATTACAAGCCTTTAAAATAACCAAAATGGAACACATATAATAAATGATATATGCTTATAGTGCATTAAAGCTAAATGTTAGACCATCAATCATGTACTTGTGGTGAAAATATAGCCGCAAAATATGCACGGATTTAAAACAAACTACGTAAGTAAACCAGTGGTTTACCGCCCAATTTAACACTAATTTACGAAAAATATATCGTTTACTTGCGTATGAATTGTGTCAAGTACTTTTGTTGACTATTATAAGAAAAAAAAACAACAAAGAGACATGGAGGAGCAAAACGCATATTTTAACATTTTTAAGGCGTTTGAATTTTTTTTTAAATTCTTAACACTACCTATTATTGTTACAGTTAGAAATATTTGTTACCATTAAGAATACTTTTAATTAATACATGTATTTTCGACAGGTCGATATGACTGAAATCATGCTCCCGTTTTCTGATAAGATTTCCGACTACGACATGAACGACGACAAGCTGGTAACATACGAAGAATTTGTTTTTGCTGTTTTGCGGTCTGTTGATTTAGCAAATCCAAAGGAACTTCGTGTGCCTTTTGTCTTTGCAGATTTCGACGGTAATATCTATATTAAGAATTTTCGAACTGAATAACAAGGTTTAAAAAATGATACTGCAGTAACATTATTGTCCCATAAAATATAAGTCATGTAATACCGTACAGTTTTATTAAAGTCTTAAATCTTCAAAATCTTCAAAATCTCCTTTATGTCTGACAGGCTAAGAGTTAGGTATACACATTTTTGTGATATGTAAAGGTAACGATATTTGTGTACATGTATACAAAGGCTAGGTAAGGCAAGGTATGTTTAATAGTAAACTTTAATTATATGTTTTTCTTTTAACATAAAATGTTTATTATTTCTTAATGTAACATTTTAATAGGACGTACCAGATTCAGCAGGCACAAGCTCTCAGCAAAACATGGTTCCTAAAGTAATTTTAAATTGATAGTCATATTATTGATCTTCAAAGTTTTACATTGTTCTTATCTATAATTTTGCAGGAAACGGAGTGTTAGATTCTGATGAATTCAACGGAGCTCCTTTTTTATTTGCACGTATGTTCTTTTTATGCAAAAGTCATTTCTTATGTTGTATTTCATATTCATTTTGTAAGACTTTTTCATTCATATAATATTTTATTTCAATATAGATAACTTTGATATTATTAAAAATGTGTATTTTATTTATATTTCATCTAATTATTTTTAATACCTTTTTTCAGATGCTGCATAAAAATGACAAGTGAATGCCCATTATTCAAGACAACAGTTTCTGAACCAAAGCTTTTGTTATATTTTTGTTACGTTTTTTCTTCAAAATTTATATTGTTATGTTAACAATAAAAATATATAAAACTTAATTTCGTACTCACTTACTCATTCATTTAAGATGTCATTTTCCCGGAATGTTCTGATAATATTAAGACTGATACTGCAGTTAAAAAATCGTGTTTCGATTTTAACATTTTTTAAATAAATTTACAAAATATCTTTCATTCAGGAAAGCCTGAATACCGACGCTCCATACATCAATTCAGATACAATACAATGAATATGTTTAAATGTGACAATACTATTATATATTTTGTTAAGTTAAATTGCATAATCCTAATCATTAAACATCACTAAAATTCTTTATTATTCAAGGTGTAAACTGAATATTCGCTAGAACAAAAGTCTCATCAAATAACTCACGGGCCATTTATTTGCTGTCGTAAATATTAGATAAACAGCGAAATGTCAAAATTTTGATAAATACATTGCGGTTATTTAACTGTTGACTTGTTTAATAACGAGATATTCAAATGAATAAACTTCTTAAATTATTATCATGATTAAGAAAATTTAATGCAAATAATTTATATGAAAGTGATCTTCATAACCGACTCTACATTATGGTACAAGTTCTCTAATAGAGGTTCCAACAGATTAAGATTCGGAACATATATTTAACTATTATCACTGAAATTTGTGTATTAGCACAAGAGCATAAATATCATATACATGTACGTTTACTGTATCGAATAAATGTATACTTTTTCAAGCGATGAAACCAATGCAGAGTAGAGATTGTTTTACTGTCTTGGGTTAATATACTTTGACTCTTTCTTTAAGCCGGGAGATATTGATATGTTTACCAATATACTCAGAGCTTGGGTAATATATTTGAACAATGTCTATCAACTGACCTATAGCTACCAGGCGATGAAAACAATGTATGCCTTGAACAAGCTCGAACAAATATAAAAACATGTTCACTTTTAACATAATCAAGTTCTCTGTAGAGTCATATCATATAATAAACAATCTTGTAAAGGTGCATATTTAGTATTTTTAATTTGTCTGCTCAAGGTGATGGGGTTGTGTTGGATTCTGGAACCTCTGTGGAAGTCTTCTTTCTTCTTTGACAAACGGCGAGAATTACTGAAATATATCAAATGAATAAATCAACAATCTTATAATCGCATTGAAATTAATGTACATTTAAAAGATCCTGTATGTTATAATTGAGGTTGCATACCACACTGAAATTATATATTTGTATATAATTATGCTTACAAAACAATTTTCAAACATCAAAGAATATGTAAAATATCTACTGCAAATAAGTGTACATATTATAATTATGAAATCATATAAATCATTTATATGCACTCATTTTTTATTGAAAATGTTTTGACTTAGACTTTATAGAAAATAAACTTTTTATTACCTCCCTTTATTTACAAAAAATGTTAAATTGGGTAATATCTTTATAAATAATGTTTTTTGGAATTTACAAAATAAATTGATAAATCTTAATTTGAGCATCATATTTATGATATAAAACCATAAAAATGTGCTACAAGATCTTTAAATACTGCCATCATCCCCAATATAGAATTGTATGAAATATTTGTTTTTTCTCATCTTGTAAACAGTGATTCAAAATATGTATCCCTGTCTGAACACATGAAACTCAAGTAAAAATTACAATAAAGGAATCTATATGCTACACCGTGATATATTCTACGGTCGAAAATGTCACAGTTTGAAAGTATGTTCGTTTTGTTGTGACTGTTTTCTTGTAAAACGATCATCGTTTCAGACTTGACAAGAAAATCATGTGTAAAATAGCCGTTACTTTAAACCTTTATTTCAATTAATTTATATTCCGGTTAGCAATGAAAAAGTCTGAATGACTGAAATTAAATGGTTACTACTTATTCAGCACTGAACTTTCTGATAATAAAATATAATGTTTGAACGTTTGCATAATATCTTGATATATAAAATCAAAATTATCTTAAAATGTAAAAGGGCTTAACAGTTTTCATATGTTTTCACGTTCAAACATCTGATATATACACTCGTAAATGTATCACGACGGGTTTTTCACTAAATTATACAAAAAGTAGATTTTGACGTTTTTGATATATTGAAGTTTTAAAAAAAGTTAAAATGATGAACAATGAGTTTTTTATACTTTAATTATAAAAAAAGACCTTAGAAGAAGGATGTTTCCATTACTTTGAAGGTTAATTCTATGAAAGGTCACTTAATAAATGCACATGTGAAAAAAAATCATAGATTTATATTTTTATAATGACAAATGTCTATTTTGACAAATTTCAACATCACAACAAAAAGATAACATCGGCTGAGAAGAGTAGATATGGTTGTGGATCAACTTACAATTGCAATATAACACCAGTAAAAGACACACCAACATAAACAAAACGAACCATCTCTTTAACAGCATCTTTTTCATCGTAAATCCTTCATTCTATTTTTAAAAAAATTTTATGCTCAGAAATTTTTTGATCAACAATTTCTTTTTTTCCAGTAAACAATATACAATTTCCCAAATTTAGAGTAAAAGTTTCAAGACTTCCTTGATCATATGGGTTGGTAATTTTTTGAGTAAATAATATTTGATATAGAATTTTGTTTTTGGTTCAAAGATCGAACTTTTGTCCGGTGTTTGCAAAAATTTAGCACGTTTTAAACAATGACTTTTTTTTGGGTTTTTTTTTTCCTTTTGAAAAATTTTAAAATAATTAAAAAAAAATTTCCATACACTATTTCCCGAAATAAAACAACCCACTATTTAAATTTTTTAACAAATAATAGACACTATATTAACCCCCCAGTAGCATTTATTCTTCCAAATACTTACCTTTTTTAATTTACTGTTTAGATATGAATAAAGAGAACAAAACTAGTTCTTTTTACGCCAAATAAGTAATAAAATATAAATCAAGTTGTCTCATTTGCATCAATTTCAAATACAAGTATAATTATACAAATTTAATTTATTCAGCAAGTTCTTTATCAGTTAGGATTTCTATCAAATCTTGTATGTTTAATATACACTTATTTATCTTTTCATAATCATAAAGAGAAATACTTATCAAAGCATCATTCCTACTCCATTATTCATGATAAAACTTACATCAGATAACAAATAAATTTAAATTGAAACACGCTTTTTTCAAAAGAAAGAAAATAACTGTCTCATATGTTATCTAAAGTATAGAAGATTTATATCAACATAGGAAAGGACCATTTGCAAATGAATCAAACAATGATCTTCATACAAAAATGCTGTAAATTGAATTGCTTCTCACATGTTTCTTTCCATCTGCAAACAAATAAAACATAAATCATTATATACAAGTCATGAAAATCATTTGAAAACAACAAACACATCTATCTTCATGTTATTTTTGATGACTAAGAACATACTAAAATATATATATGCCTTAGCATATATACTTTATGTAATCAATCAAAGAAGACCTTTCCCATGTGAATCCTGTAAGATTATTACATGTATACTGAGCTAAATGTCTTTGGTCTAAATTGAAACTTAAAGAAAAATGCCATACAAAATATTATCAAATTTTAATTCACATAGATATGTACACATTTTACTAATGTTTAATGAATGAATACTGAGCTAAATGTCTTTGGTCCAATTGAAACTTAAACAAAATGCCATACACATATAATCAAATTTTATTTCACATAGATTTGTACACATTTTACTAATGTTTACTGATTGAAAAACATACATTCATTCATAAATCCAAATAAACTTAATGAACCATGTGACGATCTCGTGCGTCCAATGAAAGTTGTACAAATTTCTATTATAAATAATAGGAATGACCGTGCATACTTTGTTTATCTAACGGGTTTCATTGTACATATTTCACTGTATGTATACCTGCACATGTATGTTTGATACCGAAACAAAAACACTGCCCTTATACCTGTACACGTCTTTTTTTTTGTTTTACAAAATATATTTAACAATATAAAAATAACAAAATACCTGTACACGTACTTTTACAAAATATATTTAACACAAAATAACTTTTTATATGACCTAAACTAGTTTTTGCGATGTTATTCTACCTAAAAATATTGGAATATATGGTTGTATCTATTTACCTAGCTTTATAGTTTTTTTCCCTTTTTTCAAAAATTGTAACAAAATGTATTCTTATGGATTATCTTTCTACTTATTTCTTTGCTTTCTTCTTCTCTTGACCTGTCCGGTTGCGATGCTGTATTGGTTTCCTCATCCCTACATAAGCACTTTCCTGGCATAACATAATATAATAAGAATTATTGACATAAATACATTTTAGGCATGAGGGTGGGCCTGTTTTCAAAAAAAAGCAGAAAGTAAAAGGTGTTAAACATTTTTACTCACTTTGAAATGCTCTGTTGGATGGGTCTCATTCTTATCTCTGTGTGACGTTCACAAAAACCCTGGACCACGCCCTCTCTAAACTCTTCTTCTTCTTTCAGGTTGATACATCATATATGTCAAATTCCTCATTCCTTTCCCTTTCCGACTTTTCTCCTCACTCATTATCATTTGTGCACTATAATGTGCAAAGTTTTCTAAAGAAAAAGATATCGTGGAAGGTGAACTTGATCCGTTTGATATTATCTCAATAACAGAAACCTGGCTGTCCGCCGCTGTTGATACAGATTGCTTATATTTTCATAATTATTCTCCCCCTTTTCGAAATGACAGAGGTACGGACAATCATGGAGGTATTTTGGTTTATGTTAAAAACACTATCCCTGCAATTCGAAGATACGACCTAGAGATTCAAGGTGTGGAATGTATTTGGTTGGAGATTTTTCTTAAAAATAAGAAAAACTTCTTTTTGGTACTTTCTATCGTCCTCCGAATTCTTCCCCTTCTGTGCTCTCTCAGATAGAAATGTCAATCGGTCTCGCTTTTGACACAACTATATCTGATATAGTTATAACTGGAGATTTCAACTTAGACAATGCAAAAACATACATCGGCAGCAAAAATCAATTAGCATTGCAACACAATACAATTTGACTCAAG